AGCAATGGAATGAGGTTACCTGGTTGGATGAATCACATTTTCTTTTAGATCAGGTAGTTGGCCGGGTACGTGTGCATTGCTTACCTGTGGAAGAGATGGCAGCAGGATGCACTATGGGAAGAAGGCAGGCCAGCAGAGGCAATGTTATGCTCTGGGCACTGTTCTGCTGGAAAAGCTAGGGTACCACCTGTCTACAGAAGGTTAAAGACCACATACATATCTTATTGGCAATGGTGTACTCTGATGGCAGTGGCCTCTTTCAACAGGATAGTACACCTTACCACACTGCAAAAATTGTTCAGGCATTTTTTGAGGAACATGACATAGAGTTCAAGGTATTGTTCCAGAGCAATGAATCCAATCCCACCTCACAAATTGTAGGTCTTAAATGAGTCTTGGTATCTTGGTGCCAGATACCACAGGACACATTCAGAGGTCTTGTGGAGTCCATGCCTTGACACATCAGAGCTGTTTTGGCAGCACGAGGGGGACCTACACTACATTAGGCAGGTGGTTTTATTGTTGTGGCTGATCAGGTTAAGTCATTCATATAGCTCACAAGAATGCAATATCTACCACTTGAGTTATTAAAGTCAGATGTTAACAAATTTTCACGCCAGGTAAAAATGATGTACAATTATTATTTAATAATGTGTATATCTAATCAGTTACCCTGACTTAGATAATGAACTCTTGGAAAATGTACCCTTCTAAATTGCATTCTTTAACGTCAGAAATCCATTACTCTCACTAAGCATTTACGCTACATTCTGATACTACAAGCCAGACTAGTAAATCTTTTTTTTTAAGAAATACAAGAGTAAATCTTTTTCTTGCTTACATTGGTTTTTATGTGCACTAATAAATCCAGCCATTAGAATCCAATACAATCTTCACAAGAGCAGCACCTTCCTGGTGGGTCTTTAGTCATTTTGGTGTACATTACATACCAGAACTGATCGATTCCAATTTTCTGGCGTTCAGCCAGTATCATTAGATGGTTTCGAAAGCAAGATTCACAGACCATTTCTCTGCCATTCAAACAGCTGAACTCATAGAGCAAAACATTAATGGCCTAAAACCAAGTATACTTATTTTCTACATGTTAATCTTTCTATGTCACGCTCAACAGACCAATATCTCAAAAATGAGAACAACCACAAAAGAAAAAAAAATCTGGTGCCTTAGCTGGCTTTTTAACCCCTTAAGGACTGGACTGTTTTTGCGATGTTGTACATTTGCGACCAGGCATATTTTTACACTTTTGTGGTGTTTGTGTTTGGCTGTAATTTTCCGCTTTCTCATTTACTGTTCCCATACAAATTATATATTTTTTTTTCAGGACAAAAGGGGCTTTCTTTACATACCATTATTTATATAATCTCATGTATTTTAATTGAAAATTCTTTTTAAAAAATACATGTTTTTTGACTTTTACTTGAAAAATCTTTTACTCATCTACAAAAGCAAATGAAAAAAACTGCTAAATAGATTCAAAATTTTGTCCTGAGTTTAAAAATACCTAGTGTTTACGTGCTTTTTTGCTTTTTTTTTTTCATGTTATAGGGCTATAGGTACAAGTAGGATATTGCGGTTTCAAAACATACATTTTTAAAATTTATCAATAATGACATTGTAACACTATTATCTGTCATAAATCTCTGAATAACACCCCACATGTACATATTTTTTTAAAGTAGACAACCCAGGGTATTCAATATGGGGTATGTCCAGTCTTTTTTAGTAGCCACTTAGTCGAAAACACTGGCCAAAGTAAGCATTCATATTTGTTTGTGTGTGAAAAAAGTAAAAAAACTAAATTGAACGCTAATTTTGGCCAGTGTTTGTGACCAAGTGGTTACTAAAAAAGACTGGACATACCCCATTTGCAATACCTTGGGTTGTCTTCTTTTGCAAATGGTATGCCATCATGGGGGTAATTCTCATTCCTGGGCTACCATACGCTCTCAAAGGCAACGTAACCAACCTGGCCATTTTCAATGTAAAAATATTTGACCCATATATTTAACCTTGTAACTTTCAAAAATGCTATAAAACCTGTACATGGGGGGTACTGTTTTACTCGGGAGACATCGCTGAACACAAATATTAGTGTTTAAAAACTGGAAAACGTATCACAACAATTATATCAACAATTATATCATCACTAATATTTGTGTTCAGCGAAGTCTCCCGAGTAAAACAATACCCCCCATGTACAGGTTTTAGGGTGTCGTAGAACGTTACAGGGTAAAATACAGTGCTAGCAAATTAAATTCTCTGGACTTTCGGCCTGGGTTAGCAGGCAGGTCCCTCAAATTGCAATTAATAAAATTACTTAATTATGTAAAAATATTACATAAATACGCACGTAGAATTTAGAATTTAGATATATATGCATATTTATATATTTGAAGTCTATGTGTATATTTATGTAATTATTTATGTAGTTTTGTATATGGACGTATGTATATTTCTTATTATTTTTATTTATTTTTATATACATAGATATATATACAAATTCATTTTAAGTGTATTTTGATATAAATATATATATATTAATTTTAAAATACAGTTAGAATAAAATTTCATATAGCTATATAATTTTTTTTAAATTTTTTATTATTATTTAAAAAAAATGTATTTAATTTAAATTACTTATTATTTATATTTTATAATAATATATATATACAATATATATAGTTATTATATATATTATATATATACGTGTGTAATTTAATTATAAGTGTATTTTATATTAATATAAGTACATATTAATATAAAAATACACTTAGTATGACATTATATATATATATATATGATATATAGACATATATTATATAGATATAATATATGTCTATATATCATATATACACATATATAATTATTTTTATTTTTTTTATTAACATTAACTTTATTTTTTTTACTGATCTTACACTAGCAGGGAGACTGCCTGTCTGCACAGACAGTCCCCCTGCAGGCAGACACATGGACACCTATTGTGACCATGCGATCGCTCTGTTAAGCGATCACATGGCCACAGGGGTCCTAAATCAGTGTGGGGAGACTGTCTGGGCTGCAGGCAGTCTCCCCACAACCGGGGGAACGACGGCGATCAGGTAAGTAGCTCTGACCGTTAGGACGGTTCAGGACCGTCATCGGTCGGCAACGCAAAAATGCCGATGACGGTCCTGAACCGTCCTCGGTCGGGAAGGGGTTAATTACATCACAGAAGGTTACATACAACCAAGGGCAATAATAAATAGGTACCAGGTGTGTAATTAACCGTTCGTTTTTAATATGGATATTGCATGTATTGTGCACGTGTGTATATTTTGTTATCTCTTTCACAATGTTATATTGTAGTTGCAGTGTCTCTGGGTCCTTTAATTGGTCTTTATGATTAATGAGGCTTCATTAGTTAGCATTGTTTTCACACATCATCAAATCATGGAGTTTTGTTTTCGTTCTACTTATCCACCAACACTTAGAAAGAATTTGCAGAATTAGCTAATTTTTAGAAAATAATTTTCATTGACCTAAGTAACCTAAGTGTATGATTGCCTTATTAATGTGTTGATAACTTCCCTTCAGAAGGATTGTAAATACGGAAAGTTAAGTGTTCATATTTTAGTGATCTGATCATTGTGAAATAATGTTATGCCTTCTGTTGGATCAACAGCAAAAAACAAATGTGAGGAAGGCTGAACTTGATGGACACAAGTCTCTTTTCAGCTATGTAACTATGTAACTATGTAAGTTATCTGCCTTAATAAACTTTGAAAGTCACAGGCATTAAAGGGAAACTCCAGTGCCAGGAAAACAATCTGTTTTCCTGGCACTGCAGGTCCCCTCTCCCTCCCACCTCCCAATCCCCTAAGACCCCGCCGATGTCCCTCGGCGGTGGTTTCTTCTCGCTGCCGCTCCTCCCAGTCATTACGTCGGCCGGTGGGCGAGACTGATCCCGCCCACTTACCGGGGAGACCTAATGAGCATTTGCTTTAGAGCTCCCCATAGGAAAGCATTGAAAATGCTTTTGAATGCTTTCCTATGGGGAATTGAGCAATGCTGGAGGTCCTCACACAGCGTGAGGACGTCCAGCGATGCTCTAGCACAGGTTTTTTGTGCTATGGACAAGGAAGTTCCCTCTGGTGGCTGTCTAGTAGACAGCCACTAGAGGTGGAGTTAACCCTGCAAGGTAATTATTGCAGTTTATAAAAAACTGCAATAATTATACTTGCAGGGTTAAGGGTAGTGGGAGTTGGCACCCAGACCACTCCAATGGGCAAAAGTGGTCTGGGTGCCTGGAGTGTCCCTTTAAGCCTTACAGTAAACAGATAGAGAGAGTTTGCATTAGCAGACAGTGTTAATTACTGAGCGAAAAAATATTTTTATATTGTATCTGTGTCTAAACATTTACTAATGCTAAAACACGTAGCCTTCAGTAATATGCACTTTACCAAAATTGGCCTACAGGAGCAAACGGTTGAAGAACCACTAATGAAGGTATTTCAGTATTGCTTATGTTAATGAAATGGGAAAAAGTCTGTTGATGTTGAAACAGACACAGAGTCTGTAATGTGCATTTACTCCAAAAGTGTCATGAAGGAGCACAAGACAGATAATGATTCTATTTTCTTGGGTGGCCTTGTTTCAACTCGGCTTCGGATAATGTTACTTCAGTTCATAACTTGATTATTTTTTTTTGATCTCCGTATTTCAGACTGTGACTTGTTGTCCAATTTTAAGGCTTTTGTCAACAACAGTTACTGACTTCTTTTTATTCTTAACATTTTCCTGACTAGTTCAACTTTGTTTTCAGCGGGAAATTTTCTGCAGCCAAGAAAAACTTGATTTCTTTACAGTAGTGAAATTAGTTTCTGGTCAGGATGCAGTTAGTCGCTCATCAGTGTCAAACTCTTGGCCACAGCAGTGAAATGCTATTTGTCTGTCATTTCCAGAGGATGAAGATATCATGAGAGCCCATTACCCTTGTAGTGATGGAGGATGAAGTTTTTCCGAGGTACCTTAACTCTTTAATTGCATCATTTAAAGTAGTCAGTTTGATTTTCGTGTTTTTCTCTCCAGTTAAAGCAAATCTACCGTTTACATTTTCTAACAGTAAATTTAACTATTCCAGGTAGCTATAAATATGATTTTGCTTTATAATTATCATCTCATTAAAATGTAAATTTCAGTTAGGTTTTACTGCAGCATTGTTTATGGCCTTCAATGGCCTCAGTGGTTGTGGTCAAATTTACTTCTGCAAATTCATTTTTAGCAAATAACCCTCACAATGTTCGGACATCTAACTTAGTGCTCTAAAACTAAGAAAAGCTTTCAATACATATGGGTTCATTTGTTATGTCTAGAAAAAAGGTGGATCTCATCTCCCACAGGGCACAGATTTTGCTGGCAGTAATCCTAGTATGTGGATTGTTTTTGGAATGCCTTCTAATTTAGATCAAATGGTTACAGACACAAAATGCATCATTAATCTATATTATATAGTCATGGTAATGCATTGTTCTCTGTCTGTCTGTCTTTCTGTCTGTCATGACCTGTATATTATTTTAATGGTCAGGTCATGATTTCAAATCCCGATCTGCAATTATTCCCCGCAATAAGCTGGTACTAATTCACAGATCACTTCAGTGCAGTCTGTGGGCCCTAATCTCATCAGATCGAGACATACATGTTCCGCTCTGAGAGTAGTGTGAGTTACACTGCTAAGGGGCATCCAGCATTTTAATGGACTGTATCTCCCACTAATCTCAGGCAGCACTAGTACATGCACGTCCTGCCTTTACAGTAAAGTCCTCTCCTTAATCTATACACTATCCCAGTACAATATACTACTACACTATACATGAATCCCTACATTATCCTAAAACACTGTACATTAACCCCTACATTACTCTAACAAAGTACAGAATATCTAAACATTAACCCCTACAGTACATTAGCACTAAACATTGAGCTCTACACTACCATAAGACTAACCGTTACCCCTTCATTACCACAGTACCATAACACTAACCATTATCCCTTACACTAACACTAACCTAAACATATAATGTAACATAACAGATAGAAAACAGTATTACTATACAGCTTGTGGAAATTGTGGGGTAGTCTTAAAATTGATCCTTGTATTCAGAAAACCATCCTAGCGATTATTTGGGGCATGTTTGGATAAAATATTTAGAAAGTCTCTAATTTGAAGGATTCTACTGTATTCCAAATCTGCAGGAGATCTTCTATAAAATAAATTAATCATTATACCAACTTCAGCCAGTTTCCTTATATTTTTATGACCTGGAAACCGTTCTTCTGTTTGCCTGAACATATTTTATTTTGGACATTTGATGAACTACATTATCTACTTGTAATTAAAATTATGAGGCTATTCAAAGCTAATGATTCACTTGTTTGTGACTATCTGGAACATCAAACGAAAGGTGAATATTTGCACTTTGTAACAAGCTTTCTGTTAAACCTGCAGGTTAAGCAGATGTTCATTAAGAAGAAACACAATACAGTAACACACTCAGGGGCTTTTTAACTAAACAGTGAGTAGTGATAGATTAGCAAAAAACTTGCATACATAGACTAGTTATATAAGCTGCAAAAAAAAATCAGCTGAGTTTAAATTTGACAAATAAGTTGTACATTCCTTTCAACTCAATGTTTAAGTTAGAAAATGTTGTCTTGACATGTATATATTATTTGCAAAACATTTCATGTTTTAAATACCCTGTACTGTATGGATGGTGACATTATTTATGCATTAATTTATTAATTTATAATTACTTGTACCTGCATGTAGTGTTCGGCCATAATTTGGGGATTTAGCTGCTGCATGGAAGTATGTAACTCCCACTTATCCCAGGCAGCAGTGAGACATGCATGGTTCTGCCCAAGATGAGGGCTCCCAAACTTTAGGTGCCACTCACGCTTCCACATCATAGTTTACTTTAATGTTTCCAGAACCTCTCAATGTCATTATATATATATATATATATATATATATATATATATACCGTCACCCTATGGAACAAAAATAGTAAGTTCAATATGATATGATATAGCAAGTTAAATGTGAGATGAAACTAAGAGCCTGTCCCTCCCCCAGCCCAGTTGTTAGCTGTCATTAAATAGGGAGTTGTTATGGGAAGCTGGTAGGAGGGATGTAATAAGTAAACTGATTTCTTCATATCTAGAGCAGATACTGGAGTTACAGTCTCTTTCTGCCATAGATCTCTGGAAAGATTTGGGCACAACATGGCAGCATGCCGCTGGCTTCTGGGTACATGGATTGTCATCCAATATGGTAAGTTCATAATGTCATGAGTTTTAAAAAACAGTAACGTTCAACTTTATCATATCATACGTTGCAATCTAATGATATGGTGCAGTTTTAGAATTTAATTATTCAGATTTATTAACTTGTTGTCTTGAACCGACCAGAGAATTGCACATTTTAGGCCAAAATAATAGTTCTTGGGGATGGCCAAGATGGAGAATCTTTACATTTCAGCTGTTTTGGGCAAACATGTGCAAAATAGAATTTAACATCAGTGTGCTTATATATGTATTAATGTTGCAATATACTGGTACATGTTGGGGAGAGAAGGTATGTGAACCCTTCAGAATTATCAGTGTCCCCACTTTTCTTTGACCTAAAATGTTATCTCAGGGTATGTGAACCCTTCAGAATTATCAGTGTCCCCACTTTGCTTTGACCTAAAATGTTATCTCAGTACTGATAAGTGATAAGCGGGAACCTGATTAACCCCTTAAGGACCAAACTTCTGGAATAAAAGGGACTCATGACGTGTCACACATGTCATGTGTACTTAAGCGGTTAAACATGTGATTTTAACTTTTATAGTTACTTAATACAATGAACCAACAATCAATATCTTTATTGCAAATACTATGTATATCTCTCTGTGCCCCATACTTTTGCAGCAATCACTTCACAATTCGTTTGTATCTATTTATCAATACATCACTCCAAATACTTTAGATACATATATATATATAAAATAATGCGAAAAGTCAATGTATAGTTCGGACTCATGTATTTTCTCAAGTGTCCGAGTAACACCCATCTGTGTCTCCCCTCTGATCCCCCCACCTTGATTCTTCACATAGAGATGATTAATAGGGCCAAGTAAATTAATGGTTCCAGTTTCTGGGTCCCCTATCGAATTCATGTGTCTTATCCAGCCGTCTAGGGTCACCTTATGGTTAATTCTGCTCTGCTTGCGTTTAATCAGAATCTGTAGTAAGGGAAAAAAACTGCATTTGTTTTGAGTTAGAAAAACGCTGTATAAATTGGTACTATCACTATTTTTATTAGATTTTTAGACTCTGCTTATTAAGTGCTCTCTTCAGGTTATTCCAGAACATGTAAAATTTGTTAATTCTTCACTGCTAAATAGTTTTTTCAGTAAAAAAGTAACATTTATTTGAAATATGGAATGATTAGCTAAGGCATTAACTCAGGATAAACTAGTACATTTGTGGGTAAATTATTGTCCAGAGATATCTAAAAAATGCAGTTAAATACAGATTTACATTATTTTATTTTCAAATTTATTTTTTTAGCCTTTATGAAAATATTGAAATAAGAAAGCTTTGAGCATTACACATACATCTTAAGCCTTATTTTGCAATGTTTCTGGCAGGGTCTATGTATACATGGGGTTGGATGTCAAAGGGTTAAAGGACCACTATAGTGCCAGGAAAACATACTCGTTTTCCTGGCACTATAGGGTCTCTAGGTCCCCCCCACCCTCTGGGTCCCTCCCCTGCCGGGCTCTAGGGTGAGGAAGGAGTTAAACCCTTACCCTTTTCCCCCGCCAGGCTCCCTGGGAACTGAGAACTCTCCTCCTCCTTTTAGCCGTCATCGGCTGAATGCGCATGCGCGGCAAGAGCCATGCGCGCATTCAGCCAGTCCATTGGAAAGCATTCTCAATGCTTTCCTATGGACGCTGGCGTCTTCTCACTGTGAAAATCACAGTGATAAGCGCGGAAGCCCCTTTTAGCGGCTGTCAATGAAACAGCCACTAGAGGCTGGATTAACCCTAAAGTATAACAACATCTACAGAGTTCAACATTTGAAAACAATAATAAAAAAAATCTGAAACATAAAAGTACTTTTACTTGCTTTTTATACGAAATATATGAAATATTTAAAGAAATATTCTAACATTACAAATAAGTATATTTATATTTAATGTTAGTGGCTGTAATTCTGACAACCACTTGAGGCATGTTAATGGCCAAATGTAAATATTACTGTTTTAAAACAGCAATGTAAAATATTAACAGGCTTCAGGGACAGTGTCTACTGTCTATGGCTGCACTCAAATCACTTCATTATGATAAAGCAGTTTTGGTGCTTAAAGTGTCCTTTTAATCTGTTTATTTGTGGCATAATATGTTTATTGTATAGCATGTTTATGATATAATATGTTTACTATATGGTATTTATTTTATGTTTATTTTATAATATGCTAATTTATTTTATATTATGTTTATTTATACACAGGGTGTGCAGTGGGTTATCCTAAAGCTAATCGGGATTCTACTATGAGGGACTGTTCCAAAACACCTCCAGTATGTTCATAAATATATGTTTTGTTATACATGAACTATTTTATTACCAGTACTAAACTATTCTCTGTCTAGTGTTTGATGTCATGTGTTTTATATGTGTAACTAACTCACATTAAACAAAATGGGCCAAATTATTATTAGTAAAAATGAAACACAATGGAACTCACCCCAACTCGTTTTGCTGTTTGCCACCTGGCTTCAGATTCCCTACACATGGTCATATGGAGTCTACATTGATTTAATAGTTTATTGGTTTATTAGCTACATTTGGGGGAAACTGGACAGAAAAGAAAATAGATTTCACGATATTTGGAGAACTGATGTAACTAACAAATTTATCGGCAGAGAAATAACCTCACTTTTGCTCTTAGTATAGGGATGAAAAAATGCTTGGTCTCTTTACGGCACCTGGGCTCCTTGCTAACACCTGGGCTCTAGACAGGAAATTTAGATTTGTCATGGCTGATTAACCCATCTATGAACTATACTCTCACTGCACAGGCGTAGCTAGATTACATTGTTCCTGGGCAGAAATGTACTTTGGCACCTTTTCTCCTCCCAGAACTGTATAATTTTTTGTATGTTGTCTCACGATGCATTTTGTTAGGGAAATTACATGCACATACACAAATTCATGAACGCATACACATACACATTCATATACATTCATATACATTCATATAGTCATATTTATGTTCATACACAAACATACATCCAAATACACACATATACACAGACACAAACTGATATATGTACACTGACTCATATGCAAGCAAATGGGCACATAGACACACACAGACTCATACACAAACACACATTCACACATACATAAATTCATATACACACACGGACACATACACAAACACACATTGACATACATTCACACAGACTTATCAGAAAAACACTCAGACAAATAAACACAAACATGGAGTCATACACTTGCTCACACACAAATTTATATTCACACACACAGAGTCACACAACACAATTTTTATCTTATTTTTGAGGGAGGGTTCACAGTGAGGTCCAGCCAAATGGCAATCCTCCCATGGAGCAGGGGGGCACAAGTGGCAGGGGTGTGTACCAAGCAGACCCCTCCACAAAAACAGGCACTTGCCTGTCATGTCATTGCTGGTGGGGATGTCGCATGGGAGGTGCCTGCTTCAGGGGACCCCAGGGATGTCCTTCAGCTCTCAATTTCAAAGTAAGAAAAGGGTAGGTGCAGTATAAACTGTAACATGCCTTGTATTAAAACAATGAATAAATGCATTATATATTCACTCACACTCATAGCAGATATATTTATTTTCCATTTTTTCTTACCTTCCAGTATCTCCCTGCAACTGTTAAAATCAGCACAGAAGATCTTCATAATATTCGCCAGGAAATGCAAGCCCAAAACATCAGTGCCTACATCATTCCAGCTACAGATGCTCATTTGGTAAGAACACTCACAGAATTCTGTCTTCAGAACAGTGAAGATTATTTTGTTTGCTTATTCAGAAAAAAAGTAGTTGCCTTGTCCCCAGCTACAATCAGATGCTCACAACATTCAATATTGCCTGGTGCGTTTATGCCACTTGGAAACGGATGAACAACAGAAAAAAGATCAATTTCTTTTATGTCAGGATTAATTAAAATAAAAACATTTTGCATCCTTTAATTGTTAGCCAAAATACCCTGTAATATGGAGAGACATATAACAGATTTAATGCAGTGGGTGCAGGGTTAATACCTTGATTTGGGTTAATACATCCTAATAATATAGTCTAGATTCTATATAGATTTATATAATCTGATTTGTGTGATTATGTGATTCATAGAAGATACTAAGGTTTTGTGTTGGATCTAAGGCTAGTGGCGACTCTAGGAACAATATATAAGATACCACAGTCAAAACTGGGGAGTCACAAATTATTTCCACTTAAGGGAAACTTGCCGCCATTAGTTGTCTGACACCAGCATGCACACCAAATTTGTCTGACTAATGACACCTCTTAATTTTGATCTGTTTAATAGATAGTTCCCCTATTTGCTATCTTTATGTAGGATTGACATATTTAAGGACACCAAATAATGGAGCAATCTGCTAAATAGTGACCTAATTTGGTATCCTTAAATATGGAGATCCTATATATTGGTACCAATTTAGGGGGTTATCTACTAAACACATACATATTTTCATGCACACACACAATCACAGACATATATAAACAGAACCACAGACATGCTTACACACAACCACAGACATACACACACACACAACCACAGACATACGCACACAACCACAGACATACACACACACAGCACAGACATACATACACACAATATTAGACACGGATAACCACGCAAATACACACAATCCCAGACACACACACATACACAATCATAGACACATTCTATACACACAATTCGTATTAATTTAAGGGTGCAGCCGACCTCACTACCTTTCCCTATAGAAGTGAAGTTAACCCTGTGCAGGGTTAATGTAAGAGGCCTGTGACACTGCATACAGACCACTTCAATGAGCTGAAGAGGTCTTGGTGTCTATACTGTCACTTTAAGGGGAGGGAGAGATGTGGGAGCAAGATTCAGTTTGTTATGTTTGACCCATGTACTTTAATTTAGCTAGATGTCCTAAGTCCCAGTAGTCTTCAGTACTACCTGCTGATGGGGACATATATATGAAACTTATGAAATATGTGACAATGTAAATAATGTCTGCAGACACAGACAGCTATTTTTATTATATATATTTTAATTCCAATGTCTTCATTATAGGTTAAATATCCCCACGATAAACAGTTTGTTAGTATGCCAGGCCAAAAAAAGAATATTCTCCTACATACAAAATAAATTGTAGACATTTTAAGACAGACTTGCAAAAGTAACCCAGATGTTGGTCTGCATGCAATGCGTTTTATAATAGGAGCTTCAGCACAAGACATAAATCTAATATATCCACAGAAAAAGAATTCAGTAACGCTACATCAGTTATCAAAGTGACTGACATTTTCAAATGCAGATTTTATGCTTCAGATCATATCATTTATTTTGCCAATTCGTCACACATTTTGACAATATCCCAACTTTTCAACACTTCGCAATGATGCTCTTTCTACAGCTTTATATTTATGTCTTTTGTTTCTTTATTGTTATTTTATTTTTATTGAGAAGTTTAAGCAGAGGAGTACATGCAGAAAATCATTGCAAGTACATTATTTTTTTTAAATAGACAATAGATAAATCTGCTGTATTGAAAGTTAGCAAAACAATAAGGGCAGCAAATTGTGTATCATGGCTCATTTGTAGTCAATAAAAAATAATACACACAAAGAAAAATACAAACAGCATATATCAGCCACTTTCAGAAAACAAAATAGGAGGCACCTGAATAAGAAAATCCATAGGGCTACAAAATCTGTGGCATTGCTAGGTTCCAGAAAACCCTTGAATTGGGCCCAAATCAAAACTTGATCACCTCTAGACTAACAGTGAGGTGGGATATGGCATTACACACTCCCACCTTTCCACACTATGTCCTCTTCTCTAGCCCCTTGACTGTGTCTAGAAGTTGATGCTGATGGATCTTGAGCTCAATAAAGCATACCTGCATACAAGCTACACAGCCAGGTATTGAATGTGATAATGACACGCTAACTAACAAACATAGAGACATTCAGAAAGTTCTGTTCCCCAGCAAACCCTCCTGAAATTCATGTCGGGGACACTACCCCCTCCCCCTTACTAGTCTTGCAGCAGACTCTGCTAGTGATCTGTCCACGTGAGTCAGGTGGCTACATTGAGAATCAGCTGCTTTATATCATTTACAAAAATAATAGTAATATCCTCCTGCCCTCTCCATTAACTGTAGAAATCGAGAGCTAAACAGCCCACATCTGGGGCTTGAGTTTCTAATGCCCTTCCACCCCCCAACAATGTCTATGGCTACCTTTGAAAGAAAATTAGTCAGAATAGTAGTTCAAACAAGAAAGAAAAAGGAGAAAGTGAAAACAAGGCGTACAATGATATCAAACACACAATAAACACAACACTTTACTAGCTGTATTTATCTATTTATTTATTTGACATATTTATTAATTTACTTTCTTTACCCTTAAAGTCAAAAAGGGCCTCTTGGATATAAGTCAATCCCTATCTATCTATCTATCTATAAATATATATTCACAAAGTTTGTGAAGTAGAATTATTATTTAAAGAGCTTTTCCAGAAATTACACCTGAAAATAAATAAAACACAGCTTAAAGTTTATTTTGTTGCACTCCTCTAATCTATCCTGTGTCACTCGATATATGATCAACTGACAACATTTCCACCACCAATGGGTCCTTCTCAAGCCTCTGAATGGTTGATATTTTATCACAAAAAAAATTCACGCTGAATAAATTAGAGGGGTGCTTGAAGCACTTTGTTATTTGTGCATTTATATTCAATTTAACTGAACTGGAGGGTCTCCCCGGCACCATTATTTGTATTAAATGCTTAATCATTATGAGAAATGAAATGTATGATTGGTTGATAGATGGGAAGAAGATATTACCAACCCCCCCCCCCCCACTCCAATTTACATATTCTCAATATAATATTTTTTCGTAGTTACATTGATGCTATAATGAACGTGTGATGTGCGGGTCCTTTAATTTCTGCATTATTGCATTAACAGGGTGAATATACAGCACCGCGAGAGAAAAGGAGACAATGGTTGAGTGGCTTTACCGGATCTTCAGGTAAATAAATAAATTAATTAGAGTTTGCAACAACTTAACAGCAATTTTCACTATAGAATTAACAATATATAATTAATATAATTAAAAATACAATGAATATTACATATACAATAGATTAAATACCAATCTGAATTTTACGTTTTGATGGTTTTCCCTTACTTTGCAAGTATTTTCATACTTAAAGTGCTACTCGTTTTCTTTAATATTGCCGTTTTCATAGAAGCAAAAAAAAATTGACTTTGAATTGAAAAATAGGAATGTATTGTTCCAATTATTTTCAGTCCAGTATCTGCATTTTTCATTGTTAAATATCCAGACTAATCTACCCTACAGATGTTATCTTACATCATAGCATCCTACAAGGAGAGGTATGGCATCAGAATTGGTTGGGCAGAGCCCTGATGTTGTGTCACCAGTGACACAACAGTGTCACTGGAGACAGATGCCCCACTGACAAGCTGTCTGGCCAGCACTAGCCTTCAGGACCATGCAGGAAGCATTGCTGTAAAGTTCCCTACATGAACCTAGTACTGTACAACAATGTTTGCTCTGTGCTGCCCGAAGAGTATTCTCTGATGTCCCCAGATGCATGCAAGCGAGACAACAGGATAGGACCCTGCAATCAGGATAGTGTCCCTTTAAATGCAAAGTAAGCATATTGCTGCAATTTTATTCTAAAGCTGCAATACAAAGAAATGACAACTGAAAGTACCTTGAGAATACATGTCCCTTGACATACCTGTCAGCTAACCCAATGAGAGTTGGACATCCCCGATTCAGACCTCCTTCCATTCTCCATTGACATCTGGGAACACTAGAAACAAGTGCAGAGGAAGTAAATGTTCAAACTTTTCTTTAGCTGTTCTTTTCCTCTTGCGTCACTGCACTTCAGCAAAGCTAGTTTTCTTTCTGGACTAGCATGTCCCTTTAAACAGCGACACATATTGCTTAACTGACATATTTTCATCCCAGCTTCCTTCTGCTCTTTGACAGAACCCAAAGCAGCCAGGAAACTTGAATTACAGAGCAATCACCCCTGGTTAAATGAATTACACAATACTAGAATGAACCAGCAGTTTTAATGTTATGCAATAAAAGAAGTAGTTTGAGTGTAGGTATAATAAATGTAAATATATTGTTAAAGGTTATACTCTTGTAGATAATAAAATACCGATTCTAACCAAGAGATAAGAGTTATCATGGGCTGGAATGTTGCACATTCTTCCTGTCACTAGTGAATATTCCTAAATGTTTTTTTTATAGATTTAGTACATTTGATACATAATATCATCCAATAGTTTATTACAGTTTCATGTGATCTGTGACCTACATCTGTGGTTCTTTCCTGAAATCGAAATTGATGATATATTTTAGTAGTTACACTGTGTTTCTGTGATTTTTAAGATTTCCTTGTCATTCTATGTCACGTTGGTCATTAACTATGCATTACACAGGAAGGGTTTTATATTGAAGAGTTTTTGTTCTCTAGGCCTAGGGTACAGGTGTGGTAGAGCAGGTGGTAAATGTATTTGGCTGTGTTTTTAAGGCCCAACAATCAGATTTCTGATACCTTGCCAGACTTAAAGGATCACCACAAGCATCATAACCACTACAGACTGCTGTAGTGGTTATGATGCCCTCAGTACTCTGGCTCTATTTCTCGGTAAGTGGTCATGGTGCTTGGAGTAATCCTTTAATAGCAGTCTTTGTAGATGGGGCATTGTCCTGTGGGGTTGGAGGTTTGGTTGTACTAACCTCCACTTGAAGGATATTTGCCAGGTCATCTTCCAGGCAGTTGATGTCTGAAAAGGCTAAGGCGTAGAACCAGGCTTCATCGTAGATGGAATAGGCCTCTAGGTCTGTCTAGGTAACGTTCCCATATCGCAAGAGGCAGAGCCAAGATCCTTCCCATTTTCTGCAGCCAGTGACGGCCAGGTTTGGAAGTTTATTTGCAATATGGAACAGTAGGTATGAATCATTATAAATGAGCTTTCCTGGTCACTATTGAGGACAAAAACTAAAGATATTATAGGGAGTAAGACTTCACATCTGAAACAAAAAATAAAAATCATCTCATTAAAATCTGCTATTCACCTCTTTAAGGCACTCAAGTGCATTGCTTCAATATATTGTTTTAGTTTTTACTCATCAATGAAACATTTAGTATAGAATATTATTATTATTATTATTTATTATTATTATTATTATTATTATTATTATTATCAATGAAACAATTAGTATAGATTATTATTATTTATTATTATTATTATTATTATTAGTATTATTATTATTTATTATTATTATTATCAATGAAATATTTAGTATAGAATATTATTATTATTATTATTATTATTATTTATTATTATCAATGAAACATTTAGAATAGAATATTATTATTATTAGTATTATTATTATTATTTAAGGTTTAATTCATTTTAACTAATTTTTATTAATAGACTGCATTTTATTCAATAAATAGAATGACGTTTAAGAGCTCATAATTTATAATTCTTATTTTTCTGTCTATGTCTTATAACTCAGATTTTCTGTCTATGTCAAATAAAAAAATAAAAAAAGGTATGAAACCATTAGTATTAAAGACATTTACTCTTTACAATATTGGACTTGCAGTGTTCCATGTATATAAGAAATTGCTGGTCTAATTTTAGGTACTGCAGTTGTGACAAGTTCTCGGGCAGCTGTTTTTACTGACAGTCGATACTGGACCCAAGCAGAGCGACAGATGGATTGCAATTGGGAACTTCAGAGGACAAGTCAGTGAACTATCTATTACAGTATATTACAAACATGCCAAAATATACATTTATATTGGCCAGACAATATTTTGTATAGATTTGCACACAGACATCTGGAAAAACAATCATCTCCACACTTTTATTATAAATAAGCATCACATGCAGATTTGCAAGCCTATAAAATAAATAAATAAAATTTTAATGTTGGCACTGAGCCGTGATGAACAACCAGTCTAACATAGAATGTCATGATAATAGCTAGCCAAGTGACAATGGCAGTCAAATGACAATTGTGAGTGAACCTATTCTCATTAAAATATTTACAATTTTGTTTATTTTTTTCCATGTTCTTTTTACAAGATACTTAAAGGTATACTCTGGGCATCATAGTGATATAATAGCGATAAAGTTATTATGGTAGCTAGAGGTACTGTGCACCATTTATTAACAGTTGAATTCCAAAGTGCTTACAATAGTTGCCATTCCCCTGACTCCTCTATCTCCTCCCCTAGACCCCGCTTTAATGAAGAAGCCTTTTTCACACGCTTTCCATGTTCATGAAATATTTAATATTGACAAGAAAAAATATTTTAATTGTGTTTGTGTTTTACTGAGTTCATTTTTTATCAATATGGTGCCAAAATTGTTCCAGAATGAATAATCCACAGCAAAACATTCTAGTCATCCCCAAAATTGATAACTTTTCTCAATGATTAGTAAATGTAATGTTATAACGTATTATGTGTATGTAACAGATCCCTTATATAAGTCCAGAAGTGAAGCAGTGATTATAACTCTGAGCTACCCTAAGCATCAGCCTAGACTTGATGAAGGTACAAATGAACTGGTTTATTAAGGCCAAGTTGCCTGCTTATATACACAACCCCCAGCAGGGATCTCCACACAATACAATGCAAGCCCCTCCCAAAGATCTCTGGGAGATAATTGCATTAAAAACGGTAAGCTAATTATCTCCCAGGAACAGAGACGCAAACATAAAAATATAAAACATAAAAATACCCAAAAACATCATAAGAATATATAATAACCCCACTAAAATACATCCCCAAATAGCCCTTATCTCAGTGCCCAAGTTCTCCAAATAGCGCTCAGATCCATGCAGTGTAGGGGAAAGTTCTGACCAGCTGAACACACGTGGTCCTATGCCCAAAACAGTTCCAGGGCGTTTGATGCTTTGGCCGGTCAACGTTCGGGAGCTCCTGCGGCCGCAATACGGGGTGGTCCACCTGGCTCTTAGGTAGTGTTTGTTCCTCTTAGTCTCAGGCACCTTCTCGCCAAAAAGGTATTGGTCTGTCGTTCAAAACCTCATGCCGAATTTAGTTCCATAACGATCACGGCTATGTACCACTGAGAGAGCTAATGTTCGGTTACATTTGAATGATGGGAAAGTGCCGAACCAGGGGCAACCAGGGAAAGCTGCTAATGGCGGCTGGGGAGATTTAACTCCTGAACAGGGTTTTTGTATATGACCCATAATCCTTGGGCAGGAGGCTAGCTAGCAGGCTCCTTCAGGTGTATCTTGTCTTTTTTAATTTAATGTAAGGCTACTGTTTGTGCAGGGTGATACAATGTAACCAGTACTTAATTTACCATAAGGTATTTATATTGATAACTGACTCACATTTTAAGCTCACTCATGGGATTGTCCTTCTCTCTACACTGGTAATAATGCAAAAAATGCATTTTAATATCGGATTCCTAATGCCAAGTTGTCAGCCATTTTCCCCTTTAAAAGATTCTTAATTGGTTACATTTAAAAACGTGCACTACATATACTAACCTGAGGATGACAGTATGACAATGTAACTTTAACTCAACCGTCTGAGCTTAATGTGCAAGAAAGATAAATTATAATGCTTTACTCCTTCAGTGAAATTCTTCATACCGTTACCATACACAATGTTTACTGATGTTTCATCCCTTTCATGTATAAGATTTGATTTTGAAGACTGAATGAAAAAGACCCTTCACTACAAACAAAGGCCCCGATTTAATATTGTTGGACTAGCTTTTCAAATTATTTAATATTTTTGGATAAACTTTTAAAATATTTTTTCAAAATGTTTAAATATCGAAAAATATATACTATATGTAAACTATCAATATATATAAAAAAATATTAAATTAAGGACTAATTTAGGAATGACCATTCACCTGTATCGAGGAGACCTTTCAGTTGTTCCATTCGGAATGCCTCCTTGCATAATCAATTCACATAGAGAAAGTGCCAAATATGACTTTGTACTTTGGTTTGATATTAACCCCTTAAGGACGGCGGGCTATACGGTCTCAAAGTTATCATAACCAATCTGGCAAATGTCAATGTGTATAAAACCTGTAAATGGGAAGTACTGTTGTACTTGTGAGACATCACTGAATTTAAATATTCTTAATTTCCAACACTTTTTTTTAGATTTGATTCATATTAATTTATGTTTAACATATAAATATTTGATGTGTAATGAAAGCCCTGTTTCTCATTAGTAAAATCTATAATAGGTGTGGGTGCACTTAATATGAAAGAGGTGAATTACGGTTGAACAGACACATAGTCAAATTCCAGGTTTTGTTTTGATTTTGTTTTGATCATAATGTGTACAACTGCCTTCGTCCTTAAGGGGTTAAGAATATTTTGTGTTTTTACAGACTCAGACCTGGATTAATTCTTTAGAGTTTCAAAATTTGATTTCGTAATTTGCTTCCGACAACGTAAACTCCTAAAAGATTTATCACATTTTACTTTAAAATAAATAAATAGTTTGTAAACACTGGATGCAAAATGGTCAATGCCTTTTTGATTCTGGAATTCAGTAGATAACTAATTGTCATCATTTATCTGCCATTCATCATTGGCAATGGCAGGCAGATGATATACCTTTAAGACATATATCAGTTAAAGAGACAGGTAACACTTACACTGGTCTGATATAGCTGATATGTTTAATGCAGGAAAATGAACTGGGATTGTTTGATAGCCAATAATCTGCTGTGGTTATCTGTTAAAATTAATCATAATAATCATGGTAATTTTGACTTCAGTTTCAGCTAATACCATGTTTTTGTTTTGTTATCAACAGTATCAAGCGGTGATATTGTGGCATGGATCTTCAGCGAAGTATCTTCTGGTCAACAAATTGGTTTTGACCCCTTCCTCTTCTCTATTGGTATGTTTACTGCAATAGATCAAACGGCAAGTTAATTTCCATAAAACTGGTAGTGGCAGCAGTAGCGATTTAATAAACCAAAAGCTATAACAGGCAGCATGATCCTCATAATATGCAACATAACGAGCATGGATAATTCTATATTAGTCAGAAAACTGTAGCATCTCAGTGAGAACCAAGATAGATCAATCAGAAACAAATCATGTACAATAGTCCTTCTACGTGAAGACTGAACGGCAACGTGAATGCACTAAAAAAGTATAAAATATAACAAAATTGCATACAAAATGCTAAACAGATAACTTAATCACATTCAATATGAGAGATTCAAAATTTGGTAGGACGGCAACATTTTAGGTTTATTTTGTTTTCCAAACAGGGGGAATAAGACAGGCTATCTTTTCCGTGTCCCCCTCCCCAAACATTTTGCTCCAATAATATAGTGTGCATGCTCCAAGCCTGGCATGTTGCATTAAAACAAACTCATTACACTTTGGCAAATGTCTGTAGCATTCATAAATATAGCGGATTCTAGTGTTGTAAACTACTGGTCCACTAGATGGCAGCAGCTGTTTGTTAGAATGTTATTTTAACTGCAGGTACAGCTGTAGATTTGACTAAAAGTTAACATTTTGCAACATGTAGATTATAAGCACTCATGCTGAAATTATTGGGTAAGAAAAGATTGTAGTGGATGAATGATTTTACAGGAGTTGATTAAGGTAGTTGTGCATGGGAATACTGGAGCTTTGAGAAGAAGTGATACATTGAAGTATTTAAAAAAGGAAGTGGTGTCTTTCATCATTATTTTTGTCCAAAAACACATTACTATCTGAGCTTAAACATACTTCCTGGTTTGGTTAGCTCAGTGAGGCAGCAATTGCCCAGAGCACTTTCCTTGCAAAGACTTCTCATTGAGTTGCATTAAGAAGTCTGTGATTGGGCGAAAGTCTGGGTGGAGTTAAAAGGGGAGGGCTTGCAAAGGCTACAAACAAGAGATCTGCAGCTTTTGCAAACTGTTTTTAGATATACCCCATTTAAATAAATGCATAATTAAATGCATGTATGTTTTCATTGCAGTATATCTACTAAATACTAAATGCTAAAAATCTACTAAATAGAGTTGTTGTTTTTTTTTGTTTGGGCAGTGGAGTGTCCCTTTAAGCAACTAAACAGTCAAATAGTAATTTAGTTTGAAATGGCTTTTTATGACCCCAATGAAACAGAGCTTTGGATTTGGGATACATGATTTGAATGTAGTTTTCCCCAGTAAGTTAGTTTTCATAAAAGTATAAAATGTATGACCCTGTGGTAGGCAATATTTTTATCTTGGATTTTTTTTGACAACCGATTTATTTTTATCATTAATATTTAATATGCCTAATTATAGAATATAGACTCAAACCAGTTGTTTATGACTCTATTATTAGTGGTAGTCTTGGGCTACAGTTTATAGATTGGTAGGTGTAAGGAACCCCCTTGAGATCTATTTTATACATATTTATATTTTGTTTTATCATTATATCTGCTTGCTTACAGATGAATGGACACGTTACAATAATTTGATAAAAGATTCTGGAAGGATTCTACATTCAATACCAGACAACTTAGTGGATAAAGTATGGGGCAGTCAGCGTCCTTCCTTGCCAAACAGTGAGATTTATTCACTGCCGAATGATTTTGTAGGTAATGTATTCCTACCATTTATCTTCTAATTCAGCTAGACTATGAATAATACCAATACATTTTATTTATATGCCATTTGCCTTTCAAAAATCAGAAGAAGTAATCACAAACTGAGAGAGGTTTACCCAATGTTGGTCTTGCTAATAGTCAGTTTAATGAGCAGTGAATTGCGTAGACAACATTGTGAAAAACAACATAAGAAGATTTTGCTCTGTATAATGAAGCATGAGATGTACAATAAAACTTGAAAACAAGGTTTTTCTAATACAATTTAGAGATTTCGAAAGGTAAACTTAACGGGTTCCGCTAAAATGGCAGAATTTTTTAAGCATAATTTCTTTGAGAGATTCAATACTTTTGCACTCAGTTGCATTTGAGGACCCTTATCCTACTAATTTATGGTAGTAACTGTCCACAATACAGAGCAATAGAGGTTTTTTCCATTGTATAGTGGATTGCCACAAGCTAACACCCAGACATTGAGGAGCACACAATTCACGACTGAGGATATTCCTAATGCTATAGTTTTAATATAGCTATGGTAATATCCACTTACCATAGCTAGATTTGAAGGTGGAGATTTCCTTTAAGTCCTCGACATGTTGGTCTCCACTCTGCAGGCACACCTCCTTGGTTGAGATCAAGAATCTCAGCCAATCCAATGCTTTCCCATAGAAATGCATTGTGAAGCAAGCGCCATGAGACTATCTGATTGAAATAGCAGTATTTTACTCTGCTATTTTGGGAAAAGCGTGTTAAGTGGCTGTCAGGACGGTAACCACTAGAGGCATTTAAACCCTGCAATGTAAACATTACTCAACCTGCAGAATGGAAATATTTTGAAAATGAGGGGGACATGGCCCTAAACCACTTCACTGAGATGAAGTGGTCTGGGTTCCTACAGTGTTCCTTTAACCATAAACATAAAAATCTAATTTATATTTTTCATGAGAGCATGAAAAACTATCAATACTTTATAGCAGTTTTTTTATTTATTTTTTAAAAAGAGATAAAAACACAAAAAAAGACATTGCCAATTAATTTGATACAAAACAATTGCAAAATATAAGAGGATAATTTCACGGGTAAACATAGTCAATATAATGAGCTCACGAATTACAGAGAAAGGAGCGTGGACAGACATACAGTAGTCTACAGTCTGACTGACCTTGAAAGTCAAAAAGATTTTTTAAAAAAAAGAGAGAGAGAGAGAGAAAGAAAGAAAGAAAGAAAGAAACGAAAAACAGGGAACGAGTGAAGAAGGGATCGGAGAAGGAGGGATGCAGTGACATTTATGGAGCAGACTATAGTTGACCAATGAGATGATCAGAATATGGCCTTAATGTTTTCTAATTACATTGGTATTCGTTTTTAGAGTAACGGTGGTCAGATTGGGAGGTGTTTAATGTAACCAGCTCTCCACAAGAGCTACATTATAGCAGTTTTTTTAAATCGTCCATAGCTCGCTTTTTAGTGAATAAAAAACTAACGTGAGAATTCAGAGTGAATCAAAGTGAAGTTCAAATTTAGAGGCAGAGTAGCTAAACTGAAAGTATAGCTGCTAAAAAAATGTTTCAGATTAAGCAATTTTGGCCTTGATTTTAAATTCACCTTGAATTAACTTTGAATTCTTACTTTAGTAAATAAACCCTTATGCCGAGCGAGGAACACTTTGAGTCAGTAATTAGTGTTTGTCAGGAACTGAAACCACTGTGTTAACACATTGACATTAGGTGTAATATTTACTTACTTTGGAGGTTATATAATGAAAGACTCTCGTTACACGTATGACTACACAAGGTTCAGAAACAGCGAAGACTTTATAGACTGCAGCTCAGCAACTCCGGAAACAGAACTGAAATCTGCATTTTGAATGCACGTCAGTTGACATCCATATTTATTTATATATTATCTGTCCCTGTGAGAAGCTAGTCTGTGTCATTAACATGTACAATCAAATTACTTTTACATTCAAATCATTAAAATTAAAGTATGGAGCTATATTGTTTAGTTGTTTGCAATTCTTAAAAAGAAATGATATATATATAGTATACGTGTAGATACATGTATTGGTGCTTGTGTGTGGATGTATGTGTAGGTGTGCATGTACATATATTTGGGCATTTGGTTGTATTATATGTATATTGTATGTACTTGTGTATAGTGTTCTTGTGTGTACTTGTAAATATTCACTACTACTGTATATGTACATGTGTGTGAGTGTGTGCGTGTGTCTGTGTATGCTGGATATAGGCCTTCATGCATATCCTGTAACTCTTGGATTGGAATTTAGGTATTGTTTATATTAATACTCCCCCCTTCTAGCACCATTTTCAGCACTGTTTGCTTGTTTTTTTTTCTCTCTCTCCCCCTCACTCTGTGATCTTCGCATAAGATATTTACGACCCTCTGCAAGAATGGTGTCTATGTTCTATCAAACCTGTGTCTTATCTACACTCATTTCGCTTTAACCCCTGTATCACAACTCAGCTTTAAATTCTATGTGTCGTCTTGCTCAGAAATGCTTCAGACTTTAGAAAGGGAGGTTCTCCCGAAAACTTGTCACTAAAAAAATATGTTAGTCCAATAAAAAAGATGTTACAACATTGTATCTGTTTTTTACATATATAAATTATAAAATCTTGTTAGCAAAAGAGACAGATTGCAAGAGAACAGAACAAAACTCGTATAACTTGTCCATCTTTGGCCCCTGATCAGGTCTCATGCTAGTTTTTAACTCACTTGTTCTACTACAGATAAAATCTACACCATTTTCATATCAAACTGATCCCACTCAACAGGGCAATACAGAGCCCATGCCCCTTTCTACACACTATATGCTTTAGTCTAATACTATACTAGATTAAAACACAAATAAAATCATTTTAAAATGGATGTCTGTATTTAACAGTAAACACAGGGCTGGTGCTTGGATTTTTAGGTACATAGGCGAAGATGCATTTTTCCGCCCCCCCCCCAAAAAAAAATCTTCACCTATGTGCCTCTTAACCAGCCCCTCTCCCCTCCCTGACCATTAGTGGTCCCTTCCCTTCCCTGTCCCTTAGTGTTCTTCTCCCCTCCCCCCTTTTTTCCCTGTCTCTTGGTGGTTCTCTCCCATTCCCTCCCTGTCCCTTGGTGCACCCCACACCCCTTTAGTGGTCACACTTCCTGGTGTGTGCCTCCTACCTCTATTGTTGCATTGCCAAGCGGAGCAGATCCCCTAAAGGAGCTTCACTTTTCTGTACCCGGCCGGACTGACAGGAAGTGCTCTCTCTGTGAGCACCTCCTGTCAGTCTGGCCAGGTACAGGAAACAGAAGCTCCTGTACCGCGCTCTGCTCCACTACACTCTGTACACACTGACAGTCACACACTCAATGACAAACACACAGACGTCACTGACAGACACAGACTCATTGATCTGACACACTCATTCATTGACACTGACAGACCCACACTGATTGACACTCATTGACAGACACACTGATAGTCACACACAGACTCAATGACAAACATACTCTCACTGATTTGACAGACACACACTCATACACTGACAGACACACTCATACACTCACATGCACACACACTCATACAATCACTCACAGACACACACAGACACACACAGTCACTCACAGACACACACACTCACACACACACTGTCACTCACAGACACACGCTCAGTCACTCAGACACACACACTCATACAATCACTCACTCACACACACACACTCAGTCACTCAGACACACATGCTGTGACTCACAGACACACACACAGTCACTCACAGACACACGCTCAGTCACTCAGACACACACATGCACACACACTCATACAATCACATACACACTCAGTCACTCACAGACACACACACTGTCACTGACAGACACACACGCTGTCACTCACAGACACACACGCTGTCACTCACAGACACACACACAGACGCACACAGTCACTCGTGGAAACACACACTGTCACTCACACACAGACACACGCTCAGTCACTCAGACACACACATGCACACACATTCACAGACACACTCACTCACTCACACACACACACACACACATGCTGTCACTCACAGACACACACGCTGATGCACAGTCACTCACAGACACACACTGTCACTCACAGACACACACAGTCACTCAAAGACACACACACTGTCACTCACAGACACACGCTCAGTCACTCAGACACACACATGCACACACACTCATACAATCACTCACAGACACACACTGTCACTCACAGACACACGCTCAGTCACTCAGACACACACATGCACACACACTCATACAATCACTCACAGACACACAGACGCACTCACTCACACACACACACACTCAGTCACACACGCTGTCACTCACAGACACACATCACATACATTGACTAATTATTTTATAAATACACATTTTCCACCCAGCCTCCCTACCTGGAGAGCTGGTGTGGATGATGGATCGGTCCCTGAGGGGTGGGGCTGCTGAGAGGCATGCGACAGTGCTGCGATCAGGCGCGGCGAGAGAGCTCTAATCTCCACCCTCTGCTCCCTCGCGGGCTGCCTACTGATGCCGCGGGAGCCGGAATATGATGTCATATTCCGGCTCCCGCGGCATCAGTAGGCAACGCGCGAGGGTGGAGATTAGAGCTCTCTCGCCGCGCCTGATCACAGCACTGCCACGCCGGGGGTCGAGATGGTGCCCTGGCAGGAGGGAGAGCTTCCCTCCTGCCGGTCACTGAAATATTGCGCCCCCAGAGCCCGTGCGCCCTAAGGCGGCCGCCTGTGCCGCCTTATGGATGCGCCGGCCCTGAGTAAACATAAGGAACTGCACTCAATCCCATCAACCTGAGCCAGGGTGCAACTAAACCAGGACCAAGCACCATGTTCAAGTGGCAATTGTATAATATACAAGAAATGGTTCAGGCACTCCAAGGTTCAGAATGGCAAATTTATTGGAGCCCAAAGCAACGTTTTGACCTTACAGTCTTTGTATTTAACAGAAGACATCATGTTTCCATTAGTTTGTATTCTTCTGACCACTACAATTACAGAATCTGTTATCTGGTTGTTAATTCTGGAACAATAGTTAATTTTAAGTACCCAAATTAGATTTAATTGTTTATTTTTTATTTCCTAATTTTGCGATTCCGATGAATTTCTGAGGTTATCCACTTCTTTTTCTCATGTTCCCTTGAATAAGATTTAGTGCTCTTTAGGCACAGTCTGTTGTGATTTTCTATGAAAGGAACGAAAATGAGAAGAATGGTCCCTCAATCTGGGTTGTGCAGGTTCTATCATACTGTTAATGGTGGACTTTTCAAATGGTACATGTACAAATGGTGGTCAGTCTTATATGAACCAACTAGAAAGCAATGCTAATAAATACTTTTATAACCTTTAGCTCTTACCATTTATTTTTTTCAGGGGATACCTGGCAGCAGAAAGTGGAGAATATTCGTGATCAAATGAAAAAACATGCCCAGAAGCCCACTGCTGTGCTACTCTCTGCCTTAGAAGAAACTGCATGTGAGTGGAACAAATTTATCAGTATAGAGTTACATGCTCAAGTTACATTGTAGCTGACACGGTTAACCTAGGAAGGTATACAAATTCTTATACATTGTGCTGGAGAAACAAGACAAAACATGGAGATTTGTTTCTTTTTGAACTGCAGTTCGTTTGAATTTGGACTGATCGGTTAATTGTCTAAATTCCCGAACTGTGAGCCCAAATCATGAACCAACCTAAAAGAGCAAAGGACAAGGATAATTTGTGATACAGAATTCCACCTGTGGCTCCAAAAAAAAAAAAAGGAAATGATTGAAGGGGACAAAGCATGGGGACAACCACTAAATCCTGATTTTATTCACAGAGCCAAAAAAAAAATAATATATACATAATTATGTGGCATTATAATATATTAACTAGAGTGAAAATACAGCATAATTTACTAATTATGTATCGCTAACTAATCAATGTACTAAAATCACTTACTGTGCCATTCTGTTTCTTAGGGCTTTTTAATCTCCGTGCGCAAGACATTCCCTTTAACCCATATTTTTACTCATATGCATTGCTGGCTGAAGATTCCATCAGGTTTGCAAACCCACTCTACTTAAACTGCTGTGTGTATTGAATGCTTTATTTAACAACAGTCCAATAAATTGTCACTGCAAATGTGGACTTCTCGCACAAGTGCATCTAAATAGTAAAGTCTTAGAAAATAGTTACCCATTGGAAAGCTGCCTCACCAATCATAGTTACTCATAAAGTACCATGCTACATATTAGGCCTGGATCTAAGATACAATGTCTGGACCAATCACAACTCTATTTATGGTCAGATTTATTTTGTATGTATATATATAGGACTAAGGCCAGCCAGTCCAAAATATCTGAAGTGTACCTTTTATGTACCATTTACTAATGGATTACAATATTTAACCATCTACATGTATTTCTTATGTTAGTCAAGGTTAGTAATTGAACAGGAAGGAAGGTGATTAAAGTATTTGGGATGGGCCTTTCAGTGATGTGTAAAGACATATGTACATCTGCAAGGTCGCAAACATATGCCTGAATTCATCTAAATTACTAGGCTACAAAGTCCTAGCATTGTACAGATTAATGATAAAAAATGCTAGAGTTCAAAGTCTAATTCTTTTGATTTTTCATAACTTTTGGGGATAAAATGTAAGCTATGCGTTATATCTTGCCTTTGCCATTGCAAAATATTCAGCAAAATAAGTTAAAATGTTTTCAGTGAGTTTGATTAGTAAACACAACAGGTTATCAATAGCAAAACCCTATTTTCTCCCTTGGAATTTACCAAGACAGAAGCGATAAGAGGATGCATAGTCAGAGCCAGAAAATAAGAATTCACACATTTCATTACCTTTAAAACATGAAAAGGCAATAATGTTCTCAACATATTGTCCTGTAGGTCTGTGAACATGAACCGTTAATGCTATGTATGTTTGTGTAACTATATGACTGTGAAAGAATATAAAGAAAGATTAAAGTGTTCCATGAATGATGATCCTGTCCATTTCCAAGTTGTTTATTTCATTTAGAATACTGACAAGCAGACACACACTATTTCTGTTCTAATGTTTTCCTCTTTTATATTCCCCCAATAGTTTGTTTGTAAATAACATGTCCCGCATCACTCCTGAACTTTCAACTTACCTGAACACCAATTGCCCACAGTCAACATGCGTCAAAGTGCTTGACTACAATCAAGTTCGGGAGAGTGTAATTGACTATGTGAAAGGAAATGTGATAGTATGGATTGGAACCAAATACACCAATTATGGACTGTACGAAATAATACCAAAGGTACTATTTTCAATAATTTATACTTTATACCATAAATGTCCTGAAATTTGTATCTAAATGAAAGCGATTACAAATCGGTGTCTTTATTTCATAACCAAGAATTTTCATTTTTATTGATCCATGTGAATTTATCCGCGTAGTACAAAGCTAAAGTGTTCATGAGTCCAACCTATATAATTCTTGTTATGTTGCCTGGTTGAGATCAATGTCCAGGCTGCCAGCAGTTAAAGCTGTACACAGTGATTTGTTTTAAAAGAAAGGGTGCATAAAATATATGGTAGGCTGGGTTTAGGATTATTTAGTTTAATATAGTATGGATTTTATTGGATTATGGTTGCTGTGATTAGTGGAATGATCAAGAAGAAGCCTGTTTATAGATATAGATTTTTGAAAAAGAGTTTGAAGATAATAAGCGATAGAGTCAGGCATTGCATGTTAATCCTATATGTTAAGGGCAGCTTTGGAAAATTGGTGTATAATTAATAAAAGGGTTGTGATGGAAAATGGAAAATGTTTTTTGTAAATCAGGATAAGGAATTTTATTTTTATTTTTTATTTGTTCTTTTGAATGGATGATACAAAGTGAAGGGTTTTGCAGATCCGTGGATGGTTGATGAGCAATGAAGATGAGTCAAGAAAGGAAACATTTTGTGTAGCTTGGAACTGAGTCAAATGGTTGCCAGGATGACAGATAAGGAAGAGGTGTAAATAGCCAATATTCTCCTTCATTAAATGAATGCATTAAAAGTGTTTATTTTAGTAAGAAATGTCTATGTGTTGTGACAAACATACTTCCCTGTGTGTGTTTGCCCAGGATCTTTTGGCAACTGCACAGCCCTCTAGGGTAAGGAAGCCAGGCCAAGACAAAGTTTAGTTTCAAAGGCCTCTGGCCTGTTTATTTTCTGTTGATAAGAAGTAACAGGATACAACAGGATACAACAGGATACAACAGGATACAACAGGATACAACAGGATACAACAAGCAGCAAACCTTCTTTCTCCTCAAAAACACTTCCCTCACTCCACCTTGCTTTAGCTGCAGTTATATAGCTGCTCACAGCCCCTACAGGTGAGGCTAATGACCTTGTTAGGTAGTGAACCAGAACTCCTTAAAAAACCTGGGATGGACTCATGCACAGCCACTCTGACAGTGGGTGGAAAATCGCCACACCCTGCTGTTCCGAATACTCCACCCCAGGGACCCTAATAACAACAGAGAAAAAAAGACCTACATTTAACCTTAACTTTCACTGGGGATGCATGTGCTTAACCACATGTCAGGATGGTGGCTGTGCAAAAGTCTGGGTGCCAGATATACACCCCTGACCACCATCTCCAACACTCTGTCACAGTGTGCAATATTTTTGAGATGGAGGCAGCCAGACCAGGTGCGGGGATTGAACATTAGGAATATACGAGAAGACATTCGAATAAAGCACAACTGTTAGAGATTTAGTAATGTAGAGTAGCAAGAAAAATTATATTCACATTGACAGACAATTTATAGAATATCTACCAGTAGCACTGGTTTAATTCATTTTATCTGTGCTTGTTTCTAGGAAAAGCTCCTGGCTGAAGAATACTCACCTGCTATGATAACAAAGGCTGTAAAAAACAAGAAAGAGCAAGAATTACTGAAAAACTGCCATGTGCGTGGAAATATTTTATAATGTTCTTTTCACCTGCAATCAGTCTGTTGATTATAATGAATGTCAGTTTGGTATAAAATAAAGCAGCATCTCACTCTTTCGTAGCCGTCGACATGAATAAAACTAACCTTCACAACTGAGAATAAAGGAGGGATATTGTGAACAAATACACAATCCCTGAATTGTATGTATGCACATATATAACACTATGCAACATGTAACACTAATTTATTTTGTAGATCCGAGACGCGGTGGCAGTAATTCAGTACATGATCTGGCTAGAGAAGACAGTACCTTCAGGGACAGTAAATGAAAACAATGCAGGAGACTATGTAGATTCACTTCGAACGTGAGTGCACTTTTTAATTTGGCTACTTAAACTTATCATCATTCTGAATCAAAACTACAGCATTAATTGAATTCTGCCATGGAGGAGCACTCCAAACACATAAATAATTTTAGCTTGCTGAAGTGTTTTGTCTGAAGGTGAGTCCTCTTTTTCATTTCACGAACAGTGCAGATTTTGACAGAAATGGGCAGTTTTATGAATTAACCTTACACCCCATAGCGGTCAATCAGACAACCAGCCTGTTACTTCCTGATTGTTTAGCTCAGTGGAACAAAACTCAAGAGGAAGAAATTGGCCGAATGACCTGCCTTGCAAAGACTTCTCATGGAACTGCATTGGCAAGTCTGTAACTTGATGTTTCCTTTATTCCACATATTTACTGGCATCAAATGCACACTATTATTTAGATTTTGATTCCTGGAGTTTTGCTTAACATTGCATCACATTCCTAAAATAAATTTTATTGTAGTCACGTTTTTGACAAATCTATTCTAATATGAAGTGTTTTAGATGACAAAACTTAACATCCTTCACCATGTGACAAGAAGTTCTTCTACATTTTGAGGGGGAGTGAGGTGCTGTAGCCCCATACGACCCTGAAGGAAAAACTGTTGTGTACTTCTGTTTCCCCCAAGGTTTATGTATTATATGGATTAAATTGTATTCTGAACCAATATCAAATACATATCTTTACTAATTCCAGGAAGCAGGCATACTTCAAAGGTCCAAGTTTTGAAACTATATCTGCCAGCGGCTTGAATGCAGCTTTACCCCACTATAGGTAAGATGTGAGAGAATGAAGGTGAAGGGAGGCTTAATATAATTTCTGCAATATCTAAAGGTCTAAGTAGTATATGTTCATGTGGATGACTGGGTGTAAGGGATGTTTCCATTACCCAGAATGCACTGTGATGCCCACAATTATACTTACATGGATATAAGATGACATCCATAGGTCAATAGTATGTGACAACATTTACATATTTAATTCCATCAAAGATCCAGCATTTTACATATTTAGATACATAATTTGGAAAGTTATTGTAACAGTATTGAATCATTTGAAAAACATATTAAATCAAGGCCAAAGAAGGCAAACAAAAATACACTGGAACTTCAATCTGATTGGCTGCAATAAATGGAGTATGGCTGCTACAGTATACATTTTTATTATGGGTAGTTGCCTTGTACCTAATTTCCGATGAATATTATGGAGGAATGCAAACCATTAGGTACCAGTACAATAACAGGTATAACATGTGATGTCAGGGTATGTATGTATGTATGATGAGAACTGTTGAAATAGTGTCAACTTCATAATGTGAATTTGCATCAATATATATATATATTTTTTTTTATAGAGCATCTAATGAAACCAACCGTGGACTCACTATAAATGAAATGTACCTGGTTGATTCTGGTGGTCAGTATCTGTGAGTATTTAGTATTTATTTATTTTCTTTCATAACACTATCTGTATTCATTATTATGTCTTCTCAAAGAATCTTTGAATAATTTATAAATTCATTCAAAACTTAAACTAACAAAGAATTAATTTTGTGCATTTACCAAAATATTTACTGTTTTTATCATTAGCATTGGGTTACATAGTTACATAGGCTGAAAAGAGATGTGTCCATCACAATCAGCTTTCCTTGAATCTGTTTTTTGCTGTTGATCCAAAAGGCAAAAAAACCCCAGTTTGAAGCACTTTCAATTTTAGAACAAACTAGGAAAAAACGCCTTCTTGACCCCAGAATGGCAGTCCTATTTATCCTTGGATCAAGAAGCTATTACCCTATTGAAAAATGATAACTTTGAATATTATGTTTTTGCAAATATTCATCTAGTTGCTGTTTAAACATCTGTACAGACTCTGATGAAACCACTTCTTCAGTCAGAGAATTCCACGTCCTTATAGTTCTTACTGTAAAAAAAAAATATTTCCATTGCCTTAGACTAAATCTCCTTTCTTCCAGTCTTAACGCGTGACCTTGTGTCCTATGTATAGCCCTGTATGTGAATAGATTTCAAGACAATGGTTTGTATTGGCTCCAGATATATTTCTATAATTTTATAATATGCCCTCTGAGGTGACATTTTTCTAAACTAAAGAGATTTAAATTTGTTAACCAGCGCTGAAATTATATTCCAATACAAAAATGAGAGCACTCACGGGATTCCAAAATTCCAAATCGTGTTTAAATGGTGCAAATATATATATATATATATATATATAAATAAAACAAAATGTGGTCCAATCAATTGACATTTTCCCTCTTTGGTTCTTTTTCAAGATAAGTGTACAAAGAGGTCGAAACATCATTTGGGTGGATGTAACACTTTTTTGTTGCACAAATAAATACACACTGGTAAAGTCCTGTGAGTTAACCACATTTTTTTGTTTTCTTAAATATTTAATGTGGTTTTGTACGCAGGCATATTAATTCTTGTAATTTATTTTTCTTTTGTTATTCGTATATATACAAACAAGTTGGGCTAGGCCAGTGTGGAGACCAAAAGGTCAAATGGAGCCAAGAAAGGGTTAAAGCATTAGTGGTAAAATGAAGACTGTTGCGAAAAGTCACAAAGTTAGTCGACTGTTTGTGAAAAGAGAGTTTATTCCAGTGAAATATAACAAGTAATAATGAATGGAATCAGATCAGGAGGAGGTAATACCTTGATATTCAGAATATTCTGATAAATCAAGCAGTAGAATGAACCTCACTGCATGTGAAATTCAGTTTTGCATTAACAATTTTCACATTAAATGTAAGAACATTGACTAACTTGTTTCCAAATATTTTTCAGTGATGGGACAACTGATATAACAAGAACTGTCCATTGGGGAAAACCAAGTGATTTTGAAAAGGTTTTTTTTATTTCTTATGAAATACTGTGTGATTTATTAGATATCATCTACCAATGCATTCATTTTGCTAACCTTCACCATGGAGTCTCAGAATTTAGGAACATTGTAGCCCAAAAATAAATGTAACACGCATATGCTATTTCAACATATGCTTATGACTTTTGAAAATGTGCAGTTCAATAATGTAATTATTAAATGTTAAAAAGAGAATGTAATAAAAAATATAATTAGTTCTACAAATAAATCACAAATAAATTTAGGTGGAGCTTTACAAAAGGTAAGAGACAGGGATGGGCATGGTCAAAGAAGCTTATGTCTAATACCCCCTTAATATACATTGACTGGATGTTTTTCTGTAACCTTTTAAATCTATATAATTAATACTGTGTATACCAATATAGTCAGGCTAGTTTTATTTGTTTTGGGGTTTTTTTTGCACTTGTTCAAAAGAACCAAAGGTTAAACAAAAATTATGCAGTTATCATATTTTGAAATAAAAATGAAAATATAAAAACAAATGAGCTATTATAAAGAAAATATAAAAAGTTTATAATTAAGGGAATTTAGGCTGCAATAGCCAAGCTCTATTTTGCTACATTTGCAATTCCTTTGTCATTCCCCTCCCAACTTCTTCATTTAGTAAATAAGGACTTTAAACAGTTTTCAGTGCTAGAGAACTGGCTTGATAAACTCTCTACTGGGGGATACATTTCCCAGTAAAGAGTTAACTACACATGCAAGTCTCAAATCATATTCCCCTCTCAGCATAAGTGATAGCATATTTTACATACAAGAGATATGCTAAGCTTCACAACAACTTTAGCTTAACAAAGGAGTTTGTATGTAAAGTTTAAGCCCCAGCAGTCTCACTGCTAAATTCTCTACTGTTTAGGTGTTAAATTACATTGTTTATTCAGCTCTTGCCACACCTCTACTAGTTACAACTAACACAGCCTCCATAAAATAAAGGTTTAATTTTTACAGCACAATGTGTGTATATTAGAAGTTTTGATCTCCTGCTCTGTTAATAAAACTCTAACCACAGGTGGCTACTATAGGCTGCAATTAAAAGTGCAGGAGATAAGAAATCATTAATTAAACACACTGTGCAATAAAGCAATTTTAAAAATTAGATATCTCTTTACAGGAAGCATGTAGAGAGGCTGTGTGAATCACAGGCAGGGGAGGTGTGGCTAGGACTGCATAAACAAAGCGTCTTAATTCTAAAATGACAGTGAATTGAGCAGTGAGTCTACATTAGCTATATACCAAACTGTTTCATCAAGCTAAAGTTGTGTTGGTGCTTAGCATATCCCTTTAATAGTTTATTTTATTACATTGAGTACATGCTAATAGGACAGCCCCATTAGTGTGCTGCTTTTTGCATACTTTTTTACAGTAAGATATTATACCTGATTGAAATGGGCTGAATTAAGTTGTATTGCCTTAAGTGTCAAAAGTGAACGATATGTAATTAAAAAGTAAGTCCAGACTAATGTTTCCTAATATTTCACAATGTATCTCAATAGGAAGCATATACCAGAGTCCTGATTGGAAATCTTGAGTTAAGCATGCTTGTTTTTCCTTCAGCTACATCTGGTGAGTAATGTATTTGTTTCACTATCTATTCGTAGAGAAGAATGTTCTGACTGTTTACTAAAAATCTTACAAACAAATGTCCCACTGTTACGCTCTTTTTTGAGTATCACTGTAAAAAAACATACATAAACGTAAATCTTCTACCAGTGATGTCTTTGGAACAGATAATGCTCTTTATTCGTGAATCAATAAGTTTCAATCAATTGACATCAACAACAAACCTGAGGCCACAAAATATAATACTATATAACTGCTCACAATATAGTTTATACACTCTAATAGAAGCAAAATGTAACCATTTTAAAGGACAGGAATTTTAGTTTGATGCAATTTTTGTTTTGAAAGCTGGACAACAACGAACATGTACTAGACATTGCATTTGAAACCATATTTTTAGGAAAAAATACTTTTTTTCTTAGCAATTATTTGCAAATGGGATTGAAATGACTGACCCACCTTACCTCCTCTCAATCAGTAAACAAGTTTGGTAAAACTTTATTAACTCATTGTAACCATGAAGGAGGGGGAGGAATGGATCATAAATAAATGACTCAATGAATATGTTCTGTGACCAGTGCGATCACTTTGATACATGTGACATTTTCCATTTTCTTTTCTTTTTTCTATCAGGACGAGTAATAGAGTCTTTTGCAAGGCGAGCTTTGTGGGAAATCGGTCTTAATTATGGTCATGGTACTGGGCATGGAATAGGAAACTTCTTCAGTGTTCATGAATGTAAGTAAGAATTAGCTGTTTATTGCATTTTAATACTTTAGGGTGTGTTTACTGAATATGGATTTTCAGCAAAATAACGATAAATTGGAAAGTATAAATAAAGAGGGACGAGTTAGCCAAGCTAGAGATTTTTTGTTGTTGTAATTGAACTGTTAACAGTGTGTACTGTTACTCGCACTGGGCAATTGGTCATAGGCAGAGAGACGATTCACCCAGCCAATCACCACATGGGCGGTCAATGCTTCCCTTTACCATAGTGGCTGAGAACACAAGACGTAAATGCAAATCCTGTGTTGAAGCATTTGAAAATGGTCAAACATCATAAGGTAAGAGTAAACATGGCTGTTTTAGGAGTGGAGTGGTGCTTTGATTACTGCAACCTTATCAATCTCCCCAAAATTCACATTGCCTTCTACAGTATGAATGAATAGCACTTCCAGACGTATGTTCATCTGCTCCTCCTCTCACACTGTAATCCTTTGTCAATTGGTTATTGAATTTCCATACTCTTCAGGATCCAAATCAAATTACTGATACTAAGCTACACAGACCTCATCACCAATACCCTCGCCCGGGCCCCACGTGTAGCGGGGGAACTGCCACTGGTGCAGTTCCACCAGGGCCCGCACTCTGATGGGGCCCTATATCTTCAGGAGCCCGGTCAGTGCTGTGGCCGTGGTATAGCACGACCGGGCCCCTTTAAAAAAAAAAAAAAACGCAGCCGCTGCAAGTGCTGCTGGAAGGAATTGGTCACTTCCTCCCAGCTCACTCCATGCGGGAGGACCGCAAGCCAGGCAATGAGGGAGAGCCAACCGACTACTTCCATCAGCCCCAGCCACCCTCCTGCAAAGAAAAGGTAAAAGACAGGAGGGTGGCTGGAAAATGAGCTGTGTGTGTGTGTGTGTCTGTATTAATGCATGTATGTCTGTCAGTATGTATGTATGTATACCAGTATCAATGTATGTCTGTATGTATGTATATATGTCTGTATGTCTGTCAGTATGTATGTATGTATGTATGTATGTATGTCAATATCAATGTATGACTGCATGTCATTATGAAGTATGTCTGTGTGTATGGATGTATGTATGTATGTTATTATGTATGTCTGCATGTATGCATGTATGTATGTATGCAAGTATCAATGTATGTCATTATGCATGTCTGTATGTATGTATATATGTCTGTATGTCTGTCAGTATGTCTGTATGTATGTATATATGAATATATGTATATATGTATGTATGTCAGTATCAATGTATGTCTGCATGTCATTATGAACATATATCTGTGTGTATGTGTGTATGGATGTCCGTATGCATGTATGGCAGTATGTATGTATGTATGTCTGTCAGTATGTCTGTATGTATGCATGTATGTATGCATGTATGTCAGTCTGAATGTATGTATGTCTGTATGCCATTATGAATGTATGTCTGTATGCCATTATGAATGTATGTGTGTATGGATGTCAGTGTCTGTATGTCTGTCAGTATGTCTCTCTATATGTGTATGTATGTCTGTAGGTCATTATGAATGTATGTCTGTGTGTATGGATGTATGTGTGTATGTATGTCAGTTTGAATGGATGTCTGTGTCTGTATGTCCTCATGCATGTGTGTCTGTATGTATGTTAGTATGTGTCTGTCTGTCACCATGTATGCCTGTGTGTCAGTATATGTGGGTATGTCTCAGTATGTGTGTGTCAGTATGTATGCCTATATGCATGTATGTCTGTTTCAGTATGTGTGCCTGTTAGTGTGTATCTGTGTGTGTGTATCTGTGTCCTTTTGTATCAGTGTGTGTGTTTGTGTCTGTGTGTGTATTCCTGTGGGCGGGATTTGGAGGCGGACCCTGTGGGCAGGATTGGAGGTGGGCCCCATGTGACACTCGCTATATTTCCTCTTTAATTCATTAGTACCCTTCTTTATCACACTGCTCTTGTCCTCTTTTCATATCCACATTGCTAATTATCACCAACAGCATTTAACAAAGACCACACAATTTGCAAATTTCCTACCTCAATCTGTCAGACGTTCCACTAGTCTCCAGTCCTTTAGAATAACAAGCATGTACTAAACATTGCATATTAAGAAGAAGTTCCTATACCTGGCTTCCTCCTAGATTGTAAGCTACAACAGAACATGCTTCATCTCATATTTCGGTCCACACTCATTTTTTTATTTACTTGTTATTTTTATATGAAAAATTACAGAGAATCAAGGAATATGTTGTATGAATAATAACAATTTTGATTTAGGGATATGACGCACCACAGTTTGTTTGCACAATGTTTAGTGAACAGACAAAAGAAACAGTTCTCTTACTCAATCCTGGAGAGAAAAATGTGAGTTTCAAAAATTCAGCAAGGAATGAAAATAGTATATAGCAAGATGGTCCAATTAATGAAAGGAGTCTTCACCTGCTTGGGGAATGAAGTGAGTTCCTCTTCCGTAAAAAACAATCATAAACTTTACAAACCACAGCTTCACTAGAGAGACTAGATCTTCAACTTGCTAAATATTAGACTTGTGCATATGGTTTCAAACAAATAGCAATTCATCAAAACCTGGGCAATAGATTAACTTTTTGTTAGTTTTGGGTTTTAGAGTTCCACCCATGGAGTCCAAAAAACGATGGCAAAAAAAGATGATTAACAAATATATAATATATAAATACAGATTTTTTTACTGCTTTTCCTTTTGGTCAGATGTTCTCGCTTGATCTGTGAATGGTTTGTCCAAAGCATTTTTCCTAAAATGGTTGCATGGACGATTTTTTTCTGAATGAAAAGCCACATGGACGAAACACCAAAAAATCTGAATCAAAACCTTTTTTCAGACGGATCGATTCTGACAAACCAAACATTTTTTCCTTTGCACAAGGCTACTTAAAAATATTCACCAGACTGATTTACTTACCTAGAGACAGACTTTTTTTTTATCTCATCTTCTAAAAAGTTCATGATACAGTGGATGGATTAAGATGTAGGGTAAAAAGAAAAATTACACCAAACTCTTCACACTTTTTACGTCACAGTATCCTTGTTAATAGGCGTAAACCAATATTTAAAATGTGTATTATTTTTTTATTGTCTATAGCAAAGACCCCTATACATATGCAATGTCACCTAACAGTACAGCTATATATAGTGGAAAAGTAAAAAAAATATACTTTTTTTTCTCTTATTTATTTAGTACGAAAATAAAAACATGAACAAAAAGGCTTCAATTGCTTCTGATGATATTATTATTGTTAAATCCACAAATCTTTCCGTCATAAATGTATATATATTCGTCTATAACATCACAAAATATAACATTTTGCACTGTTTCCTCTTTTTCTTAGGGCCTGCAGGTTTTCAGTCTACCAATATTCCTTTACGTGAAGGAATGTTCACTTCAATTGGTAGGTAATAGACCTATCTATCTATCTTTCTATCTCTATCTGTCTGTCCATCCGTCCATCTATTTATCTGTCTGTCTGTCTGTCAACCTACCTACTTACCTATGCATCTGTCTGTCTGTCAACCTACCTACCTATCGATCTGTCTATCTGCCTATCTATTAACCTACCTACCTATCCATCTATCTGTCTGTCTGTCTATTTATCAACCTACCTATCTACCTACCTATATCTCATCTGCCACTAGAACTTAAAAAAAAGGAAAGATACTCACCCACTGTGTAATATTTTTATTATTAAAAAAACACAGAAGGGGCCATCAGTCTTAAAAAATATGGCAGAGTTCTTGTTTTTACATACTAATAATTTGATCAAGTTATTTTGCTTGCAAATCCATAGAATAGTGTAAAACATTTTAATCCTTCGGTTTCCCTGAACAGCATTCTGTGCACCAAATTTTTGTATTATACTTTTATTCACTGTTTAAGTGGCCGTTATCCATCACACGTTTCAAAAAAAATGTTACACTATTTTGTAAAATAAAAAAATGTGACAGTGAAAGGGTTAAAATTAATTTTAACTTGGAGTCTGTTATAAGGGCAACTTAATCGTTCTTGGGCTTATAGAAGCAACATAAACCCAGTAACATAAGTCTAAGTCACAGTAATACGTATGGTTAGCTAAACTTTTATTGTGGTAAGCCATTGTGGTCACACAACCCCATGTCCATTCCTGCTTTAGTTACAAAAGTTGCATGAGTTTATTTGCAGTGAAACTAATGCTGTGTTTTACTTTGTAGAACCTGGTTATTATCAGGAAGGAGACTTCGGTATTCGTATAGAGGATATAGTCGTGGTGGTGGAAGCAAAAACAGAGGTACTTCTCCATATTTTTGGTATATTGAACTATATCATATGGATACATTGATTAAAGGCATTATTAAAGTATTATTGAATAATAAAAAAACCTCTACATGCTCACAATGTTAAACAAAAATCTGCACAGCAGTTAAGCCATAATACTTGCTTTTACTATGGAAATCACAAATCTGCAGTGATGTTACTACCGCAAGGGATTCTGGGTGGGCATATGCAAATTAGTTTAACAAAGAATCACATTTGTAGAATATATATGCGCTTGTATCTCCTTCACATTAGTTTTAAAAAAAATGTATCCCTTTTTCTGAAGTACATTTAAACTGCCCCACAGGAATCCGTAGTCTTCGATGCTTTCCTATGGGCTTCAGTAGCATGTGACCAAGGTTTACTCAGTCTGTGCAACGGATGAGCCTTTTGTGACTGTCAGTATGACTGGTAGATTTAACTGTAGATAAGTTAAGTTACATGTATCTGATTTCTAAAAAAAAAAAGGCAGGGCCACTGCACTCAGACCACTTCATTAGGATGAATTGATACAGGTGACTATAGTGCTCCTGATATGCCCCATTAAATCTTTGTTTCCTTCTTTATTTTTTTTGTTCCTTAACAAGTTCAGTGGACATTCAATTAATGCATTATTTAATGTATTTAAATATTTTTTTTGTCTTTCTAAATAGCATACATTTGAAAACCAAAAGTATCTCACATTTGAAACGGTATCTTTAGTCCCTTATGACAAAAATCTGATTGATACTAAACTCATGACGGAGATTCAGGTAAGATACGAGGATACATATATTTATATGTATTTATGTGTTTTGTGCGCGTATATGTGTGTATATATGTATGTATGTATGATTTCCTTTGCAAAAAAGCGTACATAGTAATTGTGTAGTATATTATAGTATAATAGTATATAGTAATAGTGTAGTATATTACAGTAAAATAGTATATAGTAACAGTGTAGTATATTATAGTATAATAATATATAGTAATAGTGCAGTATATTATAGTATAATAGTGTAGAGTAATAGTGTAGCATATTATAGTGTATTAGTATATAGTAATAGTGCAGTATATTATAGTATAATAGTATATAGTAATAATGTAGTACATTATAGTATAATAGTATATAGTAATAGGGTAGTATATTATAGTATATAGTAATAGTGCAGTACATTATAGTATAATAATATATAGTAATAGTGTAGTATATTATAGTAGAATAATATATAGTAATAGTGCAGTATATTATAGTATAATAGTGTAGAGTAATAGTGTAGCATATTATAGTATATTAGTATATAGTAATAGTGCAGTATATTATAGTATAATAGTATATAGTAATAGTGTAGTATATTATAGTAGAATAATATATAGTAATAGTGCAGTATATTATAGTATAATAGTGTAGCATATTATAGTATATTAGTATATAGTAATAGTGCAGTATATTATAGTATAATAGTATATGGTAATAGTGCAGTAAATTATAGTAAAAAGTATATAATAATAGTGTAGTACATTATAGTATAATAGTATATAGTAATAGTGTAGTATATTATAGTATATAGTAATAGTGCAGTACATTATAGTATAAAAGTATATAGTAATAGTGTAGTATATTATAGTATAATAATATATAGTAATAGTGCAGTATATTACAGTATAATAGTATATAGTAATAGTGTAGTATATTATAGTATAATAATATATAGTAATAGTGCAGAATATTATAGTATAATAGTGTAGCATATTATAGTATATTAGTATATAGTAACAGTGCAGTATCTTATAGTATAATAGTATATGGTAATAGTGCAGTATATTATAGTAAAATAGTATATAGTAATAGTGTAGTACATTATAATATAATAGTATATAGTAATAGTGTAGTATATTATAGTATATAGTAATAGTGCAGTACATTATAGTATAATAGTATATAGTAATAGTGTAGTATATTATAGTAGAATAATATATAGTAATAGTGCAGTATATTATAGTATAATAGTGTAGAGTAATAGTGTAAGATATTATAGTATATTAGTATATAGTAATAGTGCAGTATATTATAGTATAATAGTGTAGAGTAATAGTGTAGCATATTATAGTATATAGTAGTATATAGTAATAGTGCAGTATATTATAGTAGAATAGTATATAGTAATAGTGTAGTATATTATAGTATAATAGTGTATAGTAATAGTGTAGTATATTATAGTATAATAGTATATAGTAATAGTGTAGTATATTATAGTATAATAATATATAGTAATAGTGCAGTATATTATAGTATACAGGGAGTGCAGAATTATTAGGCAAGTTGTATTTTTGAGGATTAATTTTATTATTGAACAACAACCATGTTCTAAATGAACCCAAAAAACTCATTAATATCAAAGCTGAATATTTTTGGAAGTAGTTTTTAGTTTGTTTTTAGTTTTAGCTATGTTAGGGGGATATCTGTGTGTGCAGGTGACTATTACTGTGCATAATTATTAGGCAACTTAACAAAAAACAAATATATACCCATTTCAATTATTTATTATTACCAGTGAAACCAATATAACATCTCAACATTCACAAATATAAATTTCTGACATTCAAAAACAAAACAAAAACAAATCAGTGACCAATATAGCCACCTTTCTTTGCAAGGACACTCAAAAGCCTGCCATCCATGGATTCTGTCAGTGTTTTGATCTGTTCACCATCAACATTGCGTGCAGCAGCAACCACAGCCTCCCAGACACTGTTCAGAGAGGTGTACTGTTTTCCCTCCTTGTAAATCTCACATTTGATGATGGACCACAGGTTCTCAATGGGGTTCAGATCAGGTGAACAAGGAGGCCATGTCATTAGATTTTCTTCTTTTATACCCTTTCTTGCCAGCCACGCTGTGGAGTACTTGGACGCGTGTGATGGAGCATTGTCCTGCATGAAAATCATGTTTTTCTTGAAGGATGCAGACTTCTTCCTGTACCACTGCTTGAAGAAGGTGTCTTCCAGGAACTGGCAGTAGGACTGGGAGTTGAGCTTGACTCCATCCTCAACCCGAAAAGGCCCCACAAGCTCATCTTTGATGATACCAGCCCAAACCAGTACTCCACCTCCACCTTGCTGGCGTCTGAGTCGGACTGGAGCTCTCTGCCCTTTACCAATCCAGCCACGGGCCCATCCATCTGGCCCATCAAGACTCACTCTCATTTCATCAGTCCATAAAACCTTAGAAAAATCAGTCTTGAGATATTTCTTGGCCCAGTCTTGACGTTTCAGCTTGTGTGTCTTGTTCAGTGGTGGTCGTCTTTCAGCCTTTCTTACCTTGGCCATGTCTCTGAGTATTGCACACCTTGTGCTTTTGGGCACTCCAGTGATGTTGCAGCTCTGAAATATGGCCAAACTGGTGGCAAGTGGCATCGTGGCAGCTGCACGCTTGACTTTTCTCAGTTCATGGGCAGTTATTTTGCGCCTTGGTTTTTCCACACGCTTCTTGCGACCCTGTTGACTATTTTGAATGAAACGCTTGATTGTTCGATGATCACGCTTCAGAAGCTTTGCAATTTTAAGAGTGCTGCATCCCTCTGCAAGATATCTCACTATTTTTGACTTTTCTGAGCCTGTCAAGTCCTTCTTTTGACCCATTTTGCCAAAGGAAAGGAAGTTGCCTAATAATTATGCACACCTGATATAGGGTGTTGATGTCATTAGACCACACCCCTTCTCATTACAGAGATGCACATCACCTAATATGCTTAATTGGTAGTAGGCTTTCGAGCCTATACAGCTTGGAGTAAGACAATGTCACGGTTCTCACCTGATAGACAGACGGCAAGACGTGGTCGCTCTTGGAGTTCCCAACAGGGGACTTGAACCGGGGATCTTCTCAGTCCTGGTCCTGCTTTCTACCTCTGAGCCACAGCAGCTATTTACAGTGAAGACTGATTCCAGTCCTGTTCATCCTGACATGGCTACTACTCTGGGGGCTGCACCTTGACTTGGCTGTGTTTCACCTGACTCTGATCAGTCATCAGCAGGGTATATAAACCCAGCCTCGCCCTGTGCTCAGTGTCAAGTCCTTGATCCTGTTTGTTCCAGTGTTCCTGTTTCATCGCTTCGCATTATTGACCCCGGCTTCCTGACTCGTTTATTCTGACTTCTGGCATCCCTTGACTTCGGCTACTCCTCGTTGTTCCTGTCCTCTGGCATCCTTTGACCTCGGCTATCCCTCGACCATCCTGCTGGTTCAGTCCTTGCCTGTCCTGCGTATTGGTACTGCATCCTGCACAGCCCCCGTGCACAGACCCACAGGCCAGGTGAATTCTTACCTGACCACCTCGGCCTGTGGCTATCTGCAAGGGTGAGCATCATATCTGCGCTACAGACTCCCAACTCAGGTAAGACCCTGACATAAGGACTTGACCATTATGGAGTCCGCAGAGATGTGCTCACCCTCGACCCAGCGTGTGTCCAGCCTGGCCCAGACTGTTTCGGAGCTGCAGCAAGAAATTTTATTCCTTAAAGGCGCAGTACATCCAGCCCCGGAACCAGCTTTTCCTGAACTGTTTGTCATCATGCCCGACCGATTTGATGGTAGCCGCACATCCTTTCAGTCTTTCAAGATGGATTGTGAGGTGTTGTTTTCCTTAAAGCCTCGAACATATGCCACAGAATTCATCAGGGTCAGAGCGGCTATCAACCTGTTGTCTGGACGCATCAAAGTTTGGGCTCACCAAATGTTGCAGACGAAGAGTCCTGTCCTGGTCAGCTGGGAATCCTTTAGTACTGCTATGGACTCACAATGTAAGACCACTGTGGCCAAGTCAGCTCCACGTACTAAAAAATCTCAGACTCTTCCTAACCAAGAAACCGAGTACCACCACTACGCCCCAGAAATGCCTCCTTATGTTCCAGCTCCCAGGAAAACTCCAGAGGTATCCGGTGTTCCACTTGACCCTGTGGAACCTATGCAATTAGGACTCGTCCACTGCAAAGTGACACCTAAGGAAAAAGACCGAAGGAGAAGCTATGGCCTATGTTATTACTGTGGAGAAAAAGGGCACTTCATCACGCTTTGTCCTGTTCGCCCTCCTAGACCTCCAGCTCTCCGACTTGGTACTAGTTTCCTTCGCCCTGTGTACACCGCATACCAGCCTAAAAAGCCAAATAGAAGCCGTTGTGCTTGCACATGCTTGGCTTCCGCGAGAAAACCTCCATCCCCTGCTCCAGAGCCTCCTGCATCTACTCCCGAAGTTGCTTCCTGTGATACCACCACTACTTCCTGCCCGCCCGAAGAGGTTTTACCTGTGGATTGTGCCGTTGCTTCTAATGGCACTATAGTCCGTAAAGAAGACCTTGAAATGTTCGAAAAAGCATTGTTAGCTGCGAACACTGCTCCTGCCAAAGTTTTGGAAGTGCTTGCCACCTGTACCCGGAACCTAAAAGACCTGGACAATTCTCCAGCCGTACCAGAAGCTGGTACTGCGGACTCCCAAGCTGTAAAGGGAATCCTTGCTGGGGAGTTTGACTATGGGGACTCACTGGATTCAGATAGTGACCCTGGAGAGGTGTACTATGCTGACAATGAACCCATTCACGCCCGGAGGTCGTTTTTAAAGGGGGGGGGTACTGTCACGGTTCTCACCTGATAGACAGACGGCAAGACGTGGTCGCTCTTGGAGTTCCCAACAGGGGACTTGAACCGGGGATCTTCTCAGTCCTGGTCCTGCTTTCTACCTCTGAGCCACAGCAGCTATTTACAGTGAAGACTGATTCCAGTCCTGTTCATCCTGACATGGCTACTACTCTGGGGGCTGCACCTTGACTTGGTTGTGTTTCACCTGACTCTGATCAGTCATCAGCAGGGTATATAAACCCAGCCTCGCCCTGTGCTCAGTGTCAAGTCTTTGATCCTGTTTGTTCCAGTGTTCCTGTTTCATCGCTTCGCATTATTGACCCCGGCTTCCTGACTCGTTTATTCTGACTTCTGGCATCCCTTGACTTCGGCTACTCCTCGTTGTTCCTGTCCTCTGGCATCCTTTGACCTCGGCTATCCCTCGACCATCCTGCTGGTTCAGTCCTTGCCTGTCCTGCGTATTGGTACTGCATCCTGCACAGCCCCCGTGCACAGACCCACAGGCCAGGTGAATTCTTACCTGACCACCTCGGCCTGTGGCTATCTGCAAGGGTGAGCATCATATCTGCGCTACAGACTCCCAACTCAGGTAAGACCCTGACAGACAACATGCATAAAGAGGATGATGTGGTCAAAATACTCATTTGCCTAATAATTCTGCACTCCCTGTAATAGTATATAGTAATAGTGTAGTATATTATAGTATAATAATATATAGTAATAGTGCAGTATATTATAGTATAATAGTGTAGCATATTATAGTATATTAGTATATAGTAACAGTGCAGTATCTTATAGTATAATAGTATATGGTAATAGTGCAGTATATTATAGTAAAATAGTATATAGTAATAGTGTAGTACATTATAGTATAATAGTATATAGTAATAGTGTAGTATATTATAGTATATAGTAATAGTGCAGTACATTATACTATAATAGTATATAGTAATAGTGTAGTATATTATAGTATAATAATATATAGTAATAGTGCAGTATATTATAGTATAATAGTGTAGAGTAATAGTGTAGCATATTATAGTATATAGTAGTATATAGTAATAGTGCAGTATATTATAGTAGAATAGTATATAGTAATAGTGTGGTATATTATAGTATAATAGTGTATAGTAATAGTGTAGTATATTATAGTATAATAGTATATAGTAATAGTGTAGTATATTATAGTATAATAATATATAGTAATAGAGTAGTATATTATAGTATAATAATATATAGTAATAGTGTAGTATATTATAGTATAGTATTTAGTAATACTGTAGTATATTATAGTATAATAATATATAGTAATAGTGTAGTATATTATAGTATAATAATATATAGTAATAGTGTAGTATATTATAGTATAGTATATAGTAATAGTGTAGTATATTATAGTATAATAGTATATAGTAATAGTGTAGAATATTATAGTATAATAGTGTATAGTAATAGCGTAGTACATTATAGTATAATAGTATGTAGTAATAGTGTAGTACATTATAGTATATTAGTGTATAGTAATAGCGTAGTATATTAGAGTATATTAAGCAAAAATAAATCAACCTTTTGACTCTGCTGGGTCTTTGTCAAGATGCCATACAATGTGAGTAAAACATATTTATAAGCACATGAATTAAGGTGAGCGATGTACTTACCAATCACATGTGAAACAAGCCAGCCCCAAAGTTAGATTCACAGATCGGTGATCTCAGACCTGTGCATGTCGGTGATGACCTCTAACTTAGAGCACCGAGACGTCTCCAGAGCAAGCCCGTCTTATTGCCATAGTGATGCTGTTAAAGAGTGAACATGCATGTTCAAAGAAGCACAGATGGGCATAAAACCAAAACAAGGACTATATACACAACTAAAAACAAATGTGAATAGTGACCATAAAACCTAAGTAAGAGCTAACAAAGAAAGGAACAGAAATCCAACAGGTGCTCTCTTTTTCAGTCATTTATATTAGCGCTGAGCAGCACCCTGGCTTTGAATGTCTATTTATTGGGCAGACTGGTCCTTTCGCCAGACTGATCCTTTATATATATATATATATAAAATGTATTTAATATTTTCAATTAAAAGTGTGAAAAGCCTAATTTTAAAAACTCATGTAATATAAACGATACAACGTTGAAGTGTGTATTAATGCCAATACTGCATTCTGGAGAAATTAACAGCCGGACTTCGAAATATTTATTGAAAAATAGTCTTTGTTAGTGACTAAAATATGTAACATACAATAAAGAATCAGGATCGTGTCATACTGCAACCATTAGCAGATAAGTGGCAATTTTAGACTTTGCATTAATTACCTTATTATTTTTTCAATGTGAAAATACACCATTATCATTTAATAACTGGCCATTCACCTAAATTAAACTTTGGTAACCGAAATTAACTTCTTCCATTGACATCTATAGGACAATTGCCTTTCATAGCGATATGCTCAGCTATAATAATGTAATCTATCAATTAGCACTTTGTGTATATTATTGTAACCAATGCCATCACCATCAACAGCTGTCAGTGAATAAGTGGCTTGAACTAAGCCCAGGTTACTGCAAATCAATGATTCCTATTAAAGTTGTAATGTTGATAACCAGATAGAGAGTTGGTGAATGCTGACGGGATTGGGTCCTAAAATTGAAAAGGAAATTGGCAACTCAGTAGAAGTTACATTTTTATTACATGATGGACATCCTATAATTACTATATCCTCCTGTGAACCAAGGAAAAAAATGTCTTCCAAATTCTTTTCATTTTTGATAAAAATGAAAGAGGACGTTCACACCATCCCAGCCTATCACATGGCATATCACTGGAAAGCCCAGGATGTCCTCTTTACAATACATAGAGTAGCTCAAAAGAATAAAAAAAGATTCAGGTGAACGAAATGTCCAGTACAAAGGGCACAAGTTAATGGGCTGGGTCTCAGGAGGATAAGGGGCTGCCTTTTCTTTAATATAATTGGGTTTTCGGTTTTTCTGCATTTTTATTTGATTCCAAGTTTCCTGCTTGAATAGATCACCAGCAGTGGGGAAGATACTTTGTGTTGGCAGAGTGATAACTGATTTCTTTAGTCCCTGAGTTGAGTGGCTACTAGAGGTGTAAATCTTGGAGTCCAAACATCGTGTGAATGATGGCTCCTAATAATTTAATTTTAGATTATAACAAAATCCTGTATGTTTTTATTTGTTTGCTGCCTCTTTCCAATCAGATAAACCACGTGAATAACCACTACAAGAAAATCAGAGACATCCTTGGAAAGGAATTAAAAAAACAAAATCTTAATGAAGAATACACATGGTTGGAAAAGAACACAGAGCCTCTGTCACATGGACAATTCGTTACCGCCTCTTTGACTTTGCTCATTGTTACCTTCGCATCATGCATGTTCTTTCAGAATGAGTCAATTTAATGATAATGGCACAAGTAATAATTACAGTAACCCAAATTAGCTATGATGAATATTCTGATGTACTATAAATAAAACATCCACCCCTCTCCTGTTTAACTGTACCTACTATTATTGTGTATATTTTGGGGGTTTGTATTTGTTTTACTTATAACATACTTAATTCTAACGCTTTAAGTGCCAGTATGGTAAGAAAAGAGATCTTGGATTCACTCTGCATGAAGGTTGATCAATAATTCTTGCACTCGGTTGTGCATGAAGAGTTAACACAGTTCCCTGATTGTGAATCCTAAGCCAAACAATGTACTTACATATTTTTGCAATATTAGTGCATCACTCACTGTGCAAATTAATCACAAACATGCTTCCTCACAAAATAGTGAATTCTAGGGAACTGTAATGCAAATCATAGAAACGTGCAACAAATGTAGAATTTATATTATTCCTAAACCAGTGGACGATAAGTATTGATGTCATTTAGAGGCTGGATAAATAATGACATAGGTATATGTCACTAGTCAAACGTGACTTTATATTCAGTTTTTTTTCCTATTGATATTAAAATATACTAATACATGCTTTGCGTAAGTGTTACTCCAAACAAAAACAGATTTTTAGTAAAATACTGTCATACTAGCCTTCATGGTTGTGCCCCAGAAGAAATGTAAATTATGAAATAGAGGAAAACTTACCTTTAATCCAGCTCCATGGTAAGTTCACCCTGCTGCCTAATTGCTTTCCACTGACATCATCAAACTTGAGAAAGACCTCATCTGATGTCGAAACGTTGCTGTTCATGTTCTGACTTTCCAATAAATTAGCTACTTTGTATCTTGATTGCCTGGATCATATTGTTTTTCCTACTTATTTATTGGGTTGCCAGCCTCATGTCTGCTTCTACAACTAGAATTACTAAATAGGAAGAGTGCGAACTCGTTATTACTTTGGAACAAATCACTGAAGTGGTCATGGTGCTTGGGGTAATCATTTTATTAATTTAAAAGTGGTTGCAAAATATTTACATAAAATATGCCTAATAATTATTGAGTAACAAAGGAAAAGAACATGACTGAAATGTATTTAGGCCCCGAAGCCTTTAAATTTAGCCTTACACTATCTCCTAGGTAAAGATGAAACAGAAACTACACATATCTGGTATTCACAAACCATCTCAGTGTACTTTGGTATAATCTTTTCACTGTCAATTTGTCTTAACAATAAATTTCTCCAAACACTGAAAATAGATAAAATCACTTCTCTTTTTCCCAGCTGCAGGAGAGAACAACTGCTATTTGCTCTTGTCATACACAGCCCACAATAACTGTTCTTATGTTCCCAGGCTGCCTAAACATGTTATTGCATTTCAAAGTTTTTCAGTAGTAATATATACAAAAAGATGCACTCATTAGTTAATAGGTCAAATCTCTTTATTATACAAACAAAATATGAATTCAAATAAATCCAAAATTAACAATATTACAATACTAAAAAAAAACCAGTGATATAGGCTATATAACATGCACTTAAATCCCAAAGGCACAGGGGGGCAGAGCTTGTGCCTGAACCAGAGCAGACACCATCTAAAACGGCTCTGCTGGAAATCGCTTCAAAAAGCTTGATTTTGGAAACTAACCCACTCACCTGCACGGGTAACCGCCGGAATGCAAACAGACCAGCCCCCAGTAACAACATATGCTGTTTTTCCATGATCCCAAAGCACCATGGAAGAAATGCAGGTCTGGGGCCTACCACGTAAACCGGGAGCTTGACATGGCTGCACTACTCAGTGGTTTCCCATTGCCCAGAGTATCTGATGAGTGACTCAGACCCCAGACAGAGCCTGTCTCCACAATGGGATGGCAGTCCCAGAAGCCGCTACCTGACATGAGACAAGGGCATGAGACATTTAGGCTCTGTTCCAGCGGCTGCCTAGGTCTAAAATGGTGCCACCTGGGAGCAGCGTGGCCATTGAGGCTCCATTGGGCCCTTGACAGGCCAAAACACCCATGTGGCCCGAGCAGCCGAACACGGAGCAAACCACACTATCTGTCCCAGATGGGTTGGCTCCCATTATTGAAAAAGATTTTCAAAACCTAGTGGTGGAAATTAAATACCTATTGGCAACTGATGTAGCTATAATAAATGCCAACATGCACCGGAGACCCTCGTAATGGTGATCAAGTGAAGAAGTTTCTAAACTGGTCTTCAGATGCCTCAAATAGTTCAATTTGTATTAATTTTGTCACTCGAACAGATTTGTTAATTCCAAAAACGAAAATTATGGAAATGTTAGCAGGATTGGATCGAGAGCTGTAAGAAGTAATTTCTCTCATTCTCTGCCCAACGACTGCAACTAATAAGGGCACAAGGATAATGTGATATTAAAAGACCATGTCCCCTTGGAATCGTGTCAAACAACAGATAATCTGGTATAGAAAAAGGCGAAGTAGGAAAAAGAAAACATTTGTAACAGACACCATTTTTATATGAAATTTTATGATGCAGTTTGGGAGACATGTCTGTTGTTAGCACACTGACATAAATTGATTTTACCTGTTATGACATTCTAAATTTTACAATTATTACTGTGCCACAATAATGAACTAATAGTGCTTTCAACATTTTACATATTCTACATTAATAATGATTAATACCAAAAACAAAATGTAATAAACTGCTACTTATGCGGCAAGACCTCATGGTTCTTCCATGCCATATACTGGACAAAGAAATTAAACAAAAAATATATGAATAACCTTATGTTCACAACCCCAATGAGTGCTCTAATGCCATATCTAGAACAGGAGTAGGCAACCCTCAACACTCCAAATGTTGTGAACTGCATCTCCCATAATGCACTTGTAGCCATAATGCTGGCAAAGTATCATGGGAGATTTAGTCTACAACATCTGGAGTATCAAAGGTAGCCTACATCTGATCTAGAACATCAGCATACAGTGCTTATTTGTATGTTTTTTGTTTATTAAAGTTACTTTGCCATGCAGAGTGCCCCACAAAAAATGAATTAAGATATTGCTATCCTTCAATGCTATTGCTATCACCCTGTTTAAAATACACTTCAACCAATGCCCATCTCTTATGTTTTTGAGCCGGGAGCTGTAATATTAAAATCCAAAGCTGTGTTGCCCAAATTGTCCTAGTTAGCTTAATATAACAATATTAATTTCTATAACTTAATTAAAACAGAAACTATTTTTTTAATGTTATGTTTAGTTCATGCACTGTACATTACAGTTTTTTACCACAAAAAAAAACAAAACTCTACAGTACTTGTTTCAAGATAGAACTATTTATAATACATTTATGTAGGATTTTTTTTGTCTTGTCAAGACAATATTTCATCAAGAAGACTGACCCTTAAAAAGTCATACAGGTATGTTTTCAATTTATAATTCAGAAAAGCAAAGTAGATTGCACTCAGAGTAATAAATAAACAAAAGGTTAATGTCCCACTGTGTGAAAAGACATTTCCTGGCCTAGCAAGGAAGGCTGGAGTAAAATGTAAAAAGCCAGTTGCTTAGCAACATTTCACAACAGGTGATAGTGAAAAGCAATATTGTTTCAGAGACTGTTTCAGAGTGATTGATAAAGTTGTTTAAACAGAATACAAATGATTATGGTATCAGCTTATTGAGAATGGGCACAGCCTTAATATTATCCAGGATATGTAGTTCATTGTATATCTGAAAAACAAGAACTATTTCAGGGGTATTGCAAATTATATGGCAATACGGTCAAATTGTTTACTACTACCTGTGGGGAATGATGGCTACGCAAGCTCAGAGGTTTTGTGCTTCAATGATAACTTGAATAGCATTGTGAAGAAAATCCAATTACCTTCTTGTTATTGTTATAGATCATCTGTTTGGATCAATGCTAGCAAGTTTGTCTTTGTTTATGCACTTTGCACCAAGGGAGCTATAAAAAAATATTTTAAAGTATTATTAATGTAACAATTGCTAGTTATAGGAATTCTTATGAGTTCTCTCACGGTCATACCTATAATTGAAAGCAGAACTGTTAAGGCGGTTGGAGAAGGACCGGCAGAGTGGACATGTGCTGATCCAGCTCCTAAGCTCAGCACAACTTCTGAACAAATAAATTCAGTCAGTCTGCAGATCTTGCCACAAAAAAACACTTACCTTCAAGGTGGCACATTGGTGCCTCAGAAGATACCATATTTGGTGCAGGCTTCAAGCGGGGCGGGCATGGGAGAGAAGACTGCTCTCCTGACGACTTATCTGGCTGGAGATATATAGCTATATGAAGAGTGATGAGGCAGGCATACTGATAATGTGCTCTGTGGCCCCATGTGATCTTAATCCTTCTCTGCTCATACCACAAGTGTCCCTGAGACATGTATCACAAATATTTCTGGGACAAATATCCTTGTCCTTGTATAAGATACATTTTCTTTGTCTTGTCCATCTTTTAAAATGCTATCACTAGCTTTCTCTGCATAGATAACTGTCTCTCTCCAGTTTATATTAAAAGTTGGGCTTAGGGTCTACTAATAAATATATTTTACATTATGAATCTAGAGACAAGAACCACATAGATTATTTTTTTTTAATTATTTTAGGGATCTTTTATAGTGCTTTTGTTTAGAGTGCTTTACAAATTAAGTCAAAAAGACATAGTTGGTTTTCAAGGCCAGTGGTAGACCCTCAAAACAAAAATCTCCAACTTTGTGTGTCTATTTCTCCACCTAGCCATTTTGTGTATCTAATTCTCCTCAATTCTTTTGTGTATCTTTTTTCCCCTTCCCCAACCTCTATGTGTGTGTGTTCCCCCACCCAAGTACATTTGTAGATCTCTTTTTCACCCAGCACATCTGTGTGTCTCTCCCCTAGACCCTTAGTGTGTATCTTTCTCCCCAGTCCCGTTTTAAGTATCTGTGCTCAGTGTCAGTTTCAATCTAAATTAGCAGAGTTGTGTTTAGAGATGGACCAATGGAATTTAAGGTGTCTTTAATAGGAAGCATGGAATAGTGGGGAATATGGTCAGATACCTTGAATTCAATATTTTTTTTCATCCCACGAGTGTTGGGTTGGATAAGGAATGTTTAATTAGATTAGTGAGGGTAGTTTGGTGAGAGCTAATTTTGGCCAACATTGAGTAGAGGGGAGAATGAACAGCAATGTTCAAAAGCATTAGATGGATCAAGTAGGAGAGAATGGACATACAAAGTCTGAACATAGATGAACATGCATTAGTTTGTACAGATCATTTGGCATGGGACAGCAATTGCCACACATACACCCCACATGCACCCTATTTTTCTATAACCCTTTGTTCTCAATGCTTCTCTTTGAGAAGCATTGGATTGGATAAAAGCCTTCTTAATGGATGACTTCATCAGAGGTGGAGTGGCTTCAGAGATGAGACTGCCCAGGTATTGCATTACAGGTAAGAGTTATAGAGTTTTATACTTTTTTTAAAGGAAGGTTGGAACCTGTAATATAGAACAATCTAACATGTATTTATTTTTAATTTTAGAATATGCAAATATTGTCTTATCACATCCCCTCGCCACAGACACTAAAGATTAAAAATAAACATACTAAAATGAAAGAAATTATGGAAGCATTTTTATTATACTGAAAGTTCATTTCCTAAAACCTTACCAGAAGTTTGCAGTGGTTCTTTCTTTTGTTTTGTATTTGGCAAGCTACCTAAGGTAGTAGTATTGAAATGAGTCATATTGTATCTGCATTGTCTTCTCTGAACATCTAATTAATTTTTTGGAAATTCTGACTAAAGACAAATTTGAATAATCGTCATAGCCGACGTTCACTGAAAATAATTATTTTCATGCCAAAGATGTGATCGATATATTCACTCGAAGGGTTAACATCATACATATAGAACATCAAGCTATGGAAAAAGTATAACTTTCCTTTCAAAGACGCACTTTTATCCCCACCCCCACTCTCTCAAAAATAAAAATAAAAATTCCCTTGCTTTGAAACTGTATACATGTATGTGGATAATTTTACTACAATCTGCATGATTGCCCTGTGGTCACATGGCACTAGAGGATGTGCATCTGATAACAAAATCCCCAATCATGAGGTGTGAAATCTGATTATAATGAAATTTAGATTAAACCATATTACTAAGAGGATGCTCCCCCTCCCCCTATACATTCTGTTATTTCACTACGTTATGTGCAATATAAACCACATAATTGTAGATTACATAGTGAAAGAAAATCTGTATCAGGAAAAAAATATACAGCTGCAGCTGGTTTCAGGAACATTTTTTTATTACAGTATATCATACTTCATGGTCCTGAAGGTTTCTGATGAAGTGACACTTTCCTTCAAAAAAATTCAAAAAAAGAAAACTTAAGAAACAGGAATGAACAAGAAGACAATTCTGTTGAAAGGGTCAGCAAATGTCTGAATGCTTTTTGCACACCCTCTTACCAATATCTAAGCTGCACTTACTGTATGTTCCAATACTGTATCATATTAATAAATATTAATACAGATAAACATTTTTAGTCCTAGGCTACTGGACAGTCATTAAAAGTTACGTGTCACTGGCATCCTAGAGGATCCATAGCACGTTTACCATGAGTGAATTTCTTTATTTATAGTATAGTAATAATGCAGTGTAATAGATAGATAGACAGATAATGGATAGATAGATAGATAGATAGATTACATCAATTGAAGTATACATTCCTTGATGCAGAGAAATATTGAATAGATAGAAGAAGCACATAGAAGTCCACTGAATTTGTATTTTGTATATCATACCTTATATCTACATCAACGGTTTTTTGATCTTATAGCAACCAAGACTATATAGTAACATAAATGGCCAATCAGTCCTTCATTTAATAGGCTTTTCAAATTATTAAATACTGTTAGAAAAGTTTCCAAATTATTTGCCTACAAAAATTCCAATAGACGGTAAATGTGACTTCAGTACATAAATCATTTGGACTGTTTTCTAACAATATTGAATCATTCAGGACAGGGGTCCTCAAACTCCGGCCCCCCAGATGTTGCTGAACTACATCTCCCATGATTCTCTGGCTATCTATGTAATTCAAAGAATCATTGGAGTTGTAGTTGAGCAACATCTGGGGGGCCAGAGTTTGAGAACCCCTGATTCAGGAGGTTTATTAAATCTAGGCCTTAACCACCAAAACAAGAAAGAAAAATAATGCAAATGTTCATCAGAGCATTATTAATACCACCTTTATTTCTGATAAGATAATTGTTTGTGTCCTCCTCAAGTTATTTGTATTTGAATATTGGTATCACTTTAGGTTGTCAGAGAAACTGCTATGCTTACATTGCAGGGTTAATCCAGCTTCTAGTGGCTGTCTTCCTGACAGCCGCTAGAGGCGCTTCCACGACGCTCAATGAGAAAATTGCATTGAGTATGCAGAACATCCATAGGAAAGCATCGAGGCCGGCCCGGCGCTGGATAAAGGTAAGTGGCGGATTGGGGTTTTAATCCCTTCAGCCCAGCGGGAGGGGGGCCCTGTGGGTGGGGGGACCCTAAGGATTATATAGTGTCAGCTAAATGAGTTTGTTTTCCTGGCACTATAGTGATCCTTTAAAGGACCACTATAGTGCCAGGAAAACATACTCGTTTTCCTGGCACTATAGTGCCCTGAGGGTGCCCCCACCCTCAGGGTCCCACTCCCGCCGGGCTGGATGGCAAGGAAAGGGGTTAAACTTACCTTTTTTCCAGCGCCGGACGGGGAGCTCTCCTCCTCCTCTCCGTCTCTGATCCTCCTCTTCGGCTGAATGCGCATGCGCCGCAGGAGCTGCATGCGCATTCAGCCAGTCTCATAGGAAAGCATTCATAATGCTTTCCTATGGACGTTGGCGTCTTCTCACTGTGATTTTCACAGAGAAGCACGCAAACGCCTCTAGCGGCTGTCAATGAGACAGCCACTAGAGGCTGAATTAACCCATTTATAAACATAGCAGTTTCTCTGAAACTGCTATGTTTATTAAAAAAAGGGTTAATCCTAGAGGGACCTGGCACCCAGACCACTTCATTAAGCTGAAGTGGTCTGGGTGCCTAGAGTGGTCCTTTAAGGCAATGGAAGCTAATTAACATTCTGATATTGGTATTAACTGCTGTCGGGACCCAGGAAAGAAGCCTGACAGATAAAGTAACCCAACATTTACATGTAATTAGCTTGCTTGAATACATGACATATATGAAGAAGAACTAAAGGCTATAAAAAGAAGGAGGGTGTTAGTTCTTAAACTACAGGTCAGGACCCAAAAACTAAAACATATATTTTAATATAATATATAATATTACAGCTGAAGAAAGGTTTTTTTTAATGGAAAATGACATTTATAATTCAAAGATTCACAGTATTAGGAAAATAATTATATTATTAAACAATTTGGATATGCTTATAGTCCAAACAGGATAATCAAAAAGCAGATAGATATTGTAACAAAGAACAACATTTTGTTTTAATAAAGAATTTCTTAATAAGTTGATTGTGCAAAATATTGTTTTGTTTGTTTTTTGTTCTTTTGCTGGCAATAACTTTAAAAAGCAGAAGACAAAAAAATATGGAACTAAAAGATTATCTTTAGCGCTGCATGTAGGTTATAATACATCTGGCCAGGAAGCTGGTATTCACACCCCTGCACAAAATTAAAAAAAAAAAAAATGTTTTCCTGTTAATGGTAAAGAAAGGAAACTTTCTGATGTATCAGTGTTTTTAAAAATCTGTTTCAACCTATAGGAGACATTTGTTAGATACATTTTCTATAAAATATATTTAATCAATGCTTTGCAACTTTTATTGGCTGGTATGAAACTTGCATATTCTCATATACTTCCATTAGAGAACAAACAATTAAATTTATTATTATTAACCTTCCTTTCTTCAGACTAACTTTCTGAATTTACTTGACTAAATTGTATGATAAAGCTGGCATTTAACCCCTTGGTGACCAGGCCATTTTTCAGTTTTATTACCGTTAAGGACCAGGGCTCTTTTTACATTTCTGCGGTCCTTGTGTTTAGATGTAATTTGCCTCTTACACATTTACTGTACCCATACATATTATATACCATTTTTCTTGCTATTCAATGTTCATTCTAAAGATACCATTATTTTCATCATATCATATAATTTACTAGAAAAAAAAAAGTAAAATATGATGAAAAATGGAAAAATAAAACACAGCTGGCCATCATGCACCCATGTCCCAGTTGGAACATTTCTGAAGCCGGCCAATGTAATTCACCCCCCATCAAACCGTATGTTTTTGAAAAGTACACACCCTAGGGCATTTCACATGGTGGCATTTCAACACTTTACATGCATTAATTCTACCACCAGTCTCTGTCAAATGTTTTTGTGGTGTTATTTTTCACTCACACATTCTACTTTGGGCATATATTCTCATCTCCTGTTAGGTGTTACTGCCAAAGGACACCCCAATATGTGCTCGGCAACATCTCCCGAGTACAGCGATACCACCCATGCATACGTGTGTCGGGTTCACTGGGGGGTGCAAAGCAAAATGTCTGATATGCGTTTTTCTAATTTTACGTATCTTGTTTGCCTATCTTCCTTTTGGGGGCCTTATCAGATATCCCAATGTATTTTCTTGCCATGAGCGTGCATATAATTGAAAAGTTGACACCCCGCAGTATTGTATATGGAGTGTTTTGATGCCTTAGATGCAATCATTTTAGTCAAAAAAAGTTGAAGAACGTGTGTGGAGGTAACTGTTCAATCCTCATTTTTACCCAAGCACAGTGCTTTTTGACTGTGATTTAGGAGAGCCCGTTGTTGGTTATTGCAAGAAAACACCCCAGGTTGTTTTCTGCAAGGCCTCCTTAGGACACCCATGCCCTCCATGCATAGGTTTGCCAGGATTTTGGGAAGGTACGGTTACAATTGTATGACTTGCAATTTGAGTTGAAATTGAGAGTATTTCTTCTGATAGGCCTATCTTTAGCTTGAGGCTTATCACATACCCCAGTTTTATATATCGCCATGAAAGGGTACATACTTGAAACATAGACACCCCGAGGTGTAGAGTGCTTTGATGCAACTTTTTTTAGCCAGACAAAAAATAAAAAAGTTGAAGAACGTGTGTGGAGGTAACTGTTCAATCCTCATTTTTACCCAAGCACAGTGCTTTTTGACTGTGATTTAGGAGAGCCCGTTGTTGGTTATTGCTAGAAAACACCCCAGGTTGTTTTCTGCAAGGCCTCCTAAGGACACCCATACATGGGGTAAATGTAACAAAACCAAAAAAAAAACACCAACAAAAACTGAACGGCAAATAAATAAAAAATGGACCAGCGTGTGGTATCGTTTGAAGCAGTGTCCAGGCTGTCCAGGGCAATCAGGACAGTGATATACACTATCTTTTCTCTGCCCTCTCTTAGAACAGACCCTGCATCTTTTTTGGGGATTCTGCTTTGCCGCAATAGGGGGAATTTTAAAAATAAAATGTATAGCCCCAACTCTGCTCTCTCCCATCACCGCCCGGGGAGCAGGTGCATCATGGTACAAAATCCTCAAAATGATCTGGAGCTGAAACTGTAAAAATCTCAGTTGCGTCCTGGGGTTTGCTATTTTGAAAAACAATAAAGTGTTGTGGGTTGCAATCTGCATTAGGTAGATTGCAACCTTTTTGTACCAGGCCCTTGTCTTTCATATAATTAGGTAGGGCTGCAGCAGCTGAGCTGCCAGATCAACCCCACCCATATGCCAGTTATAGGCCTTGATGCACACTGGCTTCCTTGTTCTCTCAGCTCTGCCGCGTACAGGGACCTCCACAGTCCCCTCAGTGTGGATAGTGGTAAGAAGGTACACATCCTTATTGTCTCTGTACTTAACTGCCAACAGCTCCTCTTGGCGCAGAGCTGAGGTCTCCCCCCTTCGTAGTCGGGTGCGTGCAAGTTGTCCGGGGAAACCTGTGCTGTTCTTTTTGATTGTGCCGCAACCTACTGTATCAAAACAGTACAGTAGCTTGAACAAAGGGACACTTGTACAAAAATTGTCAGTATACAAGTGGTACCCTTTGTTCATCGGGGGAATATCCGGTCCCAGACAATCTTGCCACTGGTTCCCATATGTTCTGGGCAACCTGCAGGGTCAAGGTGGCTATCCTTTCCCTCGTACACCCGGAAGGCCTGAGTATACCCAGTCTCGCTATCACAGAGCTTATACATCTTTACACCATACCTAGAGCGCGTGGAAGGAACTTCCTACTTGAATCCCAGCCTTCCCTTATACTTCATCAGGGATTCATCCATGCATATATTCCTTCCAGGTGTATAAGCCTCTGCAAACCTGGCAGCAAAGTGGGTAATCAGGGGGTGGATTTTATACAGCCTGTCAAACTGGGGATGCTCCCTAGTGGGACACAGGCTGTTGTCGCTGAAGTGCATGAAATGCAGAATCATTTCATACCTCTTCCTCGACATACATTGTGAGTAAATGGGGGTAGAGCAGATGGGGCTACTGCTCCAGTAGAAGCGGATGGAGGGCTTCTTTATGATGCCCATCAGCATAGTCAATGTCCAGAATCTTTTAAATTCCGGCACATCGATGGGGGCCCATTGCTGCTTTGCCAAAAAAGAGTCAGGATTTGTAGCTCGGAATTGATGGGCATATAAATTAGTTTGGGCAACAATTTTCCCCAATACATCATCGCCCAGAAACACCTCTGTAAACTGCTGAGGGCTAAATCCTGTGACATCCAAATTAATGCCAGGATTTGCAGTAAAGGATGGGATGTCTGGCCTCTGGCGATGAGGCACTACCCACTCCTCAGCAGTTCTGCCATCTGGAGCAGCACGTCTCCTTCTGGCAGGGGGACTAGCAGGCACAGATACAACATCACTAGATACATCACTAACAGCAGACACTGTATCTAGTGATGATGTATCTGAGCACCTGGCAGGGTCAAAATCAGGGTCAGTGTCTGACATAGACGCGTCAAACTCTAGCGCAAGGGTGGCATATGACTGCTCAGCACTGGTTGACTTCCGTGACCCATGTGACATGATCACAATCACTTTACTTAGTGACCTGTCACAAAAAAAAAGACAAAAAAATTAACCCCTAAAAAAATGAACAGACAGCAAAATAAGAGCTGCTGTGCAAGAGCCTGTGATCTGTACATGGGTTAATCATTCTGGCAGGACAGGGGTTAATCGTTCTGAAAAGAGCTTTTGGGTCTCAAAAAAAAAAAAAGATTAAAAAAAATGCACAAACAGCAGAAAAGTGCTGCTGTGCAAGAGCCAGTGATTATAGTGATCACTGGCAAGACAGGGGTTAATGGCTCTGAAAAGAGCCTTTGGGTCTCAAGATTTTACAAATCCCTACCTATAAATACCTAAATCTCTCTAGCTAAACCACAGATCTCTCTCCCTCTCTCACTAAAACAAAAGTGAAGAGAGGGAGGCAGATCCACACTAATCAGAGAAATGGGGAACACACTTGGGATGAAATTGCTAATGGGGCAAGCTGTGATTGTGACACCCCCAGAAGCCCCATGATTCACTGCCTTTAGAAAGGGGGGGGGGGTTAATATTGATTATTTTATTTATTTTATATTTATTTTTTATATATATATTATTATATATGCACTGAGTGTCAGGACCCCTCGAGGCACTCAGCACATGCGGAGAATCACTGCAATACTATCAGTGCTTCCAGCGCTCAAAATAGATGTGGACGTACCAGGTACGTCCAAGGTCATTATGGACCGTTTTTTGCCGCGGTCGGGAAGGGGTTAATAGGTGTCAGTAATCGGTAACACTTGAGAACTGCATATATTACTTGCCTTGTTGAAGCTTATCAGTTCCCAAGATGTACCACCAGAGGCATTTAGAGAGATCATCAGTGAGTCTGGGGTCAAGCCAGGAGCTATATCTCCCCCAGCTGAACTGACCTTAGTGTGCAGGTCCTTCTGCCAGCATCTTCTGCTTCCAAGCAGGTATTGACCCCTCAACCTGTCCTCTTCCGTCCAGGCAGGTATTGACCCCTTGACCTGCCCTCCTCCTTCCTTCCAGGCAAGTATTGACCCCTCTGCCTCCCCTTCTCCTTCCAGGCTGGTATTGACCCCTCTACATATGCAGCCTCCACCTACTGCCTTTACAAAGCACTTGCAGCTCACAGACCTAATTTTAACCACCATCTTTTAAACAACATTTTTGGCTCTTATGCCACCTCTTTTCTTAGAAGCCTCCAATACCAAAGAACAGTGCAGCCAGAAAGCAGGTCCTAAAACTCAGTTTTCTGGAATCATTGAAAGACCAATACAAGACATACAGTTCCAAAGTGAACAGCCACACAATTGTTCATTTTGAGCAAGGACTAGCCTGTATAACACTAGAGGATAGGCAATCATAAATAACATATCAAATATATAATACAAGAACCACTTTCTAACATAGGAAAAAGCTTTAAAAAATTTTTAACTCCTTTCTTGGTTTTACTGATTTCAATACCAAATTTTATATAAAGTGACACATTTACTGTCTGTTGACTTGATAAGGAATTTACACTTGCAGTTTATCAATACCAATTCTGTCAGTCCCAAATGGTTTGAATATAATATAGCAGGAATGTGGAACTGCACTCAAACCCATTTGAAATGTATCTGGGTGCACCAGACCAGTCCCAGTACCAGGAACCAAAATATTTGATGTGGAAAAATAGAAGAGAAGTCCAGACACTCTCAGAATACAAAAAGGCAAATTTATTGAACCCACTGCAGTGGGTTCAATAAATTTGCCCTTTTGTATCCTGAAAATCCTAAATGGTTGTGATAGTGTAAAAGGCCTGGGCTAACCCTGCCTCAGTACCCACAACCTCCCAATGTCACCCAGGTTGAACAGAATTAATACTGATAATGTGAAAGAAAAGAAAAAAGAAAAAAGTGCACAGCACACTTTATTCTTTTTTTTTTCTTTTCTTATATATTATTCAAGTGTTTTTAGAGCGATTTTCACTTTTACTAGTGCTTGCTAGCCTTTTTGTGATATGTTATAAGATTTTTCACTAGTACTAATTTTATAGCGCCATCTTTTACTTGATTTTTTGTATTTGATAATGTGAAAGCACAATTTATACATTAACTGTAGAGGGCATGGTCTCTAGATGTTAGCGAGAGCCCAATTTTTGTCAAATCGTTTCCAAGAAGTTTGACATAAAATGGGCAATGGAGATGCTAGACGTGTACCAGCATAATCACATCACTAAGCTGTAGTAGTTATGTTTGTTAGACTGCCCTTTTAAATGTTCCTAATTGTCATTTTTAGATAACCTTGAATAGCAATCTATATGCAAATTATGTTTAAAGGAACACTTTAGTGTTGGTAATACAAAGCTGTGTTTCAAACACTATAGTATACCACTGCCCCATAACCCCCCTTGCTATTAAAGGGTTAAAAGGGTTTTCAATTATCTTATTCCAGTACTGAGGTCTCTCTGTGCTGGCTCCGTCGTGGCCTCCTATAACGTCATCATGAGTGGGAAACTAATGCACATGCATGCTTTTTTTTTTTGAAATTCTTTATTTTTAAGATTTTCGTGTTTGTTTGGGTTGGGGTACAGAAAACAACGGGGGAGTAAGGGTATTGGTACATTCTGCATAGAGTACATTTGGCATTTGTAAGGTATAACAGACATGCATGTAATTCTTGTGTGTTGTACATACTGCGTTTTCGTCATTTGGTAGTTGCTTATTCTAAGTTACTCTGCACATGACGTTTGTCCTGACTCTAGCTCTTTGGGTCGGGGAAGGGTACAGAATAAGTGGGAGGGAATAGGGGTGTCCTATTTGTCTTCTCCCCCTACCCCCCGTCCCCCCTCCCTCCCACCCCCGCTGCCGCACCGCCCTCTTCTGGGGTCTGTATTGTGTTTGTGCTGTGTGGGAGGCCGTGCGGGAGAGCGAGGGCTGAGAAGAGGGGATGGGCGGGTTGGCATGTGGTTCCATTTATGTGCTCCCTCATGTTACAGCCTTCAAGTGTTTGGGAATCCTTCGTTTGCAGCTGCTGTGTGCTAGTTCATTCTAGGGTTTGGGGCGTGTGTGCTTGCTCTTTGTTGAAGGCGTGCTGTGGTCCGTCGGTTATCGAGGGATGGGTGTTCTAGGGGCGTGTCCGTGGTTGCAAGGCCTGTGTCTCCTGGGTGTTTTGGTGGCTGTTAGGTGTTGTTTGCATGCCTCGGGTAGGGTTGCTATCGGGGGTCTGGTCCCCATATGCTTTTGGACAGGGCGGTTAGGGGGATCGGGGAGGGGCGCGGGTTTCCGCGTTTGGTTGGTTTTGTGTTGGGCGGCTTGGCGGAAGGTGCCGCTCCTCGTCTCGCGCGGGCGGGAGGAGAAGGAGGGGAGGGGGGAAGGAGGGAGGGAGAGAGAGAAAAAAAAGGGGGAAGAAATGTAGTTAAGAACCAACACGTCAGGTTGAGGGGGGGCGTCCACCCGTGGCGCTCCTTCTGGTTAGTGCATGTCCGCGGTGCTCGTTCGGCTTGGGTCGAGGCTTGTCGGGGTCACTGATTCGGGCCGTTAAGTGTTAATTCGTTACGTTCTCGTTCAGTTTTGCGTGGTTCGCGTCCCAGGGGTCCCATATGCGGTGGAACGCTTTATACGTATCGTTTATTTGTGCCGTTAGTTCGTCCAGGTTGCGGGTTTCTTTGATTTTGCTTATTATGGTTGTGGTCGTGGGGATTTTGGGGTCAGCCCAAAGTTCTGCTATCGCTCGCCGTGCTGCTAGATTGATGCGGGCGGTTAGTTTGTTTTCACTTCTTGTTAGCGAATCTAACGGTTTGCTGAGAAGCATGGTCCATGGTTGTGTGGTGACTGGTTTGTTTATGATCGTTTCAATGAGGTTGCTTACCTGTCCCCATAGTGGTTTGAGTTTGGGGCATGTCCACCAGCAATGTAGGTAGGAGCCAGTAGCGCCACACAATTTCCAGCACCCATCGTCGGGTTTTCGGCCCATTTTATAGAGTCTTTGTGGCGTCAGATACCAACGGTGCAACGTCTTGTATGCTTGTTCTTTGTGCGTGACGCATACCGTTATGGAGTTTGTCGCTTCCCAGATTTCGGCCCAGTCGCTCGGGTCATCAGCTGGTCCCAAATCTCGCTCCCACGCGGCAATGTAAGTGAGGTTGACCTGTGAGGCGTGGGTCGTCAGTGTGTTGTAGAGGGCGGAGATTTGTCCCGATTGTAGGGGTGCGTCGAAGCACTGCTTCTCGAATGTCGTCGGAGGTGAGGTGCCTGCTTGCTTGATCATGGGCTGTTGCGCCAGGTCTCGGAGCTGTATATATCGGAAATGGTCCGATGTGGTTAGGGTGTCCGCTTGGGGAAGTTCGTTGTATTTGAAGGTTTCTCCCTGGCGGTACAGGTGGAGTAGTCGTGATATATCGCGTTGGTCGAATGCGAGGAAGTGTCTCGCTGTCATGCCCGGTGGAAAGAGTTTATTTCGGTATATCGGTGTTACCGGGGAGAGAAAGGAGGAGAGGTCGTATCTCGGGTTAAGTTTGTCCCAGAGGGTCAGTGTGTGAGTGATTGCCGGTGAGGTAGGTGGTGGAAGTGGTCGGTATATGCGTGGCACCCACATGTATGAGGAGGGTTGGTCCCACCCCAGGATGTCATGTTCTAAGTCCACCCAGCGTTTTGTGCCTGGGGGGGCGTGCCATTGTTGGATGTGGGCCAGTTGGGCCGCGTTGTAGTATTGCTGAAAGTTGGGTAGTCCGAGGCAGCCTCTAAGTCTAGGGATGTACATTGTGGCTCTGCGAATTCTGGGTCTCTTGGCTTTCCATATGAACTTGTCTATTGCCGCTTGTAAGCGTTGGAAGTCCGATTTCAGTATCGGGATAGGCAGCGTCTGGAAGAGGTAGAGGAATCGTGGCAGGAGGTTCATTTTGATGGTAGTGACTCTTCCCAGCCACGATATCCCCAGTTTGTCCCAGCGTTGCAAGTCTGAGTACGCTGTTGAGAGAAGCGGTGTGTAGTTGAGGCCATAGATGTCTCCCAGTGTCGGAGCCAGTTTGGTGCCGAGATATGTGAGAGCAGTCGTGGTGATGTGGAAGGGGAAGGAGTGGTGAATCAGTTGGAGTTGAGAGGGAGTCATCGCTATTGGCATTAATATAGACTTAGATAAATTGATTTTGTAGCCCGATATGATTGAATATTCGGCGATGAGGGTGAGTGTGGAGTGTAGGGAGGGGATGGGGTCCGTCAACGTGAGGAGGACATCGTCTGCGTAAGCTGCCACGGTGTATGTGTCTTGTCTGATCCGTACTCCTTGTATGGTGGGATGATTGCGGATTGCTTGGAGCAGAGGTTCCAGGGAGGTTGCAAAGAGTAACGGGGAAAGTGGGCAACCCTGCCTGGTCCCGTTTGCTATGTTGAAGGTTTGGGCTTCTACAAGGGGGAGTAGGAGCTTCCCAGTTGGGCGATTGTATATTGCCCGGAGGATGTTCAGGAATCCCGGTGGAAAGTTCAGGTGTGCTAATACTCCGTACATGTATGGCCAGAGAAGGCGGTCAAATGCCTTCTCGGCATCCAGTGATAGCACTACCGAGGGGATATTTCGGTGTCTGGTGTACCAGATTGTGTCATAAGCTCTCCTGGTATTGTCTGATGCCTGTCGTTTGGGGATGAAGCCGACCTGGTCTGGGTGAATCAGTAGCGGGAGGAGTGGGTTGAGGCGATTAGCCAGTGCTTTTGTGAGTATTTTCAGGTCGGTGTTTAAGAGTGAAATTGGGCGGTAGTGTCCCGGATCAAGGTGTTCTTTTCCCGGCTTGGGTAGGAGGCATATGTCGGCTGTCAACATGTCGGGGGGGAGGTCGTGTCCTTGCAGCAGTGAATTGAATGCTTTGCAGAGTTGCGGTATTAGGATGGCCTGGAATGTCTTGTAGTAAATGGCTGTGAAGCCGTCAGGTCCTGGGCTTTTCCTGGGTTTCAGAGTTTTAAGAACTAGAGCGATTTCCTCGGCCTCGATGGGTGTTTCCAGCATGGCTTGTGCCTGGTTGGAGAGGGAGGGTAGATTGAGGGGGCGTAGAAAGGAGGAGATGGCCTCTGATTGATCCGTACCTCTCGTGGGTATCGTGGCGGCGTGGTTGTATAAGTTAGTGTAGTATTGCAGGAATTCTTGGGCTATTGCTTCTGGATTTGTTGTCGTTTCTCCAGTCTGAGTTCGAATTTTCGAGATTTTCTTGTTATCTTGCCGTTTTTTGAGGCAACGTGCCAGGAGAGAGTCCGCTTTGTTGCCTTTTTCATAGAATCGTTGCTTGGACCACATGAGGTTCCTTGCCACGTCTGTTGCCGAGAGTTGTTTGATGAGTTCTCGCGTTGTCTTGAGCTGTGCAACGAGTGCGTCGGACGGGCTTTGTTTGTGTAGGGTTTCGAGCCTTGTTAGGTCGGTCAGGGCGTCCGTAAGTTTCTGGAGTCGCTGTTTTTTAAGGGCTGTGGCTATGGCTATAAGGTCGCCTCTGATCGTTGCTTTGTGGGCTGCTCAGACCGTTGTTGGCGCCACTTCGTCAGTGGTGTTGAGGTCGAAGTAGATTTTGAGTTTCTCAGTCACGGTGTGGACTGTGGCCGCATCTTTGAGTATCCATGGATTAAGTTTCCAACGCCAAGGGCGTGCCAGTAATGGGATCTGTACCGTCAGCGACACTTCAGCGTGGTCGGACCACGCGATGTTTCCAATGTGCGTATGGGTGGTCCAGGGTTGAACTGCCGGGGAGATAAGGAAGCTGTCAATTCGGGAGTAGGACTTGTGTGTGTGGGAGTAGAAGGTGAAATCTACCGACGATGGGTGCTGGATTCTCCAGGCGTCCAGTAGGGGTGTATCGGTGAGGAAATCCGCGAACAGTTTATCGTTTCTAGTCGGGGCCGGTGTGCTGCCGGTGTGTGTTCTGCGGTCCGTTGCGGGTGTTTGGGTCGCATTGAAATCGCCGCCTACAATGAGGTGTTTGGCTGCGAGGCTCGTGAGGTGGGCCTTGAATGTGCTCCAGAATGAGGCGTCCGGGGTGGTGGGAGCGTATAGTGAGCATATGGTTAGGGAGGTTGTCCCTGCACGCCCCGAGAGAAAGAGGAATCGCCCCGAGGGGTTTTTGCGGGTTTGTATGTCCTCTAGTGGGCAGGAGTTTCGTAGTAATATTGCGACTCCTTTTGTTTTTGCTTCCGGCGAGTTGGCCAGGTAGTACCTTTTAAAGTGTCGGTTGATTAGTGGGAATTGTTTATGGTCGGTAAAATGGGTTTCCTGAAGCAGGACGATGTCCGCTCCCGTACGGTTGGCCCATCGCAGTATCCCGTGTCTTTTCCCTGGTGAGTTAAGTCCCTTGACGTTGAGGGAGGTGAGGTGGATTTGGAGGTTCTGTGGCGCCATGTTGCCGTCGGAGGGTGGTCCCTGACCAGCGTTGAGGGGAAGAGATGGTGTGCAGTGTAGCGTCCCTTCTAGTCTCGATGGCCGCGGGTGGGCAGTCGGTTCGGTTTGGTGTCAGCAGGGAGAGCGGGGGCAGGAGAGAGGGGGTGGGGATCGGCAGGGTCCCGCCCGCGCGGGCCGGTGGCTGGGGGACTGGGCTTATCTAACTGGCCAGTCGTTGGTTAGGCGGGGGTCTCGAGTTCCTGAACCAAGGTCCGTGTGGCGATCCTCGGGAGAGTCGAGGCCGGAGGGGTGGGGTGTGCGCAGGTGATGGCAGGGTCCGCCTGTGACCTGCCCGTGAATGTTTTAAGTTGGCTGAGCCGGGTATTGGGATTTGGGATAGGGGAGGTGGGTCATGGGCGGGTGCTCTCGTATGTGCGGTCCGTTATGTGGTGCGGGATTGTCTCCGTTCGCATATAGGTAGTGTGTTGGAGGGCTCCCCGTATGTGGGTCTGGATGCTGTAGCGAAGGCTTGTCGAAGTGGGCGTGTGTTCTAAGTCGCTAGGCATATGGGTGCCCGTGTTCCGTTGTAGGGGGTGGTTGTGCGTGCCAATGGTACGGAGTCTGCCCCGGCGCTGCCCGTCCTCCTGGTGAGGTATATCGCATGGGGGCAGCGGCGGGGCCGCCCCGCATCATTAGAGTTATGAGGAGTAATCCTGTGTGTATGGGTTTGACCGCGCTATAGTATTGCTGAGGGTTATGTGTAGCGTGTTGACCTCTTAAAGCGGGGTGTAGTGTGGGTGTGGTGGCCCCTGGCGGTATAGCTGTCGCATTTCCCCCTCCCTCTAGCGGGGGGGTTACGGCTTGTTGGGGTGTGGGTACTCTTCTCTGTGCAGGGTTCCGTGTGTGTGTTTCGGCCGCCGGCCGATTGCGTGTACAATAACCTGTATATAACATGCTTACATTTACAATTCAACAATATAACACATTAACATTTCGCTGGTAGAAACAGATACAGCATCAAGGCAGGCAAGGAGGAAAGAGAACAGTGTTTTCCGCAGGTGCTTCTGGTCTCGAGTGCGTGTTACCCCGTGTCCCCTCCTCCCGGTGACCCACGGGTCTCCCCTCAGGGTGGCCAGGCCGTCTCGCCCATGTCGTTCGGTCAGTCGAGTCAGCTCCTGGAGGGACAGATGGTGTATGGGTGGTACATGGGTAGCCCCTTACCGCCTGGGCAGCGTCCTCTGTCAATTTCCCCCCGAGCTGGCATGGTCCTAAGTCAGTCCTGTGGTGATGGTGTCTGTCTTCTGTCTACAGCTCGTCTATGTGGCCCGTCCGTGTGTCGGTACTGCGTCAAGTGTATGTCGAACTGGGGAGGGTAAGCTGTCGGTCATACCTCGTCCGTCTGTGGATCAGGTCGTAGGTTGGGGGTGTTTCTCCAGTGTCCGTGGTGGCGGGTGTGGGGAGTCCGGATGGCCTGTGTTGCCCGCTCCCCTCGTAAGGGGAAGGTAAGGGGTCCGTCTGTTCGTTCTCCTGGGGTCGCGTCCCCCCTGGCTGCCGCCCCCTTCTCTGTCTCCCTCCCCGGTGTCCCTCCCTCCACTCTCCCGTCCCCCCTCCCACCTCCCCCGTGCCGTGAGGGTTGGGCCTGTTGTCTGGTTTGGGGTTGGGTGGCTGCGAGCGAGGAGCGCTTCGCTAGGTGTGTGTGTATATACAGTCCCCTTTGTGGTATACTTGCTGTTTGCCGCCCAGTGTCCGAGTCTCAAAGTCCCATTTCTGGTCCGGACGTCAGGCTTCTGTAGTGTGCATTAACCGGGAGAGGGGTTTCTGAAACGGGATGTGGTGTGTTCCGGGAGTAGTCCTGTGGGTGCTGGGGGTTCTTGCCGGGTGGGGTTGCTGTGTCGGTCATTATCAGTTGCTCTCCCGGGGTTGTAGCTGTCGGCGTGAGGAGGGGGCCGTTCCACGGCGTAGTGCTTGGTGCAGGAAACTCCACTGTACTTCGTTATAGTTGGGGCTGGAGGGCGTTGGTGTAGTGCCCGGTAAGAGTGGCCAAGCTTTGGTTTCAGCGCTTCGTGGTTCCCGCCAGTATGTAGGCCTGTCTCTGGAGTGTTATGTTGTAGTCCGTGCACTAGATATCTCCGTGGGCAATAGTGCTTGTTGGGGGTGCCGTGGTGGTGCTGAGGAAAGCTTCCCGGAGTGTGTGGGACGTGTTGTGCTAGTAGCCGTTTTGTTGTAGGCCTCTGGCTTGGGATCACTCAGGTGGTGCGGTAAAGGGTCGGTTCACGCAGTGTCGACCGAAGACGTCTGGCAGGGGCGTCTAGGTATGGAGGCGGGTAGCCGTTCCTGCGGCGCTGTCCCCCCTTCTCCTCACCTCTACTGCTTCGCTGCATCTGTGCTTTGCAGTGCTGTGTGGCGATGTTGGCGTTTGCCATTTCTGGCAGGCAGATTGTTGCGTGGCGCCTGTCGTGGTGGGAGATCTGTGTTGGAGTGAGGTGTCTCTGGGAGCTGAGGTAAGCCTAGTTGCATCAGAAGTGCAGGGATTTCTTCAGGCCTTGTGAGGGAGTGGAATCTGCCATCTTTGCGAATGATCATTTTGAATGGATGACCCCATTCATAGCGGAGGCCATGGTGATTGAGGTGTTGCGTTAGCGGTCGTAGTTCTCTCCGCCGTTTGAGGGTAGTTGGTGCCAGGTCTTGAAATAGTTGGACTGGCACTCCCTCCAGTTCAATGGGGGCGTCCCTAGCAGCTCTCATAATTCTCTCCTTTATATGGTAGAAGTGGAGCCTCACCACAATATCCCTAGGTGTGGCGGAATTGGCGCTTGGGGCTCGCAGTGCCCGGTGTGCCCGGTCCATCAGTAAATCAGCTGCTGTGGCCTCCGGCAGGAGGTTTTGGAATACCTCTGTGAGGGTGTCAGAGAGGAGGTCAGTTGATATTGTTTCTGGGATGCCCCTTACCCTGATGTTATTCCTGCGCGTTCTATTATTGAGGTCTTCATTGGTTTCTTCTAGGGAGCGCAGTTGATCACGTAGATATTGAATTTCAGTGCCGTGGGCTTGAATCCTTTCATCTGTGTCGGCCATTTTGGCCTCTGTGGCCTGTGCACGGGCTGAGAGGTCTGCCATGCCTTCTAGTATGGGGCACAGTCTTTTGTCCAGTTCTTCTGCCACTGACTTTTTGAAGTCTGCCAGGAATCCCCTCATGTCCCTCCTGGTTAGTGGTGCCTCAGATCTGTCAGAGTGTGCCTGGCTGCTCATCTCGGATTCCGAGTCTGTCTGTGGGGGGTCTAAAGATGGCGCCCGTTGTTGTTCAGGCTTCTGCCTGAAGATCGGCGCGACTGACTGATTGCGGGCTTTCTTCCCGCCGCCCATGAGGAAGGTACGTGCGGGTGTCCGGGGGGGGTAGCGGGGGGTATTTTCGGGGGATTTGGGGGGCTCAGGTGCTGTGGATGGCGTTCCGTTGGGCTAGGTCGCGGCGGAGCTCTGGGATTATGCGGCCATTTATGCGCGGGGTTAAGCTCCGCCTCCACATGCATGCTTTTCAATACGGATTTAGAAAGCACTGGATGTTAAACTCCATGAAATAGCAGAAAGAGCCTCTAGTGGCTGTCTTGCTGTACTGGTAAGTACCACGACATACACATAGTACTGTGAAGACTTTTTTTTTTTTCTGTGGAACTCAGCAATAAGTGGTTAAACACAACGCATTCCTGGTCAAGGTAAATAAGGAAAAACCAGAGCTTCAAAGCAAAATGACTCACAGTATTATGTGACAGCAGAACATAATACGTAGTCTGCTCCATCCTACATATTGTCGGGGAGAAAGTCTGGTCTCTGTTGGCTTTAGACTATAAGTAGCTGCCTCCTGAGCTTCGGCCAATGAGATTGTTGCCATGGATTACTACAACAAAACTCTGACACTGAGAGTACCTAAGCTCACAAGACAGTTCTCATGGCCTGCAGCCGGAAGAGGCGCAGATCAGAACCCCAGCACACTGGACCACCAGATATCAAAATGATCCCGTGCCCTCAAGGTAACAAGGGTGAATGAATATATTTTATTTTTTTATAATTATTAATTTATGAAAACCTTTCTACAAACACTACACACAATAGATGGATGAGAGGATGTGATTACAGAGAGGTGCTGTGAAGATTTTTCGCACAGGGCGCCTGGCCCTGTCCACATCTCACTAAGCCACCTTCTCTTCTACAGCTGCGTCATCTAATAAACTAAGCCTTCATTGTAAACTCTTCTGGCAATCTACTTTTCCTTTACATGAAATACATCTTAGCTGTACCTCATTTTAGATTGTCAGCTCATTTGAGCAGGGCCTTCCACATTTCCTGTTCCTATATGTCCAACTCGACTTATTGCAACTACTTGTTTGTTTGTCCATTTTTTGTAATAATAATAACCTGGTTATATGTGATCATTGAGTCTCCCGTCGTGCATAGCTAAACATTAACCTCTCCAAAAGATCTTCCTTCATTTCCCTGAAAACCATGTTGGATATGGCAATTCATAGGAAAATGGCTGATTACAGGGAAAATGACAAAGAGAAGGGAGGGAGCAGTCTCTTTAGAAATATTTAAATACTTAAAGGGATTAAAGTTGAAGAAGGAAGGATTTTCAAGAAAATGTGAAGTACTAGAACTTAATGCAACATCAGAAGGTTTGTAGATCAATAGATAATGTGAAGTAACAGTAAAGAATTCAAATGCAATAATGGAATTCGAAAAAGCTAGAGAAACATGCAAGATGTTGACCAAAATGTTTTAGTCTGCCATGAGAATCTATGCTTCCACACATTTTTATATGATTCACTTGCGTGGAAAATGTAAACTTCACTAAATACTATGTAAACCCATGATGCTTTGTTGAAAATGTCCCAAATAACGTGATGGTGTTTATTTGTTTATTTTCAAATATCAACATATCGGCTGATGTCTATCTAATATGGAGAAAACATGCATTGGAGCTATAAGGACTATGTTCAAAAATATTCTCCAAAGTACAATTTAGATAGCAATCCTAAAATATATATTTGGAATAATCCTTATGTAGCATTCTAAAAGATGTGTAAGAAAGACATATTTTCACTTCTGCGCTTTACAAGAAGCTTAATGTTGTTATGTTCTGTTAAGAAAACTGTCAATATTTTTTAAATCATCTTTGGAAGTAAAAACATGTATTATCACACTTCATGTGTTCTAGACTCCTTGTTTATTATTTTGTAATGCATACGTTTTACAGGGCGTCTATGACTCAGTTTGAGCTGTCATATTGTATTGTGTAAGTTATTTTTGTTTGGAAACACCACTTACCCAATGAAAGATCATGCTGGTAACTGAGAGTGACTGCAAATGTATGCATGTTATGTTAAGTGCAAGTATTGAGCATAAAAAAAGTTTGAATTGCCGAATTTCCAAATTGCCTTATTTCCGAAGTGCCGAACTGAACCGAATTGCCGAAGTTCCGAATTGCCAAAGTTCCTAATTGTTGAAACTCCGTAGTGGGTTAGGGGTTATGGTTAGGGGGTAGGGTTAGGTTTAGGGTTAGGGGTTAGGGTCCAAATTACCTAAGTTCAGAATTTCCGAAGTTCTGAATTGCCGAATTATGCTTACTTATATAGTTAATTTAAGGCTTATATGTTTAATTACAATGTTGCAGTTTTTGCTTGCATGAGATTTCAAAAATACATATGTGCTGGGTAATTTTCGTAAAAAGGACACTATAGTGCACTATAATATATGCTCTATTATTAGCCTTTTAGAGTCTCCTGTGTGTGATTCCTCCTGTGTATGAACAGGATTTAAAACTTCTGATGTAAGTTAGCAATGATTAAAATGATAATATTTTTAAGTGTTGGCTGTGTGACAGCACGGGGAGGTGTCGCTAGGGCTGCATAAACAGATCTAAAAGTGATTTAATTCCTAAATGGCTGAGAAGTAAGTGGTGAGACTGCAGGTTCCTATATTATTTTTTTAAGATCCTTGGACAGCTATGGGATGTACGTTCCAGAAAAACATTGGGCTTGAGCCCAAATCAAATTCTAAACAAAATGAAACTCTATATACTCTAACAGAAAGGTGTGCATATGTCAGAACATAGCTCTCTATTTCTCCCCGAACAGCACATTGCTTATGCTCTTCGGGATGCCAATTAAAGCATAACCAGAAACAAGCATATGTTGCACAGCCTGGTCTTCAATGCGACCTCACCATACTACCTAACTAATAAAAAGGCATGCAGCAAAGTTCTATTGCCAAGCTGTCACTCCAGACAGCTACTTTCTCGAGCACTACACTCGTGATCTTACTTTTTATACCAGGAGGCTGCGTTGAGTGAAATAAATTCTAATAAATAAATAATTATTAACAAAAACACCACTATCCTCCTGCCCCCTCCACTACCTGATATACTATAATATATTTGAATTGGTACACAACAATAAGCATCATGCTCAATATTATAACAATATCAAAAATTCTAAACTATTTGCTCTAAACATGTATTGTGGTCTTCTGCGTTCTCAGGGTGGAGAGAGGGACTAGCATATGGCCTATATTAAGTTGGCAGATTGGGTTCCACACTAAACCCCAAATGCCACCCGTGTCTGCAGCAAGTCTCGGGTCTGCTCAGCAATTGCAACAAGTTCTCTGGGGAGTCGAGCTTTGTCTCTGATGCTGTGGTTTCCTTCCTCATTCACAGGTCTCAGCTCATTGCGAACAGCTACATGCAATGCTCTGAGCAAGGATTGCACTTTTGGGTGGTCACATGACTTGACTTCCTGTAAGAGTTCAGATGTTTCTTTGAACATTAAGCAGAAACTTCATTCCAGTTAACGGCTTCTACATGTATCCTTTGTATTAAACGTTTAATAATATTTTACAAAATGTTGCGTCGGAAGCCCTCCAATGCATCGGACAAAGACCCTACACAGAAAAAGAAGGTAAGTCAGATGGTTTTAAATTTAAGGGGATAATATTGTATCTTTATAATGGATATCATTAATGCTACGAAAAAAAAAATATTTGTATATGTCTGTATGTGTTTATGTATACACATGTCTGTGTGTTTTTGTGGTCATGGTCCCCAGCATGATGTATATATATTAGGATGAGTGCTACCCCCTCTGGCTCCTGTGTTTGCACAAGGATTCTGCCCAGGAAGTACCATGATAATGAAAGGAACCCCTGGTCATGCCAATTATTGGTGATTCTGTAATCTCATCAGAAGCCAGACAATGTTTTATCATATGGCTTGCAATTTGAGGGATAATTCACGAAACAGTGAATTGTGATGATATAACAATCAAATTGCAACATTTTAGCTACATGGGATGAATGATAAAATGTCTAAATTTTTCTGTATTTTGTTATTCATTTGCTTGCCAGATCATATAATTCCTTTTTACCATTTGTAAAAGTGAATGTAGAATTAATATTAGAATGCATTTTTTCTATTTGAACTAATAAATGTATTTTTATATATATTGAGTGTTTTACATAGAATTCTTCTCTCACACTACTGAACACTTCTTTAATTTTCTTTTTAACCCTTAAAGGAACATTCCTGGAATAAAAATAAAAACCACTTCACGTGGTGCCCAGGGTTCCACAGTGCCACACTCTAAGTCTGTCACTGCTGCTCAAGTGTTTCCGCATTTCACTGGTCACTAGTGACCCATAGCAAGTAATTCTTTAGAAACGTATGTACATGTCTGAAGCATTACTCATTTTGGAGGGCCAAAACATATCCCAAAGCCGTAAAAGGGGAGCAGTCGCCAATGGAATTTTCCTGTTGGTTTGCAAAGGTTTCTATGGCGATTGCCTTTAATTTAGTGCTTTGCACCCTTTTTCAATAACTACGCTTTTATAAACCTTTTGCGGTGTTTCAGTAAGCTAAGCTAGCTTTTTGTACACAATGTTATTTCCTGTCTCTATACAAAACCAGAGACAGTGTGGTACTTAAATTAACATTTACTGTAAAGAGGCTGGTCCTTTACCTTGACTGTGGTCCCTTCATAATCATTGGCATTCAACAGGATATAGTGATGTATCTAAACTGAAAGTCGGCCATTGTTTTCCTTTGGCATTATCTATTATCTATGTAGAATATTTTTTATTTTTTATGCAACAGTTGCCAATCTCACAGAGAAGCATTGGATTCAATGATTTTCTATTGGTCACGCATGACAATTGCTACGCACACATCATAGATTCCCAATGCTTCTCTATGAGAAGTATCGGATTGGATCAAGATCATCGGCCAGGATTGTCTTGGAAGACTCAGAGCAGCTACAAACTGAGTCCCTGCACTAAAGTACAGTGAATTTAAAGGCTTTTTGTTTTTTGCCTTTTTTATTTACAAAAGTAAACAAATAAATGCACAAAGATATAATAAACAATAAATGTATTTGTAACAAATAAAATTAATAGCACTAAATACAACTAAATGAAATCTGTATGTGTATAAGTATATAGCACATTATAGAGCAAGCATGTCAAGCTCAAAAGCTAACACGGGTTAAATAAACAAGGTTTAACTGTATATGGACTGCAAAAAAACAAAAACTTAAATTTTCATAGAAACGTAGGTTTATTTTGCAAAGTACAATATTAAAACCCCCCAGTATCCCCATCTATTAAACATCGCACTGCCTAGACTAAGCCCCAGCCACAGTCCCAGCCCCACCTTCTATACAACCCCAGCTCCCACCTCTACACAACTCCAGCCCCCCTTCTACTAAACCCCAGTACCCCCAGCTACTAAACCCCAGTACCCCAATCTACTGAACAACCAGTCCCCCATCTACTAAAACCAAGCCTCCTTCTATGAAACCCTAGCCCTCCTTCTACTAAACCCTAGCCCCCTTCTACTAAACCCTAGCCCCCTCTCCACAAAAATCCAGCACCCTCTCTACTAAACCCCTGCCCCATTTAAAAAAAAAATAATAGCCAACAAGCAGGATCCACTCACATTGTCTTAGCCAGTATCCGACTCCAGAGTCCGGCCTCTGGCATATCCCCAATGGCGTCGTCCGCACCCTGTGTCATGTGTTGTGCTCATCTATGTGCCTCCAGGTCCTCTACTGCCCAATTGTGGCCATCACAACACTGAGTGCCCCCCCCCCCCAGTGCATGGAACCCAGGGCAGACTGCCCCCCCATTGCCCTATTAGTAATAAATATCTTTGCGGGGCTGCAAATATATTAATTTGACATGCTTATTATAGAGTATATAGTACAGTAACACTGCATCAAATGTGCTTTTTGTGTTGCTGGGCAGATTGTTACTTTTTAATCTTTCTGCGTATGTTTTGTTGCGCTTTTGTTACTGTTTAAGCATCACTACCTTTATATACTTATATACATACAGATTTGATTTCCTTTTATTTAGTGCTGTTAATTTCATTTGTTATATATAGATGTATTGTTTCTTTTATCTTTCTGTGCAGCCCCTTATCTGTATACTTCTTGTTGATCGTTATACCAGTCGCTAAGTGTGGATTGCTGCCTATTGTTTCATTTTTGTATTTCGTTATTTATTTCACATATATACAGTTTGGTTACTTTTTTTTTTTTTTAAACAAATGAGGATGTCTGTTTAAGGGGAATCTATTCTGAAAAAGGCATTTCATTAGGTAATTAAAAATGGTGTATAATAGAGTAGTTGTAAAATGTTGCATAAAATATATATTATTTATACTGTCTGTTCATATGTACAACTTTTACATTCATGGTCTTTGTTTGCACATTTCTATATACACTATATCCCTCCGGAGGTTATTCGTTTAACTAAACCCAGGTTTTATAGGATTAAAGTAAGGCAGCATGGTATGATGAAACATTTTTCTAGCGGATGGTCAAAAAGAGCCAGAACTCTAACTACACTGAATCTGTGATAAGCACAGCTAAACTGAAGAACATCATAGTTTTTTTTGTATACAAAATGTGTTTATCAGTCTGAAAGAAATGTTACAGAAGTTGGAAAACAGCAAAATTTCATTGATATGATAGTATTGCTTTAACAGTTTATAAAACTATCGATATAAATTATCTGTCTATAATTACCACCCTTTGATACAGAGAAATTTATGATGGTAAAATCATTAGACAACTTTATAGATTCTTAGGAGATCCATTTGTATGTGTTTATGTTTATGTTTATTATTACTTTGCACTACAAAATGTACATTACAAAACAGAAAAGACAAACTTCCCTCTAGTAGATGTACATAGTAATGGAGAAGTAATGCAGCTCTTCCCAACAGCAAGACATGTTCACAGCAGTTTATCTGTCATCTCCTCTCATGTCCCTACAAAATGCTAACTGTCAATTACATCAAGAAGGTGGTGGTGGTGAAGGGGTTCTTTGATTTAGATAATGTGGTACTTACATCCACTATACAGATTCCACCAGATGTTCCAGGGACACCAGTAGAACATACTGAAATACAGGTGCCACCTGAACCATTTTAATTTCTAGTTTTTATCAATTGATATTTTAATCAAATAGCCCTAAAATGCCCAGTGTTCTAGAAAATATATATATTACCTGTGCATTTTGTAGTACAATTATTTGCCCATTACCGTGCCTTTTTGGTTCATCCAAATTGTTTTCCTGCATATTTATACATGGACAATGTTCAGATGAGCTGACCACCACATAGATTACTTTCAGACTTGCCAAACTAAGTTTTCTTTTTTTGGACAAAGCAATTCAGTTAAACTGAAGACTTCTTGTAACTACAGCAGAACACAAGGTCAAGGAGTTCCCCAAAACTAAGATTCTTTATACAGAACAGAGAAGGTGAATATCACTAAAAGCATATCTTCACACTAAAAGTGAACTAAGAATTGGAAGTGAAAACAATATTTTGACAAACTGAATAATATCATGAACGTTACAGGAAAAAAATTAAATTCTTTGGCCAATCTTTCAAGACATTTAGAACCAAATTCGTAATTCCAATCTGGTCCTAAATGCTACGGCTCTTACAAGTAAATTCTTGTCAGGATATCAATTTAGAAACTCCTTCAATAGACCAAAGTTCCTTGAAATCAGTCCCTCTGATGAAAAGCCCACCCTGTTGTATTTACCAAATTTCTGTAGACTCAATGAGCTCCCCAACTCTGTCTGCTAGCAGTAGATATGGGCAATTTGTTTTGGTCTGAATTTAAATTCAGACGAATTTTGGCAATTTGGACATTCGGATGCTAGAAGGGTTAGGTGTAGGGTTAGGGGTAGGATTAGGGGTAGGGTTGGGGTTAGGGGTTAGGTTAGAGGTAGGGTTAGGATTAGAGGTAGGGTTAGGGTTAGGGGTAAGGTTAGGCTTAAGGAATTGACCAAGTCCCAAAGTACCAAAGTCCCGAAGTCCCAAAGTGCCAAATTTCAGAATTGCCAAAGCCCTGAACCAAACCGAAGTGCCGAATTGCCAAAGTCCTAAATTGCCAAAGTCCCGAATTTAGGAACCTAATTTTTTGCCCATGCACATCCTTAGCTAGCATTAGGTTTTGTCATAACATCTGAAGACATATCGATAATTGCTATTCCAAGATTAATTATGCTGGAACTATCAGATCAGTTCTTCTTCTGCTTTATAGTGGTGTAGAAATCTGTCAGAGTAAGATACACCGTTCCTAAAATGTTTAATTTTTACAGTTTATAAACCACTATAATAAATATGACCTGGAATTATGGTCTGAATGGATGCTAAGACTCTGTAGTTTAAAGCTTCACAGATTTCCTTCTAGATGGATTTTACATTTGGGCCAGAAATAATAAATACCTTTATATCTGAGTCCCCGAGTGACCCAGGAAGTTATCTAAAACTATGTTTACTAATTTACAAGGAAATTAATTCTGATAGAAATGTAATCATCCAATGAACAAGATTCTGGGGAGTGTCCACATTTTTGGACAACTTGAGAATTTCTGCTAAGTAAATCTTACAATGCCTCTGCTACTGAAGAATACTGTAACTACTGTTATAATCTTTGTTAAACACAAGGGTAGAGAAGATAGACCTGTGGGAAGATAAGTAAAGTACTATTTTATATTTTGGAAGTAATTTTGGTGGTCATACACTATCTGAATGGTTAAATAGGCATCTTTCATGTCTATCTTTACCATCTAATGCTTGTATTTTACCTGATAATTGAACTATTTTAGATTTATTACAATCTTACTAAATTACTCTTTCTTTATTTTCCTACCTGGCTTGCAAATACTTCTCATTGCGCTGCATTGGGAAGTCTGTGATTGGACAGCCACAGAAAGCCTGGGCAGAGTTAGAAGGGGAGGGCTTGCAGAGGCTTAAGACAAGAGAACTGCAGGTCTTACCGGCTGTTGTTAGATAAATCCAAATGAAATGCTCACCCTTCATAGCAAAGGAAACCAGTTCCTCTTTCGTTCCCACATATGTCAGTAATGGCATGAGTTACTAAGTAGAGTATTTAACCCCTTAAGGACCAAACTTCTGGAATAAAAGGGAATCATGACATGTCACACATGTCATGTGTCCTTAAGGGGTTGAATACTAACCCTAGCTGCATTTGTGGTATCCTTGCTCCAATTTTGCTTTACCCGTCGTCTGAAAAACAGGAAGAGGTAGATATGAGGCTTCAGTCACCAGCTTTTCCCTGCCACTAGAAGGAAGGCAGATATAGATGAGACCATGACCTACCTCAACCCATTTATAATGAGTCACAGAACTTCAAAGTCATATCAGATTTTACAAATGAGCCATGCTCTTTAGAGTGTGGCTGTCATATAAGATTCCAAGGGGTATTTGCCCAATGTGCCCTTTGGCCATTCCAGCCTAGGTGAGTCTGCCACCTGCTTTGAGTCTATAACTCCACAATTTGGGGATAATTCATGGAGTGGACGAAGTCGGTTATAAATTGCTCATATAGTAATTCAGCAGATCTAGACTAAGAAATAACCTGTCATGTTCAGAGGACAAGAGTAAAATAATAGGACATCTGTGACTGTAGAAATGATTTTAAAATAGAACACAATTAGGGAACTAAGAGTAGAGGTTTTATTTTGTTTTGCAGGCATTTTTCATATTTACCAGGAACCTTTAACCATCTGAACCAAGTGTGTATGTTAATGTGTCCTTTATCAATGAGTCACAGGAGAAGTTACAGTGCACCTACCAACACAAAACCATGAAAATGCATATTTATACTATTCACACCATTAACAAATGTATAGATCAAATGTTATTGAATATCAAAGAGTCTAGACTAGAGTTTATCTCTACTCTATTGACATTTAAACTACAGTTATGTCAATCATCATGCTGCACGTGGATGCAAGCTAACCACTGAACAGGCCGGAAGCCACCTCAAGTATCAGTATGAGAATCAAACTCTACACATTTACAGGGTTCTCACAAACACATTGTATACAGTAGATTTAATTTTTACACCCTACCTCATGAGAACTTCACTATCCACACATTTGAGAATGCTAGATGTTGATCCACGTCACAATTACAAAACTGGGTCATTTTACAAATGCACATTTGTCAATCTGAATAATTTAAAAATACTTGTGAATCTGTATTTGCACGTAGTTTATGATCTAGGTTTCCACAATGTACTGATTTAAATCCTTCCTACCATCCATGTCAACACATGAGCTTAATTGCAATTATGCATCAAAAATGAAACATAGAAAAATTCACCTATTGTATATTATTGAATGTTTACATGAAGTTCTGAAATTTGCATTCCCAAACATAGCTGCAGAATGGTTGCATAAACCTATAGAGAAGCTGATTGCGATAACAGCAAGTTATAGAGAGATGACAAATTAACTGCAAAAAAATAGATTACATTTTGAAAAAAACAACTCTACAAAAATTCATCTTTTTGTTAGAGTTAGCACAATGAACATGAAAAACCAATATGTATTTTATTTTTATTTTTTTGCACACATATCATTTACATTTCTAAAGTTAAATAAGACATAAATAGTTAGGTTTCTCCCGTCTTCATTTGCCTGTCTTGGCCCAGTGAAGCAGAATTACCATATCCCGCTAGCCAGTCAGGTGTGAATTTGCTTCCTGTCACAAATCTTTTTGCAAATCATACACGGTTTTCACAATAGATGAGAAGTTAAAACAATTCATGTATATGTATATCTTCAAACCATTTCTTTAAATGAGGGTTTTGCATCCTGTCAATGTGAAATGTTTCTTATTTGTAGCAGAAAAACCACATTAAAACACAAAGCATTTACTGAGAAGTGAAATATTGTTTCCATTAGCAAGCTTGGTTGCAAAGTTACATTTCTCTGCCTTTAACTCTTTATAGTCAGCACAGACACACTGCTTGTTTCTTTAAACAGAGAATAGTCAAGTGAACAAACATTAAGTGGGGGGTTTTCCAGCTTAGAGGACTGGCCAAGGCATTTGTTGATTTTAAAATCAGCAAAACTAAACTCCTTTAGCAGGTTTATTTACTAAAGTGAACATTTAAAGTGAATTCAAAGTAAATTTCAAATTTAGGATTAAATTACTAGACTGAAAAAAAATCTCCAAGTCAACTATGCTTTCAGATTGGCTGCTTACATTTAAAATTCACTTTTAATTCTCACTTTAGTGAATAACCCTGTAGGTTTCTTCCTGGACACTCTGACATACAGCCAGATACACAGACACGCTCACTGACACACATGATGAATACACAGACACACTGAAACACACATACAGATACAGACACACAGATACACACAATGCCACACATGCAGATACACAGACACGCTCACTAACACACATGCAGATGCAGAGACATGCTCATTGACACACATGCAGATACACACAATGGCATACATGCAGATGTAAAGACACACAGATACAGAAACACAGATGCAAACAATGACATGCACATAGATACACAGACATACAGATACACACAATGACACAAATATAGATATACAGATACACACGCTGACACACATACGGGCACATAGACATACAGATACATACACTGGCATACATACACTTAGACACACACATAAATACACTGACACACATACAGATAGACAGATACAAACAATGACACAAACACAGATACAATGACACCCAGATACACAAACTGACACACACAGATACACAGACAAATAGTACATACATACAGATACAGACACTCAAAACATACATGCAGATAAAAATTTGAACCACTAGTTTCCTACCTTTTGGGTGCATGAGGGTGGCTTTGAAAGGCTGGAGGGAGTAATTGGCTTACTCCTCTCCCTGTCCACCCCCCTGTCAGAGCTCGCAGCTGGGTCAATGTCATTTGGGAGGAAGTGAATGGCTCTCACTTCATCCCAGTAGAGAAGAAGGTGCCTGGTCAAGATGATAAAGCACTGCAGAGCACATCGGGGCCCCTCATGGCATATGTCAATCAGGTGACTCTCAGTGCATGGGCCACCCGATGGTCACACTCAACCTGCAGTTTCCAATCTGTGAGGTGTTGTTGCACTGGCAGAATCACCATTATACATTTTGGGGGGGCGGGCCCCCGGGTGAACTGGATTGTACTGCTGAGGATACAAGTACCATGGATGGGAATCCCTGATCTAAGAGAAGAACTTAGTGACTGACTCCAACCTTGTTGCTAAATTTACTGGATGCAGGAAAGCCTCCAAATTGACTAACTGAGAACGAGTATTCAGTCTTGCTGCTGGTAAAGTAGCAACAGAGTATCATTGGAATACAATTGAAGATTATATTAGCTTTAGTGTACTAATAATCTTAATTTTAGTAATGACAGGAGGCAAATATTTGCATATCTTTCTTTACTGAAAACTCCAGCAGCATAGAAACAGTAACAAACCAATCAGAGAAAAGATATGGTGCCCATATAAGGCCCTGTCTATGACATCACTTCCTCTTTCTTTGAAGCGAATGATAAACAACAACAACATAAACATAGTCCGTTAACATTCCAACAAACGTAGCAGATAAACCAGTTCCGGCAATTCCATGGTCAAACGGTATGGAAGGTGAAACTTTGTTCCGTAGAGAAGACGTTCATGCTGAAAGAAAAAGAAAAAAGTGAAAGGTTTCTGAGGTGGCAACGTGCCCACATAACATGAATATTACGAAAACTGTAGTACATCCCAGAGTATATAATACTGTGAAAAATAGTCAAATATTCAAATAAATAAACCTGCAAGCTACGACATGCTATAAGGAGAAACATCATATAGTGCAAAGAGAACGACCAAAAATACAACTACGGTACCGAACATGTGTACTCCTAAGAGGTAGTACAATAGCAACATGTATGTCTTCCTGAACACCGAACCACAAACTGTATAGTATAAACTCACCTGGGTGGGATCCAACGGGCGGGAAATATTCGCCTCCTGTCATTACTAAAATTAAGATTATTAGTACACTAAAGCTAATATAATCTTCAATTTTACCACATGACAGGAGGCTTCATATTTGCATTTTTAAAGCTTAGCTCTGACCAGTGTGAAGGAAGCGTGAGAGGAGTGACGGAAATAGAACGTCCTAAACGTACTCTCCCGTGTCCAGTCCGCGCAACGCATGATGTCGGTTAGGGAGGCGCCTGCCAAGAAGGCTTGGGATGCTGCCGCCCCTCTGACCGAATGCGCTCCGAAGCCGGAGTCGACTCCTGCTAACCTTAAAAGCCAGCGAACCCATCTGGCCAGGGTCGTAGTAGACACTGGTCCGTGAGGCTTTACGTAAGAGATTAGTAGCTGACCCGTCGGGGAACGCCGAAGGGTGGCCGTGATTTCCGTATAACTCAACAGTGTCTTGACCACACATAGCTTGGGGTCGGAATCAAAATACGGATAAGTCACCGAGGACGAATCCGATTTAGTCCGTCTTGATATGGAAAAGGCGACTCCCTCCGGGGTGAGGGAGAAACCGTCCACGTCAAACGCCCTAATGTCAGACACCCGTCGGAAAGAGACGAGGCATAGCAAAAGGGCCAGTTTAGCTGAAAGCTGTATCAGTGATAGAAACGGGTTGTCCGGCCAGCCCCGGAGGAAATCCAGCACCCCATTAACTTGCCAGAGGTTGGAATACTTGGGCGCTGGGGGCCTCGTCAGTCTGGCGCCCCGCAGTAGACGACATACCAGCGGGTCTTGACCCACTGGCCTGCCCTGTACTGGGACGTGCGCCGTTGAAATAGCCGATCTGATCACGTTAAGGGATCTATACGATCGACCCGTCGAGAAAAGATGAGCGAGATAGTTGAGGATCAGTGGGACAGAGGCAGTAAAGGGATCGGAATCCCTCTCCATGCACCAATCACTCCAGGCTGACCAAGCGGAGATATAACATCTCCTGGTGCCAGGAGCCCATGAGTCCCACAGTAGGTCTTTAGTAGATTGCGATAGGCCGTGGACCGACCAGGAGCCCCTGAAATCATCCAGGCCACCAGTTCCAGTTGTCCTTCCAGGACGAGGGGATGGAGTTCCCCCCGAGGTCCCGACAGGAGGAGTGGAACGGTTGGAAGCAGAATGGGATGGTCGTGGGACATCTCCAGGAGGTCCGGGAACCACGGTTGACTCTGCCAGAGAGGTGCTATGAGCAGGATCGAAATCCTGTGAGTGCGTGTGTACCGCAGCACTCGTGGAATCATAGAGAATGGAGGGAAGGCGTAGGCCCCGTGAGAGGGCCAGTCCTGAAGGAATGCGTCCGCTGCTTCGGACATCGGGTCCGGGAGCCAGCTGTAGTATTTTTGAAGTTGGTGGTTGGTCCTGGAGGCGAACAAGTCTATTGATAGTGGACCCTTCTGTCGCCGTAGTGTCCGAAATATTTCCTCGTTGAGTTTCCAATCGCTGGTGTCTCTCCAGTGTCAGGAGAACCAGTCCGCCGTCAGGTTGGAGACTCCTGGGAGGTATTCCGCCTGTATCGTGATGTTCCTCCGCAGGCAGAAACTGTAAATGTCCTTCGTGGCTTCGGTCAGGTCTTTTGACCTCGCCCCGCCTAGGCGGTTGATGTATTGCACCGCCGAGATGTTGTCCATGCGGAGTAGGATACAACAATTCGACTTGTCCTTGGCCAGACTGCGGATGGTGAAGGAACCTGCGATCAACTCCAGGCAGTTGATGTGTAGGTTGGTTTCCTCTCCCTGCCATGGGCCCCCCGTGGAGGCATCCGAGCAGTGGGCGCCCCATCCCCACAAGCTGGCGTCCGATTCCACGATGAAGTCCGGGGAGGGGGCGAAGATCGCCTTGTCCAGGCTTGTATGTGAAGTAACCACCATCGCAGTTCCGACCTCACCTCCGGAGTGAGTGGAATCCAGTGGTCGTAGGAATGACCGGCACGCAGATATCCCGCTTTTAGCCGTTGCATGGCCCTGTAGTGTAGGGGGCCCGGGAATATCGCCTGTATGGATGAGGACAGGAGTCCCACAATCCGAGCGAGCATCCTGAGCGGTATCGTGTCCATCCGCAAAGTCCGCCTGATTTCCTTCCTTATTGAGGCAATCTTTTTCGAGGGAAGGCTGAGCACGCATTCCCTCGAATCGATGTCGAAGCCCAGGAACTGTACTGACTGGGATGGTGAGAGAGACGACTTCTGTCTGTTCACTACGAACCCCAGAGATTCTAGCAAGTGAACTACAAATGTCGTCTGCGATCGTAGTCTGGAGACGGCTTCGCAGAAAATCAGCAAATCGTCCAGATATACGAGACACCGTATGCCCCTTGTGCAGAGGTGAGCCATCACTGGTCTCAGCAGCTTCGTGAAACACCACGGGGCCGAGCTGAGACCGAATGGTAGGCACGTAAACTGGCACACCCGCCCTCTCCATCGGAAACGAAGGAACTGACGGTAGTGCCTGTCCACCGGAACCGTAAGGTACGCGTCCTTGAGGTCCAGGCACGTAAACCAGTCGTTCTTGACGAGGAGGTCTTGTAGAAGGTGGATTCCTTCCATCTTGAAGTGTCTGTAGATTACGAAAGAGTTTAGTTGTCGGAGGTTGATAACCGGCCGGTATTCGCCCGTCTTTTTCTTGACCAAGAAGATGTTGCTCATGAAGCCTCCCCTGTCTAGTGCGTATTGAATCGCGCCCTTTTCGAAGAGTGCGTGGACCTCTTCGTCCACCAGGCGGTTTTGTTCTGACGACATGTGGATCTGGGGAGGGGGGGTGGTTTGGACGGGTTGTGCGGCAAATTCTATTACGAAACCGCGTACCGTCTGTAGGACCCAGGCGTCCCTGGTAATCAGCTCCCAGTTCTGGAAGAAAAAAGATAGGTTGCCAGCAATAAACTTTGGTGCATCGGTGTGTATAGAGGGACTCACCATTGGTAAAGCGGCCGCGTCCACGGCCTCTGACACCTCTGGTCCTCCCAGTTCCTCGAAATGTTGAGGGTCTTTGTGATGAAGAGGGGAAGAAATTTGAGGCTTGCGGGTATGATCTGGAACCTGAGGCCCAAAATCGGCTGGTGGCACGGCTCCGTTGCCGACCAGCCCTTCCAAAAACACCTCTAGTAGATGGGGTGTGGAACACCTGTTTGAGAGAGGTTTGGGCCTTGTTTAAGGTGGTGAAGAGGTTCACATGACGTTTGAGTTCCAAGATGAAGGCATCACCAAACAACAAGCCCTGGGCTTTCGGTCCAAATTCTTTAGCCCCGAGATCTAGAAGCTTGCTGTCGATACGTATCAGAGCCGACCTGCGTCTCTCGATGCAAAGGGCGGCGTTGGCGTTGCCCAGTAGGCACACCGTGCGTTGAGCCCATTCTCGTATGACGTGTGGGTCTAGCTGGGAGTCTTGGCTGAGGGCTAGGTCAGCAAAGTATAGCATCTTGGCGATGGGGCCGAGCAAATCCAGCACCTTGTCCTGTGCCGCTTTCATGCCTTTCTCCACCCCTTTGCGCGGGTCCCTGCCCGTGCGTGACATGAAGACCACCATCGTGTCATCGAATTCGGGTGTCAGTGCCACCTTATCGGGAATTAGTGGTCTGGGGCATTCAGCCCTGAGGCGCGCCCGTACCTCTTTTTCCAGCGGTTTGCGCAGCCAGTAGTGAATAAACTTCGTCAAGTGCTCCGGCAGTGTCCATTCTGAGGACCGTGGGTGCCGGATGGTACGTGGGTCGAATAGTAGTGTCCCCTGGTCGTCCACGAAAGCACCGTCTTCGGCCTGAGTGGTGTGGTGGTCTCCGCCGGGTTCCGTGTCCCGGCTGTCTACGAAGGTCTCATTGACGTATTTCGATGAGGTGGGTGGTAGGTCTTGCCACTCCTCGTCGTCCGAATGTGAGCCGTCTCCGTGCCACTCGTCCACTACGTCCAAGGCATGTGGGACGTAGGTGTCCTCCTTGTCCGAGGATGGAGGTGGGAAGGGGGTGGGCTGGCGGTCCGCGTTCTTAACGCGTTTGATGGGTAGTTTGCCCCTTGAGGGTGGACTGGAAGTCTTTCTTTGTCTCTTGGGTTTGGACATCTCCGAGCCCGAGGCTTCTGTGCGCTCTGGTGGGCTTGTGGCTTCCCGGCTGGGGGGTAGTGCCCTCAAGAGGGCCTTTTCCACAGAAGCCGCCACGGCGGCATTGATCATGGCTTGAAAGTCTTGGCTGGCTTGGGTATCTTCCATGATCTGTGGTGTAATTCGACCTATCGGGTGAAAACAAGGTTCAGTGGACAGGTCGTGGGGAAGTCACAAGCATGCATAGATCAATTTTGTGTGCGACCGGGATGTGTCCAGTCGGTAAAGGGTGTATATGTGGAGGGCTTAGTATGCACGTCATCAGTAATTCAGGCTGTGCGTGAATTTGCGTTTGAGGCGTGGGCCCTTGTGCATAATCTCGGGGTTTACCCCGGGTGGTGTGCCGTGGTAACCAGAGGACACCCACATCAACTGAAAATGGGCTGTGGCGCCCAAGCATGCGTGACAGGGGGGGTCACCCCCGGTGGTGTGCCATGAAAAATACCCAGAGGACACCCACATCAGCGTGCACCCTAGGGTGCAGTAGTATATTATGACCCTGTGTAGGGTAACAGGTATGATTTTTCCCTTAGAAGGGTACAGTAGTGCCAAGTCCCCTGAGGGGTGGTATAATATATGTATATCTCTGCAGGGGTCCTTTAAATAGTATGTTCAGTTTAACATTGATTGTTATTTTTACAGCCTGAGAGCATCATAATTTGTGCATACTTATATACCCTTCACATAGAGTGGAGAGTCCTTGTGACAGTGGAAGGGTACCTAACAATACCACTTAAAAGTAGAGACTGAGGGCTGGGGGAGACAGCAATAATGCCCTAAGGGCACTCCCCCGTGTTCCTTGCGGCGATCGGGTGTTTCCCGAGCCGCCGTGTGTGAAGGCAGGGCGGCCGTCGCGGGTCTCGCGAGCCGCGAGATCCAAGATGGCCGCCGGCCGCGTTGTGTAAGCGCTACCCACGGCTACCTCACGGACAGCCGTGACGCCCGCGGCCTGCCAGACCGAAAAGCAAGTACAAAATACAAGGCTAACACACTTATGAAACAGGGGAACTGTAAAGGGAGAAATAAAGGGACAGGAATAGGTAGACAGGGTGTGAATGATAGTACAATAGAATATGGCAATAAAGAATAAGGCATGCGTATAGACAGAGAGGTAACAATTACTCTGACCTGTTGATGGCTGGAGCAGCAAAGAAAGAGGAAGTGATGTCATAGACAGGGCCTTATATGGGCACCATATCTTTTCACTGATTGGTTTGTTACTGTTTCTATGCTGCTGGAGTTTTCAGTAAAGAAAGATATGCAAATATGAAGCCTTCTGTCATGTGGTAAAATTGATGAATATAGGGCAAATCTGGTGTATCTAACATCATCGGTACATTGATGACTTTATGCACTTGTACTGCAGATGTACTTTTACATTACTTTCCAATACACCTCAGATTAGTAAATCTCTCATATCTTTTTTTTAAAAAAACCAGCGTACATATTCTTCTCACATACAATTGTTTTTAGGTACTCCAATAAATCAAACTGATAAATCCATAAATGTATATGATGATTTCTTGTGAATTTAGCCAAAATACTGCTAATAAAATTTGAGGCAGAAGGCAATGAACAAAACAAATGTACAGATAAAAATTATACAAGTTTATCTATTTTTTTGTTATTAATCTAAAATTAAATAATTTCTCTAATTTTAATGTAAATATGTCATGTGAACAAACTTTGAATTTAATTGCTGCTTTATTATAATCTACCTAGAGATCTATATATTAATTATCAAATGTGATGAAATGCAGTGTTTGTAGAAAAGAATCAAAAAAAATAAAAAAAATAGACCAATCTGCATTTTATTAGCAATAGCAGACAAAAATATTTCAAGTCGTAGAGGCATAAAATAGCAAAATGTTTTATGATTTATAAAAATAATGAAAAAAAATTAAAATAATTACTCCAGGGAAGGCTGGTTATATTTTGGCCTAAAGGCAAGTACAAACAAGTGGTCACGTTTTTTACGTACTAAACCTATTGAGGTGACTGCAGAGGTTTCGGGCGGGAGATCTGATGCAGACTTGAGTCCTTACTGGGCCCTCAAAAGTCTTGGATCTCCAAAATGCACTTTACAATTTACAATCCCTGGTGACTACCGGGGACTCGGGCGATGCAAAGCTCTCATTTTCTGCCACTATAGATCTTGTGTAATGGCTCAAGGGAGTTCTGGGCAGTTAGAAGATTGCTACTAAGATTGCTAGTTACCACTGCAACACTTATACTATGAGTCCAGAGCTCGTATGAGCCATTGTGTGAAGTATGCGGTGGCACATTGAACCACCAGGGAATGCTGTGATGCAAGATAGGTCATCTTGGATGTAAAAACCCAAGGGCAGCATACAGAATATTTGATAGAGTCCTAACCTCAACATCTTAAGGAAAGGGATTTAGGGGTAATTATTTCAGATGATTTAAAGGTAGGTAGACAATGTAATAGAACAGAAGGAAATGATAGCAGAATGCTTGGTTGTATAGGGAGAGGTATTAGCAGTAGGAAAAGGAAAGTGCTCAAGCCATTGTATAGAACACTGGTGAGACCTTACTTGAAGTATTGTACGCAGACCGTATCTCCAGAAGGATATTGATACTTTAGAGAGAGTTCAGAGAAGGGCCAATAAACTGGTTCATGAATTGCAGGATAAAACTTACAAGTAAAGGTTAAGGTATCTTAAAGGGACACTCCAGGCAGCCCTTTTTACTCACCTGGTTCCAGCGCCGGGAGCCTCGTGAAACCGCTTTGCCGCACATGCGCACATACTTCATAGGGCGGCAATCATGCGCGAGGTGTGCGTGGCCGTGAGCTGAGCTGACTGACAGCTCAGCTCGTGGTCTTTGCCCGCCCCCTCTCCTCTGGTGACAGGCAGGAGAGAGAAGGCACGCACACAGTGCCTTCTCTCTCCTGCACACGTCAGACGTATTTTAATATATCTGACGTGTACATGGCCTTTTTAGGGCCATACATGATAGGAAGCCCTCTGGTGGCCGTCTGAGTGACAACCACTGGAGGTATTCCTATCAATCAATGTAAACACTGTATTTTCTCTGAAAATACAATGTTTACATTAGATTGCCTGCAGGGAGCTATAGATCTCACCTCAACAACCACATTAAGCTGTAGTTGTTCAAGTGACTATAGTGTCCCTTTAACATGTATAGCTTGGAGGAAAGACGAGACAGGAGGGATATGATAGAAACATTTAAATGCATAAAGGGAATCAACACAGTAAAGGAGGAGACTATATTTAAAAGAAGAAAAACTACCACAACAAGAGGATATAGTCTTAAATTAGAGGGGCAAAGGTTTAAAAATAATATCAGGAAGTATTACTTTACTGAGAGGGTAGTGAATGCATGGAATAGCCTTTCAGCTGAATTGGTAGAAGTTAACACAGTGAAGGAGTTTAAGCATGCGTGGGATAGGCATAAGGCTATCTTACATCTAAGATAAGGCCAGGACTAATGAAAGTATTTAGAAAATTATTCAGACTAGATGGGCTGAATGGTTCTTATCTGGCGTCACATTCTATGTTTCTATGTTTCTATGTCCACCTTCCCTGCCTCAAGATAACTAGAGGTAGGGTTGAATAAACTGTTTTTTTTGTCTTTTTTAATAAAAATTGTTTTAAAAGGTTATATATGTATACATGTATAAGTATATGAGGGCCTCACACTCAATATCTCAAAGTGGTCCTTTTCTGGGTATCAAGCAACAAATATAACAGTATAGAATGAGAGAATTCACTGAACTGTATTTAAAGTGTAACCAGCTGATTTTATTTCAACAGCATAGCACAGGTTTGCAAATAAAGTTAGATCACCATTTCAGTCCCTTACTGGGTCTTGATGAAAGTCATCACTAGGAATTAAAAGTTGACCCTATACTGATGTGAAAAATGAATTTTTAAGTGTAATTAATTTAAGTTCATCAAATGCACTTCAGTTTAAGCCCTATCACAGCCCCCTCTGCACACACTGCATCCATGATCCCATAATAGACTCATACACACGCACAGACACACATACACACAATGCATCCCCAGCACACAGTGCATCACCATCAAAAACACACTACCTCCCCTTCACACCTACACAACATCACACACGCACACGCACACACACACACACACTAATTACTATACAGTTGCAACTAGTTGGACAGATACATTTTGTTAATTTTAAAGTGCTCCCAATCACGTACAGATGGGTATTATTATCATCAGGCAGGCTTAATTCGATTCAACAAGGAATCTAACACACTGTAGATGTATCAATACCATAGATATTATTGCCACAAATATAATTTTCTTACAAATAAACAATATAGAATAAAATTTTGATGTAAAATTGGGGATTTTTTTCGTGACTTGTGTTCTGCGTCTCCAATTGTTGATGTAATTCTGAATGTTGCAATTTTAGCTAATAAGATGTTTATTGACATTCGAAATGAGGAACTGACTAATAAATAGAGTTTAGGACGGGTGCACAGAAAACCAAAAACTAACTGTTTTTGAAACAGTTTATATTACATTATCAGAATTTTAACAACTGTGAATTTTAATTTTGCTTGAACATACGGAAATCATTTTGTATATATAAATATTCTGAACCCAGCTGAAAAATAAACTGTTCCCAAACATATATCTGAGGATAAAAGAATACGACATGCTATGTTACCAAAATGTACTACAATAAAGCTGAATAGGGCACATGATTCATTGAAAGGAGCTTTGCCCAGAGCAGAATTAAAGGGACACTGTAGGAACCCATACCACTTCAGCTAATTGAAGTGGTCTGGGTGCATTGTCCCTTTTGCACTTAGTGCTGCAATGTAAAACATTGCAGTTCCTTAGAAATGGCAATGTTTACATTGCATTTCTAAGTATGCCCTCAATGGCTGTCTACCAGACAGTCACTAGAGGGCTTCCTGAATTTAAACGGACCTTTGGGGCTCTGCATGAGGACCTCCAGCGTTAGATTTTTCCCCGTAGGAAAGCATTGATTCAATGCTTTCCTATGGGGAGGTCTAATGCGCATAACACCCTGCTCTTTGCGGGATGGAGAAGGGGGTGTTAAAGATTTTTAACCCATTATTTGCCGGGGAAGGAGGGCTCCAGGGAGGGGGGCAGGCTGGGGGAGCAATAGCTTTCTATTCCTGGCATTAAGTTATACCTTTTACCATAAGGCAATGCCTGGGGCTTTGGGGTTGCACAGGGGCCACAGAACCATGAATGTGCATGGCCCTATTAACCATTCCTATGTGAAGAATGAAGGGGTGGCCCCAAGCTGATGACCTCCCTAGAGCCCTGTGAGATCTTAATCCTTCTTTGGCTAAAACATGAAGGTAATTCTGCTTGTTATTGACATTCTGTGTATCTCAATCTATGCAGTGTTTAGTTAATACTGAAGGCAACCAGCATATTGTTCATCCCTATGCAAAATCGCACAATATTATGGAAGGGACTGAAGCAAGGCATTCCCCCTCTGCATCCACCAAAGTATTGCAGCTAGTACTTAAGATAGATCAGAATTAGTGGAACATTGTATTAAAATGTGGGGGAAGATGTTCTAGGAACCATGGACTAATGAGAAGATAGGAGGAACACAATTTGTAAACATTAATTCCGTTGTTTTTTCCCCATAGTTGTCTCTACAACGTTCTAGTAGCTTTAAGGATTTCGGAAAATCAAAGCCAAGTTCACCCATTGTGACTGACAAAGAGTTCAACTTGGAGAATGACGTGAGTCCACCTTATTCCATTTTACTGTAATCTTTCTGTGAGTCTGTAAGTGTAATATATTACAGTAAAGAGAATTTGGTATCCAAATAGCAAATATTCCTCTTATATATTATCTTAATTTCCTCTTTTTTTGTTTGTTGACATGACGTGATAAAATGAAATAAATCCCCATCCTGGAACTACCCTTGAATTTGACCTTTTTCAATACCTTCTCTGCTTTTGTCAGCTGCTAGACTATGTGTCACTACTTTCTACTCCCTGTAATCCCTTTCCTACCAATCATCTCCCCTTGTTATACTACTAATTTCTTGTTATTTTTAATTACTGCATGTTTCATTTTGTATTATACTATGTATAATGCATTGTACGTATATGTACTGTACATTTTTAAAAAGTATTTAAAATATTAAGTAACACATATAAGTAATAATAAGGTCTTCAAGAAGTGATAATTAACACATGGCAATCCAGCTAATTTAAGGCATATCTTCTTGTGAGTAATCTGCAGGGGAAACTATGTCACAAATATAGAAACATGAATTTTGTTTCTTGCCTGTGAAAGTTATATTCCAAAGCTAGGCTTTAAGGAGTTCTCTTTGATCCCTTAGCCCAAGGCGACTAGGAGGGGGTGACATTTTACTATCATACCCAGGGTGAATTGCCATCATGGTGCAATTTACCCAAGTTAGGGCAGCAAGATGCCACACTCCTGTAGGTACCACCAGCCATGTTCCAGCAGGGACCTGCCCAGGCATACCACTCAGTGTTTCTGTGTGTGTATATATATATATTTTTTTTATTTATTTATTTTTTTTAATGTAGCTCTAAGGACTCTTCACTCAGGCACTGGGTGATGTCTATGCTATAACATGTTCTATTCTTGTCCCCTCCTCACAGGACCTGGTAAATAGCATGGAGAGTCTGGATAGAGCAGAATTATCACTCCTACACTGTTCGGTCAAACTACAAAAGAGAAAGTAGTGGTGCGAGTCACAACTGGAGACAGGCACAAAAGAGGACATGAGGACATAGATAAAAAGGGGGACCAATGGGGTATAGATACAATGGGGAGGAAAGGGAACTGGGACAAAGGGGAACATGAGGACATAGACAAAACTGGACAAGGGGGCACAGGCACAAGGGCAAACAGAAATATATAGACACAAGGGGGGCAAAGGAACTTGGAGAGGACAAAAGAAATGTAGGGAGTAAGGGGTCGTAGACACAAAAGAGGAAACATCTTCTTGGACAATGTCTTTAGTAGGCCTTGCTATATTCCCAAAGCCATCTGTATTTTTACATGAATTTGGTACTCATTTTTAGAGTAAACTCTGGTATTATGGTCCATATTTCAGAAGGAATTGGTTCATTGACTGTTCTTCTAAATCCTTTTTACATTTTTATTACGAGAAAGGTATGGGAGCTAGATACTTTTAAAACATAAGTCAAAGGGTGTGTAATATTTTTGCTGTATAAAGCCAACATGCTATATAATTAGACGTATTTTATTCTCAGATTCCAGAGGATGATGCTGGGGTTGGAACTCAGGGATCAGAAGACACTAAACACAGTGGAGGCAAGCTAAGTAAAAAATGGAGAGCTGTCATTTCCCGAACAATGAATAGGAAAATGGGAAAAAACGTTATGAAAGCAATGGCTGATGAAATAGTGAGTTTAAAAAATAAATAAAATTTAACCAGTTTCTTAAAGGGACAAAAACAGTGACCACATTCTATGATTGTATGTTTCCCATAATTATGATTAATTAGGGTCAATTTGGAATATTAAAGTAATCTTGAAAATCTATAAAAAAAAATTCAACTAATAAATATAACTTTAAAAAATGAAGGGTAACTGTACCTAAATTTATTTTTTCATTATTTTAATTTGGGACTGGCTGAATTACATGTTTATTAAACAACATTCCAAAATTTTAAATAGGGTTACAGTACAAACACACATCTATTATGATTATACCATTAACAGCATTTTACTGGGCTCTGCAAATGCAATGCCTCTTGTTTTACATGTGATCTATATAGTTTTTTGCAAGAAACACTATTGGTGCTACATCCCCCACTCTTATGCAGACACATACTATATTTATTTAAGTGAAGATATCTTTAATTATTCTACCCCACACAATTCTTGATGCTATCGATAGAGTATTTCCATTGTAATTTACTCATTAGATTGGCAGAATCTGCTAAGAATGTCTAAATCTGTGGTCACTTATCTCTCTTGTATCTAACACAACCAGTGATCCACATTCCCAGATATAAAAAAAAAATAAAATAAATAAAAACACCATATAGACAAAATGTCAAATGGTGAATATTTTTTCAGCTCAGTTTCCCTACATCATAAGTAACGATGTTGTCACCTATTCAGCGTGGAAGTGCAAACAATTATTCTATGTGCATTATTATTATTATTATTGCCAGCAGATCTGGGCTCATTACACACCTTCGTATATATGCTAACCCATTTTTATATTCTTTTGAATACCTGATTATTTTGGAAAATGATTTGTAAATGTAGTTTTCAATTCACAACAATTCATGTCTTTAATTATTATTAAAGAATGCAATATACGCTCTGTTCCTGTTCCTGTTTTAACTTCATTCCTTGTATTTCTTTTTTTTTTTTTTTAAATAACACAGATGGATCAACATGATCCTTCATCTCCAATATCTTTGGATGGAAGTGTGGATGGGAATCTGGGCAGAAAACTGTCAGATCCTGAAGAGGATCTACATACGCCTCTTAGCAGGCAAGCCTCTAGTGGTGAGTTTAGGAACAAAAAACCCTATATTTAGTATTTATTAATGTCTATTACTACATTAAAATGTATGTGTAAATATATATATATATATATATATATTTCTCTCTCTCTCTCTCTGTATATATATATATATATATAAACAGAGTAGGTATCTTGGCACTCACCCTTTCTCCAAAAGAGGTTGATTTATGCCCGGGTGCAATCCCACGTTGTGGATATATAGAGAAATAAATCAAGAGATGCACTCTCAGGACTTTTTAAGTGAATAAAGAAAAATGTATTGCAATAAGTAATACATCAAAAAAATGACAAACGTTTCGATCTTGAGGAAGACCCGAAGTCCTGAGAGTGCATCTCTTGATTTATTTCTCTCTCTCTCTCTCTCTCTCTCTCTCTCTCTCTCTCTCTCTCTATATATATATATATATATATATATATATATTCGTATTATTTATTTTTTTCACTCAGTTAGTGTTTGCAGGTTATTTATATGTTTCTTTTCTTTTCTTTCTTTTTTTTGTTGGGCATCAGAGGAACAAACAGTCTTGCGCTGCCCCGACAGCAGTGGCAAGAGAATTAGTATACATAGTTAAACAGTGAAAGGCAGTCAATATTACAGCACATATTTGGAGAATAATAAGTTTTGCATGCATAGAAAGACATTTTAACAGATAATTACATTATTAATTGTGAGCAGTTTATCTAAATAATGCCATTAGAGAGACCCTGCACGTATTATGATAAAGTGGAAGAACCACGAGGAGGCTCATTAGCTGGGCACAAAATGCTGGCTATGATAGACAAAATGCATTTAAAATAAATTAAAACAAAACAAAAAAGCTGCTGCTAAAGAGTAGCTTTCCGGCAGGCACTCTGCCATATTAAGCATCCCTATTAGGGTCACCAACTCAACCTATGCCCGCAGCGTCCAGGCAGAGTCCAGACTGGTGAAGAAGGAATTGTAAGTCTCTCCGGGATCCGTATTGAGCTGTTTCCTTCCAGCGCCAGGCGTTAGCAGGAAACTTCTCCCATTGTCCATAGGCTTCTCTTCCCACATCTAGGGTAAAGCTTTGAGACTCTTCTTGGTTAGTGAGAGTCCCAGTGATCCAGAACTGGCCACTCGGTCTGCCCCAGGTTGGAGTGGGAGCATGTTGTCGGTTTCTGTTGGTCCTACTGTTACCGATGTCTGTTTAGTGTAAGCTTGGTGTTTCTCCCTCCGGAGATGTGAGATATGCACCGGGGAGCTCCCCTGCACATCTCTCCACCCAGGATTGTGGTGGTGAGCTTTGGTCGCCTTGTGGCTCCGGTAATGGCCAGGGGGTCGATCGGGTCGCCTCTGCAGGTGTGAGAAGCGTGGTGTGGAGATTATTCGCCTGGTGAGGTTAGGCGTGGATCGGTGAGTATCAGGAGGTGAGCATTGCAGTGAGCTATCACCCTGCTTCCCCTCTGCACATTGCTTGTGCCTTTCAGCTAGATTGAGCCAAAATATGGTGAAGATTTTGTCCAGGCACCTCACAGATGTCTCCAGTATGCCAGCACATGATGCATTCGCCTTTTTCGCCATGGCTATTACAAGGGCCTCAGAGTACCGGGGCTTTTGCAGGGTCACAGTATTTGAAGTTTGCCACATAGTTTGAAGTGCCAAAAAGCAAGTGTCGAGATATCCCTCACCGGCAGGGGGGTAAACAGGGATCTCTTCCACCGCTCCATGTCATGGCAGGATGATCAGTAGGGAGATTGGCTGTTTCTCCCCAGCTGCCCCCACATGTAGACCTCAGAGATGGTGGCTAAATGCCTCAAAATGTTTTGCAGAGTGTCTCCAACAGGAATTTGTTGGGTTAACTCGAGTGATGGGTCAATTTATTTGCTTATTTCTATAATTTAGCCAAGAACTCACACTAAGTGCGACCGTTCAGTATGGCGGTCAGGCCCTGCCCCCTTATTTATATGTTGCATCCAGAAATAATGACATCTAATTCGAAGCATAGATACATTTTCTAAAAAAATAATACTATGTTTATATGATGTAAAAAAGTAGATTACAACACTGCTAAACAACTATGTAAAGGAACACTATTATCAAAATGTTTTAATTGCTTAATATAACACTTACTTTAAAACATGGCATCTCATTCTTTTTTAGAATTCATTTTGAATTATTTGAAAAAAAGTCACTTACCTCCCTTTCCCACTTCCCCTTTCTGATAGCCATCTACATGCACTTTTGGTCAGTTAAGTGACTCAAAATTCCCTAATTTGCAACAGTTCTTTACTTTGCATATTGTCTGACTAAAAAAAGACAGAAAATGCAGCAGGCAGAAAGTGGACATGATTTTAATAAGTTACAGACAGTGGCAAAATAATAATGTCCCCAAAACCAAGTCCCCTCATACCGCTGCATCACAACAGAGAACTGGAAGGAGGTCTGCTGCCTCAGGTATGGGAGTTCCTCGACAGGACCCGATTCATCCCAATCCGTAAAGCACTAAATGCGGGATCTACAGGACATAATTGGGGAGGAAGCCCTGACACACCCAGCTACAGCACTATTACCACTATATCCCCAATAGGGAACTTCTACACCGGGACCTGACCTGGTTCAATGGTGTATGCATCTGTGACAGCACCCTGGATACAGCTATTTCGGTTCTATACTGTCACGGTTCTTGCCACAGTAGACAGCCAGACGTGGTCACCCATGGAGTTCCCAACAAGGGACTTGAACCGGGGAACTTCGCAGTCCTGGTCCTGCTTCCTTCCTCTGAGCCACAGCAGCTTTTGTATTCCACATGTCATTCTGGTCCTGTTCATCCTGGCATGTCTATTACTCTGGGGACTGTACCTTGACTTTGGATGTGCTTCACCTGACCCTGATCAGACATTAGCAGGGTATATAAACTCAGCCTCTCCCTGTGATCAGCATCAAGTCTTTGATTCTGTTGTGTGCTTTGTACCAGTGTGCCTGTCGTTTGATCTGCTACTTGTTATTGACCCCGGCTTCTGACTACGTTTACTCTGGCATCCCTTGACTTCGGCTACTCCTCGTTGTTCCTGTCTTCTGGCACCCTTTGACCTCGGCTATCCTTTGACAATCCTGCTGTTTGAGTCCTTGCCTGTCCTGCGACTTGGTACTTCATCCTGCACAGCCCCCGTGCACAGGCCCACAGGCCGGGTGAATTCTTACCTGACCACCTTGGCCTGTGGCTATCTGCAAGGGTGAGCAACATATATGCGCTACAGACTCCCAACCCAGGTAAGACCCTGACATATACCAACACCTCCTTATGGGAGACAAGACCGTGAAATCCACCTTCAAGCAACGTTGGGAAGGAATCCTGGGCAAAACTTTCACTAAAGCACAGTGGAGAAGGTGCTGATCCTCAATCATAAGAGCACAATTAGCTTGGGATACCAGGAAACAAATTACAAACTGCTATCCACATGGTACAAACCCCTGATCTTCTACATAGGTTCTTCCCAAACACACCTCCTACATGTTGGAGATGTAACACTGATGTGGGAATGATAGAACATATCTGGTGGAGCTGCCCCAGGATCAAGCCATACTGAGAAATGATCACCGAAGCACTGACAGACATTTTTGGGAAGCTGCACAAACTCCTTGCAGAACAAGCACTGTTGCATCTCACACCGGCTCATATCCTATAGAAAATCGATCCAGAGACACCTTCTAAAGGCACCCAAGTCTTTGATACCTGCCCTCTGGAAACTGACTGACATTCCGACGAGGGAACAGTGGCACAGTGCATGACAATCTCGACAGGATTCCCATATGGGTATCCCGGGCTATCATATGAGTCTATGTGGGGTGCTGAGATATGGTTCGACCGCTCAACCCAATCTTAGTGGACTGACAGCATCTTATAACACCTTCCCGTTAAGCATTTTTATATAACCGTAGTCGGGCATACACCTAACCTCAATTGAGACAGCATGGCTCCTCTTGCAGTAAATGCCTAACTTCATATTCAAGTAGAGGTTCGATCACACGCTGGGTGGTCACGGACTCCAGATCCTCGGATGGCCCCACACAAGACACTCACTCGCACTCATGTAGATAATGACATCAGTACATGTATACTTTGTTTATGTCAATGTTCAACTAAAACTGAATGCTATGTCTTCGTTTGAGACCTGTGTGTCTCCAAATGCTGGTCTTTTGATTATTTTTCATGTGGTGAAAAAATTAATAAACAGATTTACAACTAATAATAATAATAATAATAAATGACAACTTAACTGAAGGTGCATAAATATGGCTGTAAAAAAAAGAAAAGGGCGAATGATATCTTCAAAGAAATTCTAATTTACATAAATTAAAAAAAATATGAGTTGATATGTTATAACAAAGATCTTATTAAGATATTAAAACATTTTAATGGTAGCATTAATTTAATACTTAAATGTTCTGAAGAACTGCTGAGATCCTGAGAATTGGCATTGTTTCAAAAATATCAGTCACAACATACACCTGAAGACAAGCTGTTATCTCTGCAGTATATCTTTATCCTCTCAAAGTGCTAAATCGAGATAGGGAATTTACCCAGATAATCATATTAAACTTTAAAAATAAAGCCACATTTCTAAACTGTTCCTCCGATCTGTTAGTTCTTTCTCCACCCATATGACACAACACTGATCAGGCCTCAGCACATCCTGTCAAATTTCCACATCATTTGTCTCTGTCTGTATCACTTCCCCATAAAATAATGCTGCACAATCTGTTGTTACCTTAAAAATAGAAATAATAATACAATCAGAACAAAAATAATAACATAAGTAATATAACTCACTCCCTTTCAACAGACTTAATTATACTTACCACTGATCAGCATAGTAAAAATAAAATAAAAAAGTTTTCGTTATTATTGGCTAAATTCTTGTGTATTGCCAGTCTGTGCAAATGCTTAGCACAAATTGTTTAATATAGAAGGTTACGTTTGGTCCTCCAACCATTGGCTGGCAGAGGAAGTTGTGGTCAAACAACAAATTAAGGACCAACACAAGCTACCCTTACTTATTTATTTTTTGATGTTGCACTCTTTGTTGTATTGTTATGAAATGCGAAGTTGAAATTTTTTATAAAATAAAACATTACTTTTTATATATTTGTTGGATCTATTTTATTGATCATTTGTTTTTTTGTGCATGCGTTTGTGTGTGTACTCTTTCCAGTAAGTTATTTGTTTCTCCAGCTGAGACGTTAGGAACAATCAGCCAAAGTTATAAACGATAAAACGGTCCCAACAGACCAAAGAAGTGAAAGACAGTGATAATGCTCGAATATATATCTTCCAAATGCTCCACAAACAGTGTGGTCAAATATATTATTTAAAAGGGAAGTTACCAGGAATTCAAAGCGAATTAAAAATATATATATATTTTTTTTAGCATAATAACCTATTTAGAAAAAAAATCTGCTTTGTTTTTAGCTATTGTGATCTAAAATGTATATTTATACGAACAGATGTAACCTGGGTGCTAAATAGTTTTCAAAATTGTTTTCAAAATTGCTTCACACTCTGGTGTAATCCCAAAACTCCACCAAAAAGAGAAAGTAATGTGTGCTAGTGAGTGGAGCAATTTATACCATATATAAGACAGAAGAAAGAGTATATATATACAAACTGGTTTCGATTTTAAGTGTAACTTCCAGCAATAATGGTATATATGTAAAGAAAAAAGGGAAAAAAAAGCAATGATAGTGCAGGTTGATGTCATACAAAGGGGGAGGAGCTTACAGACCACGGAGTCCAGAGGCGTTTGTTTTCTGGCAGCAGACAATACACGAGGAGATTCTCTAGCAGCCGAACAGGAAGAACGCCGGACGAGCAGCCTACCACCCTAATGATTGAACTCTGATAGTGAGTTGACATATATGTGTCAAACTCACCACCTTATCTAGTAAGGGGCTTGTCACCCTATTTTTTATCATCATTTTTTATTATTCTATTTTATGTATATATGTACTGCTTTTTCTGCATGTGGCAGATAATAAATTTATGTCAGCTTTTTCCTATTGGGGTTTCACCAAATATTTCTTAAAGTGATACTTCACAATTTATGAATTGTTATAAGTATATATGCTTATATATTTTTTATACAATCTGCACTATCATTGCTTTTTTCCCCTTTTTTCTTTACATATATACCATTATTGCTGGAAGTTACACTTAAAATCGAAACCAGTTTGTATATATATACTCTTTCTTCTGTCTTATATATGGTATAAATTGCTCCACTCACTAGCACACATTAAAATGTATATTTATCTTTTAATTACTGACAATGTACACTTTGCGGAATAAAATTATATAGAATGCTTATCATACTGATTATTTTTATCTGTAACTGTTAGCATTACAAACGGTGGTTCATGCATTTTTATCCTTCACATGGTAGATCTTACCTAACTTTTTTATGTTTTGACACAGGCAGTGAGGTATGGAGCCCATCTTATATGTCAAACAACAGAGACAGTATGAATGTAGAAAACATGTCACCTCCGTATACTGGACCATTCTGTGGGAAAGCGAAGGTCCACACAGACTTTATTCCAAGTCCTTATGAAAGAGACTCACTCAAACTTTGTGTAAGAGCCTTTTCATATATCTCCTTTACAGGGAAAATGTTGACCATTTTCTTGAAAATTTATTACCAATCTGAATGCAATTTGAATATTTTCAAACTCTATCTTACCCAGTGTCTTTTCAAGAACAAGCTAGTTTGCCAAGTAGGTATCCCAAGCTGATAGAAAAGACAGTGGTGACTTACTCCACACTCCAATGAAACATCTAGGGGTACATTACACTATATAATTCTATATTTATTGACATGCTAGTTGTCACCAATGAGCTCTTAACAAGTGTCGACGCAATCATATCTCTTCTGTTCTTAAACCTGTCCATAGCACCACAACAGTTTTGTAATGGGCTGCAATCCTTAGAGAACGATACCCATTGCTGCCATGGTCATATTGCCAATAATGCCACTGTGGTTTTTGAATTTAGTATTGTTAGAATGCAGCAATTTTTTTATATATTATATATAATAAAATAATATTATATATTATACTGCGATGCCTGGTTTTTCAACAGTATACACATTTAAAAATGTGTCAGGATACGCTAACACCCAACATGCAGAACCTAAGTAACAAATATATATAAACAAAGAAACCTTAGAACGTATAATGGGAAGTTAGATTGGCTGGATTTAATGTTAATATAGAGAACAGACAGGCGTAGGTCAGGGAAATAAAATGTACATACAGTAGACAAGCCAAAAGTCAACGGATACAGATGTCAGAATAGTCAAAGAACAAGCCAAGGTCAAAATACAAAAGAATAAATAGAAATAACCTGCTCATTGATAAACAAACTTGAAACCATGAATAATTAAATAGCTAAATGAGGGCTCTGATTGGCCCACAGATGTCATCTGACTTCAACATGACAATGCAAGCATGTTTGCTAGTGTCAGAAATGTGGAGGACCTAAGAAGCCTTAAAAGACTCTGGCACTCTAATAGGTAAGAGGGATATCCGGTGCCGTTCCCACTACCACTGTGTTCCTACGGCCTAGTGGAGACGCACCACAACAAGGTGCACCCACCTTCCGAGACCATGCATGGACAGTAGACGTGGTGCTTTTGGATTGACACTATCTTCATAAAAAAGCCACACCAGTAACTGTCAATAAAATGTTCACCATTCTAAAAAGACTTGTAAGCTTAGAGGTTTAGTATTAAGGTTACATGTTAGGGTTAAACCTAGTAGGGGGATAACCATCTACTGGGTACAATGGACTCTAATTTCCATTATTTTCAGCCAGAAGAATGTTATTTAAATTAATATTTTGTAACCAGTATACCCCAGGTTTAATCAATTCAACAAGCTAATAATCAATAAATTAATGTACCCAAAAGCTACAAATAAAACACCTAAATAAATTAAATGAATAAAAATATAGCTAGGATGAAATTCCATATTTTCATTTTTCCAAATACAGTTTCTGACCTGCTCTTGAATTGTAGTTCTATGAGGTTCTTGTCACAGCAAGATATATCAAAAATACATAAATGTAACAACTATTCACAAAGGTAACATCGAAATGAAAAGCAGCACCAGCATGATGAAAAAGGGCTTAGCCTGTTTGAAGGTTTGCAACATATCGGGCTTCCTTTACATTATTTTGAATCCAGAACCTACTGAATGCATCCTCCTCGTGTGTCGAGTAGCAGAACACAATGTGACTTTTGTGAAGAGATATTTATATACCGATACCAGACAATTATTTTCTCAACAGAAGAACCAGGAAAAGGCTCTTCTCCCTTTTCTCCCATGATACAAGCTACATGTTTAAGCCATTGATCTATCTCAGCTGACATGTTTGACACATTTAAGTTTTTTTTGCTTTTTTTTTAGGCATATAAGCTGTAGAGTCATTGTGTTGATGTATGATAAGCAATCTCTAAATCCCATGAAAGTTTAATATATTCAATCATGGCATTCTAGAGATGATAGAACTCTAGTATTTAATTTTGGTTTTCTAAGGAAAAAATAATATATCTATTTCAGCTTCTCACACCCAGTAACAGCATGCATCTGCTTTAGAACTGAGAAACCAGAGATACAATCAAATAAAATATGGCTTCACTGTGATTAACTATGCATTACAAACACATCTACCTGATAAGTTTAAACTCTTGGTCAACTTATTGCTCTCTTTATTCCAGAAAGGAGACATTATCCACATCATTGAAAAGCCACCTGTGGGTACTTGGACAGGAATGCTAAACAACAAGGTGGGATCTTTTAAGTTTATCTATGTAGACATTCTACCTGAAGAGACAGAGCAACCCAAAAAACATAGGACACACGGAAGAAGCAAACGATTGAAGCCAAAATCTTTGCAGGAGCTTCTGGAACGTATCAACATGCAGGTTAGACCAAGACTTTCTTCATTTTATTTATTTATTACTATTATGATTAGCTTTTATATAGCACCAACATATGCCACTGGCCTCTACAATTTTAAAGGGATACTATAATGCTTGGAATACAACAAACTTGTATTCCTAACACTATAGCTCCCTCTGCCACCCGCCTCCCTAGCACCGATGTCCCTTTGTGAGCTTCAATATGGCATATGGGATTGAATATGTCAAATTAAGGTGGAAATGTGACAATTAGTATTGAAATATTGCAAAAAGAGTTCATGATGGCATATAGGGTTTTATCCCGATGAATTATGGCAAATAGGATGAAAAGGCTAGCATCTAAGGGTTAATCTCCAAGCACCATGACCACTTCAGATTACTAAGTGGTCATGGCTCTTGGAGTAAATTGGAGTAGCCCTTTGAGGTCTTTTGATGAGACCCATTGATGACCCATTGAAGCCACAATTAGTTTCAGTATATTTATTTTATAATAACCCTTGCTAGTGTTTGACTCTGCATTTATTTGTCCGCAGGAACACATCCCGACTCTCATGTTGAATGGTTACCAGACAACAGAAGACTTTAAGGACCTAAAGGAAAATCACCTGATTGAGTTGAACATCACAGATCCACAAGACAGGGTGAAACTTCTTACTGCTGCAGAATTCCTGTTGGACTATGATAGTAAGAAACTAATCTGTAATCCTAATGAGCATGATTTTAGTTTCCAATTTTATCTAGATTAAATCTCAGCACAGATTCCTGTGAACCTAAATTCAGGTTAGAGGAAGGTCCTAGGATAAGTAATGCATCACTATTCTGTCACATATGGGCGTAACATCCAAGAACACACCACCTATAATAGGAAGGCTGTTCTGATGTCCTGCACAAGTGTTCTAGTGTTCAGTGATCCAAATACTAATAGCTATTTATTTTTGAATAATAAACTCACTTTGAAGATTGTGTTAGTTATCCAGTGTTGCTAACTACTATGCTGATAAACATGCATTCTCTATAAAAAAGTTCTAGTTTGTCCTGCATTAATTAGGGCAATTGATAACCCAACCCTCGTCTTCCATCCGCTTCCCAAATTTTTTACCCTTCTATTGCTCATTTCTATTTCTCCATCCTTCCCCTTTTTATTGTTATGCTGATCTGATGTTTTATTTTTGTTATTTTTTTAATATTCTTTTTACATTGTTACTATCAATACAAAATCAAGTTATTCCAATGAAAAAAGGACACAATGCTTCAATTACCCATTATGTTCTCCACAAGATAAATAGGCTCCTGAGAACTTCCTGCAGACACTAGGCCAGGGGTAGGCAACCTTTGGCATGCCATAATGCTCTTACAGTCATAATACTGGCAAAGCATTATGGCAGATGTAGTCCAAAACATCTGGAGTACTGAAGGTTGCCTATCCATGTGCATGTCCAAAAGGTAGACTTGTGCAAGTCCAAAAAAAAATTGGTTTGGTAGAATCATTTCTTCTGGAAAAAAAATTACATTGTGTTGGTCGATTCAGGATTCATTTTGGTGGAGTTTGGGCAAATTTCGTCCATACAATAATCTCTGGAAAAGCAATTTGAACCACAAGGCGCAAAAAACGGCAGGCACATTTTCTTGCCATTTGGTTCACAGATCAAGTGAGAAGAAGAAACCAAGAGAGGAAAAAAAGTGGAGGAGCAATAATTCTTTAATAAAAAATCAAATATTTACATATATAAATATATATTTATTTATTTTTACTGCAATATTTTCCCCTCTTTTGATCACTTTGGTCAGTTCTTTTTCCCATCAATCTCTCTTTTTGGCTTCACAGATCAGAACTCAGAATCACTAATGAAATGAAACTGATTCGTCTATATAGCATTTCGAAGTTATGAAATTCATAAAGTTCAGAGTACTGGCTAATCTAATGCTTTTCCAACAACAGCTTAGTATTCAACTTCAGTATATGTTTTAAATTCTCACAGGCAAGCTAGACATAATGTAAAATGTAAACATGATGTATTCCCTGTTTGTAAAGTCACTTAAGATTTGATTTCTACGTTGCAGCTGGCAGTGAATCGGAAGATTTGACAGAGCAGTGTTCTTTGAACCAAATCTTTCATATTCCTCGAGATTCTGGCTGCTACGAAGACCAAGATAATCTTGACAACAGCCGAGACGAGACGGATTTAGGAAACATAGAGGAGAACTTGCAGAAATTATCAATGGATGAATCTAATGTCAAAAAACATACAGAGATTGAGAAACCTCTAACAGTTGATGAAATGTCATCTAGCATTAGCTAATGGTCAAGATCTTGTTCCACTGTCACCAATAACATTAGTGGACATGGTCATCCAAAGATCAAAGATCCACCAAGCCTATTATGGATACAGACACGTGAGCAGTCATTCAAGGTGCCTCCTTCATTAGCACACTTTGGAATTTAAGTTTTTGATATACATATTTACACCGGAAACATTTATTCTTGATTAATGAAAATGTTAGAGAAAAAAATAACAAACAGTATTTTCTAAAAACGACAGATAAAAAAATTCCGGACTTGTTCAGTCATTTTCCCTATATGTTTTGTCATGTATCTATTTTGCATTTGTGTATTTTGTTTTATATTTGTTATTGGTTATGATATTCAAACAAGCATGGACTGCCACTCAAAATCATTGACCCTAAAACAGGGTTTTACCCACAATCTCTTTATTTTTTGTAAAATAAATCTGGTTTCATCCTTGTTATGTTTGACTAAGGCAATACCATTGCCTATTTATTGAAAATTTATTTTTAAAGACTGTATACTGCAGCAATGAAATAAGTCCTTAAATAACATATCAAGTGAGCTACAGTCTTCATAAAAGCATTCCTGACTAAATTAGTTTAAAGCAGCAGGACTGAGAATTAGTTGGTTAAAAGAACATGCAGAGTAATTTAGTCAGCTGCCTGATAGAATTTTGAGAAGGTTAATATTTTCTGATCTTTCTGAAAGTCACCAAGTTAAAATTAAAGTCTTCTTAACAATGGAAAATATGGGATTTTTGGGACCTGGCACACAGCAAAAAATAATAATTTGGAGATTTGGATCTGCACAGCTCATTTCCTATGGTTAACAGTAACCATTATTAAGACCTTATTTAAACTTACAATAAACAGTGTGAATGAGTATCAGAACCCAATATTTCCTAGTGTATTCAAACCTTTATTTTCTAAAATAAAGCGCATCCCATATGCAACAGGCATATTCTATTGATACTGTATGCAGGGAATAACCATACAAACACTCCAAATGAATAGGGGTTGTTGTAAACCTTTGAAACGTTTCAGGAACAGATCATCTAAGCAGCATCTAACATTGGCTTTGATTAAAATCGTTTGGATAAACCTTTCGAAAGATCAGATTGTGTTAGAAAAACTTTAAAATGATTTATCTACAGACGTCACCATGAAAGTCTATGGTAATTTTTGTAGATAAATCATTTGAAAGTTTTTTTCCAACAGATTGTGATCATTTGAATGCTGACTGAAACAAATTAAATTGAGGCCATTGTTTGAGACAAAACATATATATATATTTTTATTACTTAAAGTGACATAGGCTTGTTTTGAACTTACTGAGAATATTCCCTTTGCGATTTCATTGTGCCTAGGAATGTAGGAATTTTTACATTTGTGTTACATGCTGTACAGGCTTAAGCTGGCAAGTGTGTGTGTGTTACAAGACAAATACACAAGAAACTAGTACTATACAGAGTGTTTACAGAGTTTGTTGTAAAAAAAACAAAGAAAAAAAAAACTGAATTAGGCTCTTTCGTGTTTTTTGCCTCCAATATGTTAATCTTTGTGATAATAGTACATATAAAGGGTTATTCACTAAAGCAAGAATTTAACATTAATTCAAAGACAATTTTACATTTAATGGAACACTATAGTGTTAGGAATACAAGAGTGTATTCCTAACACTATAGTGCTGGCGTTAATATTTAGGTCACCGGCCCCCTATCAGAGTGGAGTTAAAACGTAGTTTACTTTACCTGTTCTCCGTTGCTGCACTGGTCTTTTGAGATCTCAGCCATTTCGATGCTTTTCCATATGCATCAAAACACAGCGTTGTACCAATCAACAACATCTCATAGAGATGCAATGAATCAATGCATCTCTATGGGAAACGTTCAGCGCCCACATGCATAGCAGCACTGAAATAGGAAGTTCCTCTAGTGGCCGTCTGAGGGACTGCCACTAGAAGTGTCACTAGGCAGTAAGACATTGCTAAGTCTGCAGGTACCTGCTGTAGACACCAGGACGACTACATTAAGCTGTAGTGGTTCTGGTGACTATAGAGTCCCTTTAAGGCTAGCATTGCTGAACTGAAAGAATAGCTCACCGGAATTTTTCCAGTTTGACTAATTTCACCTTAAATTCGAATTTTGCTTTGAATTCTCATTTTAATAAAAAAGTATAACTATTTTTGACAAAATGAGGACTTAGTTTCCATACATAAGTGGAGTGTGTACGTAAATATGAATACATAAAACCACATAAATTATGTAACATTATCTTAGAAATGTGTTATAATCCCTTCAACCTTTAATTCCAATATTCAATCTATAAAGCATTTATCTTTTAAAACAAGTTCTATATCCATTTTTTTCTGCTGTCATTGACAAAGTTATTTAGTAAAGTGGGAACTGTGGTAAATTCAAAGTGAATTTTAAATTTAAAGTAAAATTAGACCAAATGGAAACATAGCTGACTTGGAGATTTTTTTTCCATTTCAACTGCTTTTGTGTTAAATTTTTAATTTTCATTGTAATACATTCCTGACATTTCTCACATTAAGGAATAACCCTGATAGTATTATTGTGAAATAAAATATTTGCATCTTGTTGTGGGGTAAAATGTGATAATCTTTGGGGTAAAAGAGCATACTTGTACCGAAAAGAAGTAGAGCCACATTGTAAGATGAACAAAGATCAACAAAATGGTGGCTGAACTGGATCGGTTGTTGGTTGAGCCAGATCACAGATTTCGCAGAGCAGTCTCAGCATCTAGTTAAAAATCAGCCAGTTCCTTAAATAAGAATGATTAAACTGGTACTTTAGCTTCTGGAGGTGGCATGAGAAAGACATTAATATATTTGTTTTAATACTTGGTTTGGTTTTTTTACAACAGTGTATCTTTAACTGAAGTTGCACCTGCGGTGTAAGAAAATAATATGAGATTAGCCATTATAGTAGTATGTAGCCTTTAACTGTTTTTCATTTCAGACGTTCTCAGAAGCTTATATAAATATATATATATTTTTATATATAGTCATTTTGAAGCTGTTTCATGAAACAAATAAAATACAAATAAAAAAAATAGACAAAGTCTCGTTGTATTTTCTATTTTACACTAACAAACATTTCCATTTAAAAATCTCCCAACTCTGCTATATTGCCAGCTCATTTACTTTGGCCTTTGGAATGCATTGATCTGGTTTACTCAACCTCAAGTTGGACTGACTGTACCACAGTCATGGTATTGTTAATACGCTGGCTCACATAGCCTCTTCGTCACTATGTTTAGGGTTATTCACTGTTCGAATTCAGAGGGAATTCCAAATTTAGTTATGAAGTAATCAAATTGAAAGCATAGTTTGACCTTGAATTTTAAATTCGCTTTGAATTCACTGTGAATCCTCACTCTAGAGAATAACACTGATAATGACCTTATTTGGGCTGCATCAGGGCATGACAACCTTGATGGTTGTCATGGGCCTAGTGGTCCTGGGGGGCCCAGACTGCTTTTCGATATATACATATATATAAATATATATATATATATATATATGTATACCTGCAGGCCCCGGCTACCTGTTTGTTCCAGAGGGGGCCCGCAGCACTCTCTCGTGGCTGTCAGAATGTTGCCATGAGTTACCATGGCAATGCTCCGCGCGGCCCACAGGCTTGCGAGAGTTAGAGACAGGAGCTGCTGGGAAGGGAAGTCATTGTGTGCTGCGGGCCCACTCTGCAGAGTCCAACGGCTGGCTGCAAACACCATGCCACCGGACCACCAGGGAATGCGATCTCCCCCCACCCTGGTGGGGTAAGAAGCAGGGAGGGGGAAGTAAAATAAAATGTTATAAAATATTTAAATATTTAAAAAGAAATATGTTAAAAAAATTAAAATGCCCCCGCCCCATTTTAAAAACATTACATGCCTACACAAAGATAAACACACACTCTTTATTCATTATATACACACTACATCCCCTGCACAAACACACACTCTGCATGCACTATATGAACCGCATCTAATACACACAAACACTACATCCCCTGCACAAACACACACTCAGAATGCACTATACACACCACATCTAATACACACAAACACTACATCCACTACACAAACACACACTTAGCATGCACTATACACACCACATCTAATACACACGAACATTACATCCACTACACAAACACACACTCTGCATGCACTATATACACCGCATCTTATACACACAAACACTACATCCACTACACAAGCACAAAGAGCATCTAATATACACCTCATACATTACACAACATCTACGGGTAGGAAATGATCTAATGGAATTAATTGGCGGTAACATGTGTATGTATAATGCTGCCATAGACTGGAATTTTAGCCATTAAATTAAATAAAAACAGATCATACAAGTGATTGGCAATGGTTTCCAATTACTTGCCCAAATTAGTATTTTTTGTTCTAATGAATGAAATATTGATACAGATGAGACTGACACAATCTGACTTAGCGCTTTCATTGACTTTGCATTGTGTTAAATTTTATAGATATTGTACTTTTAATACTTTTTGATGTGCAATTGTTTAAAAGAAATATTGCTAACCAGTAAATTCAATGTAAAAAGAAAGTTTCAGTCCCCAGCCATTATGGATATTATAGCATTTATCAATTAAGTTTATTGCAAAATGCATTTAAAAAGACCTGATCAATTACATACTCTCCCCCCTCATTAACAAAACATTTAATGATTTTTTTTCCTAACATGAAATTTTTTTTCTAACTCATCACCGCATTCTCCTCTCTCCATTTATTATTATTTTTTCATATGTCTTTGTTTATTGAAGTTTTCATACAGCATACATTAAAATACACTATACAATGCACATAACAAAAATATGTGGAATTGTAACATGCGCAGTTACAAGAATAGTAGCATTGCAGGAACCAGAACATTGGCATCCAAATTATACATTATGAATAGCATAGTTATCTAAGTTATACAATACCATTGGTAAATCATTCCATAACACTGTACAATGGAGGAATAAAATTGGAACCAAAACTTCTGGCTGAACAACCATGAATACAGTACATCCTACCTAGGGTGGGCAGATGACACCCAACTCAACCCCCTTTAAGATTAATGAAGTTGATTATGGGGATGTAGTATATGCGTCTGCATCGCGATCCCACATTAATAAACTCAACACATTGTATAACTCGTTCTGCCGATTTGTGCTACAATGTAATTACAGGACCCATCATTGTGACATGCTAAAGGAACTAAACTGGCTGTCGCTGGAATCCAGACGCACCCTTCATCTTTCCAGCCTTGTTTTTAAGAGCTTCTCTGGGAAACTCCCACCCTACCTGAACAAAATGCTTTCCTTAGCTGTTCCCACTTTCTATAAGCTCCGATCCAGTACAAGCACTTTACTTAGTCTACCTCAATACAAAAAGAAAGCGGCCCGATCCTCCTTCTCCTACAGAGCACCGCAATTGTGGAACGACCTCCCGCACAATTTAAAATCTTCCCTAAGCCTAAAGTCATTTAAGAGATCCCTCTCTACATACCTCAAAACAGAATGCACGTGTCATGGTTGATTATATATTTCCTGCCTGTTCTATGTTAAATTTTGTATATATTGTGTATTAATATTGTTTTTGTATTTTGTTGTACCTAATGTAACAATGCAATGATTTGTGGACCCAGGACATACTTGAAAACGAGAGAAATCTCAATGTATCTTTCCTGGTAAAATATTTTATAAATAAATAAAATAAATAAATAAATAAGTTGGGATGTTATATCTACATTCTTGGGAGACATTTGTATCTGTAACTCCTAATGTGTTGTGCGTGGTGATATGTGCTAGAATTGTACTATGACAACTGCATTGGGGCGTTTAATTCATCGGTTATTGATACTTCCACCACGGATGGTGTGTTGTGGTTCGTAGGATGCTAAGCACCTTGTTTACTATCAGCTGCTCTTTTTCTTTTTGGTTAAGTTGTGACGTGTCCGAGTTATAGTTGGACGTGTTCATTAAATTCAACTGCACACTAATGACAGTGCAGATTAACCTTAGAAGAATAACTTGGGGAGGGGGGCGGAGTGAAAGGTATGCCCAAAGCATTTGAGTTGTACCGTAGATCCTAATAAATGGAATAAAGCAAACAATTATTGCCCCATAGGTCTCCCTTGTTTGGTAACCAGATTAGTGCACACATGTTGACGGTCGTAGGAGTAGAGTGAGAAACAAAGTTAAAACAGTAGTAAAAATATTAGTTAAATCCCCCAATGAAGCAAGTTAGAGTGCCTCGCAGCCTTCCCAACATTTCCATAACCTGCTGTGGGCTGCTTCTTTCCCTTTCAGTCTAAATGCTATTTGCTCATAATGGTAGCTAGTGTCCACCCTTTTCCAAACCTCCTGAGGTGTAGGTGCAATTGCCTCTTTCCAGTGGCTCGCTATACTGGTCTTTGCCACCAAAAGAACATGGATAACCACAGTCTGTTGGAGGAAGTCCAGATTTCTGGGGCTATATGTAATAAAAAGTGGTAGTCTGACCTGTGTCAGATTATTAATAGCCTTTTGTATTTTAGGCCAAAAATCTTTTAAGATATGACATTCCCAGAAAATGTGTGTCAAAGTTCCAGTTGCTTGATGACATCTACAGCAAGTTGGAGAAGTTGTGTAAATTTTTGATAGACGTGAAGGAACCCAGTACCACCTCATCAGAATTTTACAATATGCTTCCCAGTGTGTTAGGTTGTTGGATGCAGCCTTTGTTATCTGAATTGCCTGTAACCACATAGGTTTTGAGGTGCCCAGGTCTGCTTCCCACTGGACCATATATGGCAGTTTGGTCATAGCTTCCGCGTTTGTGAGAGCATTATAACATAGGGACAACAATTTAATGGGTGTTTTTTTGCCTATACAGCATTGGCCAAAGGGTGTCAGGTGGAGGTCATCTCCAATGATTATGTGGAGGTTTGATAGCATATGCTTGACTGGGAGATATGAAAATATTTCCCTGAGGAAAGCTTGGAATGGTTTATTCTTTGACTCGTCAAATAATAAACCCACAGTGGTAGCTCCACCCTCTATCCATCTGGTCAGTGGACTATCTTGGGAAAGTGATGTGAGAGATTATATAGGAGCCTTGTGGGCCAAACTGCTCGGACACATCAAACCCTGCGAGAATGTTTTTTATTTATTCAATAATAATTTGATGGTATTAATCACAGAGCCATTGCTACCACACGTTGTGGACGATGTCCACAGCAAGTGGTGGAGTTTATAGGGTTTGATACATGCCTCTTCAATGGGGAGACACACAGGCACACCAGCCTGTGTTAATACTGATATGCCAAATGCCAGAATCAAAGCTTTGTAGAATAGTTTAATGTTTGGGATGCCCAGGTCACCCTTGGTTGGGTGCAACCAGGATAGGCGATTAGCAACTCTTGGAGTTTTTTTTTCCAGATGTGGGAGTTGAAAGTGGATTGTATCTTGTGTAGTATTTTATTGTACACTGATATAGGAAGTGTACAAAAGAGGTACAGTACATGAGGTAAAGACATCATTTTGATCGTATAAATTTGAGACCTAGCCAGGAGACATCTACATCCTTCCATTTATCTATCTGGTCCTTAAGTTTGTACATGAGTGGAACGTGATTGCTCCTCGTTAAGTGTTGGTGGGATTTTGTGAGGTTTATCTCTAGGTATTTTAGGGAGGACTTCCTCCAGTCAAATGGGTAACTGCCTTTTAGGCTGTGCAGTGTGGCGTGTGGAATACCTATTGGTAGTGCTTTAGTTTTTGTTACGTTGTTTTTGTAAAATGAAACCCGACCGTATCTGTCCAGTAGTGATATGAAGTGTGGGATAGATTTTTCGGGATGTGTGAGAAACAGCAGAATGTCATCCGTGAACAGCGTGATACCCTGTTCACCTATTGGAGTAAGTAGACCTGTTATTTCCTTATGGGCTTTAATTTGACGGATCAAGGG